TTCTTAAGGAGGCTCGAGAGGCCGAAATAGCGGAAATGCAGATTTCGACCTAGATTTCGACCTTTGACCCAGATAAGGATTTGACCTAATTTCCCACCAACTACGCCTAGCCCCCTAACAACGTGTATGAGTAGATTTATCCAAATATCTCTCGTTGGCGAGAACGTGTGTGAGGAGGATTTTTGCTTTTTGCACATACGAAAGCAAAAATCATAATAGGATTTGGCCATACGCGTATAGAGGGAAATGGCTCTACGGACGCTCTGAGGGCCTATAATGGTCGATTAAAGCTCGGGGAATCTAGGGAGGTAGTTGGGGAGAATGCCTGGCTCGTGCTTCGCGGATCCGTCGAGGTCAAAAAATAGTCCTTCAAAAAAGAGGCCTTCCAGACGTCCATATAGAGCTTTCGACGTAGATTCGAGCAGCGTACGTGTCGTTCTACATTCCGCAATCGTTAGTTGGACGAAGGGAAACGTTGTTTTAGAAATGCTCTAGTCATCGTCCGGGCCTATTTTCTTTCAAATGTCTGTTGTTCGCAGAGATACGTATACATGGTGTATACCAGGTGTCGTCTAGATATACGGCAACGGTGGCCCGTACGCGAACTTCAAACGCGTATATCTCGATAACTAATGGTCGGATTGAAATTTGGTTCACTGTTTTTTTAACGCTCGGAAAACTGTCTTTCCGACCAGCTAGTTTTCCTCCGATTCTGACTTCTTAAGGAGGCTCGAGAGGCCGAAATAGCGGAAATGCAGATTTCGACCTAGATTTCGACCTTTGACCCAGATAAGGATTTGACCTAATTTCCCACCAACTACGCCTAGCCCCCTAACAACGTGTATGAGTAGATTTATCCAAATATCTCTCGTTGGCGAGAACGTGTGTGAGGAGGATTTTTGCTTTTTGCACATACGAAAGCAAAAATCATAATAGGATTTGGCCATACGCGTATAGAGGGAAATGGCTCTACGGACGCTCTGAGGGCCTATAATGGTCGATTAAAGCTCGGGGAATCTAGGGAGGTAGTTGGGGAGAATGCCTGGCTCGTGCTTCGCGGATCCGTCGAGGTCAAAAAATAGTCCTTCAAAAAAGAGGCCTTCCAGACGTCCATATAGAGCTTTCGACGTAGATTCGAGCAGCGTACGTGTCGTTCTACATTCCGCAATCGTTAGTTGGACGAAGGGAAACGTTGTTTTAGAAATGCTCTAGTCATCGTCCGGGCCTATTTTCTTTCAAATGTCTGTTGTTCGCAGAGATACGTATACATGGTGTATACCAGGTGTCGTCTAGATATACGGCAACGGTGGCCCGTACGCGAACTTCAAACGCGTATATCTCGATAACTAATGGTCGGATTGAAATTTGGTTCACTGTTTTTTTAACGCTCGGAAAACTGTCTTTCCGACCAGCTAGTTTTCCTCCGATTCTGACTTCTTAAGGAGGCTCGAGAGGCCGAAATAGCGGAAATGCAGATTTCGACCTAGATTTCGACCTTTGACCCAGATAAGGATTTGACCTAATTTCCCACCAACTACGCCTAGCCCCCTAACAACGTGTATGAGTAGATTTATCCAAATATCTCTCGTTGGCGAGAACGTGTGTGAGGAGGATTTTTGCTTTTTGCACATACGAAAGCAAAAATCATAATAGGATTTGGCCATACGCGTATAGAGGGAAATGGCTCTACGGACGCTCTGAGGGCCTATAATGGTCGATTAAAGCTCGGGGAATCTAGGGAGGTAGTTGGGGAGAATGCCTGGCTCGTGCTTCGCGGATCCGTCGAGGTCAAAAAATAGTCCTTCAAAAAAGAGGCCTTCCAGACGTCCATATAGAGCTTTCGACGTAGATTCGAGCAGCGTACGTGTCGTTCTACATTCCGCAATCGTTAGTTGGACGAAGGGAAACGTTGTTTTAGAAATGCTCTAGTCATCGTCCGGGCCTATTTTCTTTCAAATGTCTGTTGTTCGCAGAGATACGTATACATGGTGTATACCAGGTGTCGTCTAGATATACGGCAACGGTGGCCCGTACGCGAACTTCAAACGCGTATATCTCGATAACTAATGGTCGGATTGAAATTTGGTTCACTGTTTTTTTAACGCTCGGAAAACTGTCTTTCCGACCAGCTAGTTTTCCTCCGATTCTGACTTCTTAAGGAGGCTCGAGAGGCCGAAATAGCGGAAATGCAGATTTCGACCTAGATTTCGACCTTTGACCCAGATAAGGATTTGACCTAATTTCCCACCAACTACGCCTAGCCCCCTAACAACGTGTATGAGTAGATTTATCCAAATATCTCTCGTTGGCGAGAACGTGTGTGAGGAGGATTTTTGCTTTTTGCACATACGAAAGCAAAAATCATAATAGGATTTGGCCATACGCGTATAGAGGGAAATGGCTCTACGGACGCTCTGAGGGCCTATAATGGTCGATTAAAGCTCGGGGAATCTAGGGAGGTAGTTGGGGAGAATGCCTGGCTCGTGCTTCGCGGATCCGTCGAGGTCAAAAAATAGTCCTTCAAAAAAGAGGCCTTCCAGACGTCCATATAGAGCTTTCGACGTAGATTCGAGCAGCGTACGTGTCGTTCTACATTCCGCAATCGTTAGTTGGACGAAGGGAAACGTTGTTTTAGAAATGCTCTAGTCATCGTCCGGGCCTATTTTCTTTCAAATGTCTGTTGTTCGCAGAGATACGTATACATGGTGTATACCAGGTGTCGTCTAGATATACGGCAACGGTGGCCCGTACGCGAACTTCAAACGCGTATATCTCGATAACTAATGGTCGGATTGAAATTTGGTTCACTGTTTTTTTAACGCTCGGAAAACTGTCTTTCCGACCAGCTAGTTTTCCTCCGATTCTGACTTCTTAAGGAGGCTCGAGAGGCCGAAATAGCGGAAATGCAGATTTCGACCTAGATTTCGACCTTTGACCCAGATAAGGATTTGACCTAATTTCCCACCAACTACGCCTAGCCCCCTAACAACGTGTATGAGTAGATTTATCCAAATATCTCTCGTTGGCGAGAACGTGTGTGAGGAGGATTTTTGCTTTTTGCACATACGAAAGCAAAAATCACTAGACATGTAAATTGAACAAGTTCAATTTAAGACTCCAGATTTCAAACTTTGTTTAAGCTGAGTCATCCAGAACTTGTAAGCTGAGTCATTCAGAATAAGCTGAGTCAGCTAGAATATAGACATTTAGACAACTTTTAAGAAGGCTATCTTCGACTCTATTAGCTTAACATGGGGATATCATCATATCGACTTTTCGAGACTTCAAACCGCTATAACTATCTAACCAGAAGTCAGACCGAAATTTGGTTTAAAGATTCTGATTCCTGAGAAAATTCTACCCTTAATTCATAACTCATACGTTAAATTTGGAGAATTTTTTATTTTGACCTACATTTCGGACACCATATCTCAAAAGTGGGTCAAAAAACTTTCTGACGGCAGAAGGCTAACACTATAAGCACACTCTTTGCTACCTGTATACACAATTTTGAAGCAAATCCTTAAAGTGTAATGTCAGAATCGCAAAAATAAGGAAAAACAATGAATTTGACCTAGATTTTGACCAAGGCATTTTTGCGTCCAAATTTTAAAGCTAGATAGTCTTCGAGGTCCCCTCCTTTTATAGGCTTTCAGAATATTAAGCTGTACTCAGTCTATATCTGGTATTTTACACTTCAAAAAATCCTTTTTCTCATTGACATAACATGGGGCACCAAATTTAGCGATTTTTGAGCTTTCAAAACGCCATAACTTTCGAACCGGAAGTCGGATCGAAATTTGGTTTGCAGATTCGGATACCTGACAAAATTTTATCCCTAATTCATAACTCATACGGTAAATTTGGAATTTTTTTATTTTGACCTACTTTTTGGACACGCCATAACTTCCGAACCGGAAGTCGGATCGAAATTTGGTTTGCAGATTCGGATTCCTGAGAAAATTCTACCCTAATTCATAACTCATACGTTGGATCTGGAGAACTTTTTATTTTGACCTACTTTTCGGACACCATATCTCAAAAGTGGGTCAAAATACTTTCTGACGGCAAAAGGCTAACACTATTAACACACTCTTTGCTACCTCTATACAAAATTATGAAGTAAATTATTAAAGTGTAGTGTCAGAATCGTAAAAATAAGGAAAAACTATGAATTTGACCTAGATTTTGACCTAGGCATTTTGGTGTTCAAATTTTGAAGCTATGTAGCTTTTGAGGTCCCCTTCTTTTATAAGCATTCATTATGTTAAGCTGTACTCAGTCTATATCTTGTATTTTACACTTCGAAAAAGTCTTTTTTCCCATTGACTTAACATAGGCACCAAATTTAGCGATTTTTGAGCTTTCAAAACGCCATTACTTCCAAACCGGAAGTCTGATCCAAATTTGGTTTGCAGATTCGGATTCCTGAGATCATTCTACACTTATTTCATAACTCACATGTTGAATTTGGAGAACTTTCTGTTCTGACCTACTTTCCGGACGCCATATCTCAAAATCGGTAAGAGTAATCAAAATTCTGCTGTCATATCTTTGATTCGCCTTTTTCTAAGCTACACGATGAAAAAAAGATGAAGGAGTTACGAAGAATATTGACGAAGATATGATGAAGAATGTTGAAAATGTAAGATTTGACCTAGTTCTTGACCTTTGACCTAGATAAAAATTTGACCTAATTTCCCAGAAAGCCAGATACATTCCCTAGTCAACCATGTAGGTTGGATTAAGTAAGATGTTATAGTTGGAGAGAAAATCTGTTAGGAGGAAGAAAGAAAGAATAATAAGAAAACAGGCAAAAACAATAGACTCCAGATTTTCAATCTGGAGTCTAATAAGAAGAATAAGAATACTGGCAAAAACAATAGACTCCAGATTGACATCTGGAGTCTAATAAGTGACTTTTTAATCAGCCAATAGAACGTTTCTTTTCCAAAGGGGTTGGAGATAAAAGAAATTTTACATAACATATTGCCACCTACCTGATTTGTTGAAGAAGACAGGCGGGGTCGGCGCAGCAGTCGTCTCAGGGGTAGCGTCTATAATAAAAAATAATTCGCAATTGATATGGCATGTATGGATGTGGCTGATGCAATGCCAATATCGTCAAGTGAAGTGTGTACTAACTTTCCAATAAAAGTGCTTATCCTATGCCAAGTAGAGTTTTAGGGAGATAAGTTGGTAAGATATATCCCGTATCCTGATTTTGAGGTTTCTATATCCAGAACCTCCATATCTCCCGCTTCGGTGCATATATTCCCGCTTCGGCGCCTCTCTGAAGTTGAAGCGCATGATGTGTTTATAGTCTACGTACCGTGGCAGTTTGCATTGCATCCTTGGATGAGAGCATCAGTGGCGAAGTCACACGAGGAGGACTCTTGGTTCCATACAAGCGGCTTTGAACACTTTGCCACGCTTGATATAACTTTGCCTGGAGTCAAAACAGCATTCGGGGATCTTGTTCAAAAACAAATGAAAACTTGAGAAAGTGAAATGATTGTATTCATCTATGGAATGAAGGGGTTTCCTTCGATCGATAACTAGTAGTCTTGCTTCAAGACTTTGGACCCCCCCCTTATCTCCTTCTCCAACACAACACTGGTGTAAAGTACATAGGGGCCGGGGGTCTTGAAGCAAGACTAGATAACTAATTAATTATCAATGGCTTCACTAGTGGTCAGGTTCAAATGCTCCAATAAATAACCATATAGTCTTGCTCATAAGACTGTATCCACCCCCCCCCCCCACTCTCTTTACTTGGCAATATACAGAGAGAGAAGGATAAAGGGGGGGAGTACAGGGTATTTTAAGCAAGACTAATAACCATACGATCATGCAGATATCTGTAAATAGAACGGCTCTGAGACAATAAACTGGGGACATTAACAAGAAACAAGGCATGAACATGCAAAATGTCACCACCTACCAATTGTTACATTACAGACGCCGAACACTGGACACAAGCTAGTTGGATACTACAACAATAACCCCACTTCTGGTGGTGACATAAAAACGATATTTTTTACTTTGGACGTTCACGTACATCGATTACTAACCTAATGTTCCACGTACAACTGGGGGTACCTTATTACATATGATGAAGAGACAGCAGTTTCCAGGATAAGCGTAGTAGCCACCATATTCATGCGCACACTTTTCCTCACAGAATGCTTTAACATAACACAATAATCATGGCTTAAAGCAACAAATTTAAAATTTCCTGAAAATTGAATGGCGAAAGACGCGGGTCAAGTGTGTCACGCGGTAAACACGATACAAAAATATGTCATATTCCGCAACGAATATGGCATATTCACTTGCGGTGTATGACAGATTCACCTGCGGCATACACACTAACCAATGAGAACGCCGAAGTACGCAATTGTCAATTACATCGATTGAACGAACAAGTAAAACGTGATAAATTATCATAATGATTACTGCATCAACAGTACTGTGTATCGAATATATTAACTTAGCAGAGGTATCACTCACCAATCTCGCGTAATAAACTTTCTCTATCAAACCAGGATTCATATATTAGTACTCGAAGCACTAACTATATTGATAATCCTGCGTAGTTTTACATTTAGAGTCGATTCTCGCAACCAATCAAATCAAGGCTTTCTGTATCACGTTTTCACCTGCGGTATATGTCATATTCACCTGCGGTATATGGCATATTCCGCAAGTGAGTATGACATATTCCGCAGGTGAGTATCGGGTATTCACTGAAATCAATGTATCGCATATTCACTGCGGAATAGCGCATACTCGCCTGCGAAATATGCCATATACCGCAGGTGAGTATGGCACATTCACCCGTATCACAAATACCGCGCAACCATGAAAGTATACCATATACCGCGTAACAAAGTGAGCGCTGGGTTTTGGCGGGTTCTCCTTACAAGAAATTTTGGAAAATGAGATTTGATTGAGTGCTTTAGAGTAGTGTAGACTCATTACATATAATTTCAAATTTTGAAGAAAAAAGTATTTTCATAGGAAAAAATTAAACAAATATGACCTTAATTTTGAAATCCTTGCTTGACCCCCCCCCCCCCCTAGACATAAAGTCAGATTTGTATTGAAGTCAATGGGGTCAGATTTTGGTCCATTTTTCCTGAAATTTCCTGAAATTCCTGAAGACTTTAAGCCCCTATAAACAGGAAAAGTAAAGCGGCTGGTTGATGATTTAAAGATTTAAAAGCCCTGGACAAGTGTTTTGTGGACCGAATCATTTCTCAAAAGGTGTTCTTTCTCTGAACGAGATGCGCAGCACCGAATGTGACGTTTAGGAAATAACGCCTGAGTGGAATTAATCAGCCATAATGCATCAAGTTTTGGGCTTAAATTCTATTCACACATTGCAAAATATTTTCTACGAAATCATTAACAGAACATATTTTCAATGAAACTTTTTGAGCATCAATTTCAGTCGATAGAGGTAAGTTGTCACCTTGACAACAATTCAATGAATAACCTTAGGCGGGTTGTTGATTATATAATGTAGTTATGACGTGCACGGACCTGGGGACAATTCGGGAAATGCGGGCTTATCTCAGCTTTGAACGTTAATCTCTGCCTTATTTAAAAAGCCAACTATGTGTTTTACATATCATTTTGAAGTATTTTTTATTCGCATTTCAATGAAATTATTTTTCCTTCAAAATTTTGATGGGATCCAACACATTTTTAAAGTTAAATATACTCCGACATCGTCAAATACGCTGTAAGACGTAACACTTTACGCTTACAGGGCTCGTTGAAATTGAGATAACTTTTGAAATAATGATCAAAATCCCACTTAAATTTCACAATTTATTCAATGGAACATTTGCATTTATGACGTCACAATTGCTTAACGGTTACATTTCAAATTATCTTATACGAACGCTTTTAATATTTTCAAAATTGTGTAAGGTTTTGAAGGCGAATGGGACGAGCAATACGTTTACCTTCATTTAACCTTCTAATTTAGGTCTGATTTGAAAGAAAATTTAACTGCAGAATATTGTCATGGCGAAATTTACAAAACAATAACCGGTTTGTTTATTTTGCAAATAATATCAAAATAAGAGCTGGTTTTCGAAACTTGAAAAAATGTGACGCATCGATTTTTTACCACAAATTCCATACATATCAATTTTTACTAACGCCCCAAGTGGATTTTTTGACCCTTTTTCAAAATTCAAAAACATTTTAGAAATATTGTCCTCGAGATCTTGCTACCCTGTAAATTTTGTAATGATTAGATAAGAATAAAGTATTTTATTTTTAGGTTGACTAAACTTGTAAAAAATGTGACGCTTGTCGTTTTTGACGTTGTAAGACTGTTTGCGCCTGCTCATTGTTTTGTTTTGTTTTTTTGACGCCATAATGTTACACTAATTGTCCCCAGTTTCGTGAGACGTGTAAGTGCATTTATATGAAATAATACGGATTGGCTGGAATTTGACACACCTTGCCTAGCTATGAGCGAATTGGTCTTTATGAAGATGCATTCAAAATGCTTCATCATTAAAAACACTATATCAATTTGGTATAATGTAATAAAATACACTATACCTTGTACATCAACATCAACATCATCTGCAATATAAGAACATTTATTAATGCAAAACTAAGCAATGTACGTAAACTCGTTTTAAATTAAATTGGTCAATTCATGAATTGGAACATGTTAACTGGTTACTGTTTACAATCAATGAATATTAAAATAGGCTCAAAAAGTTATTACTATTATTCTAGCAAAAAGTATGTATATCTTGAGCCAACAACACAACTGACAACAACATGTACAATGATTCAGAGAAGAAGTCATGGCAACAACAGACAAAATGTACAACAGCAGTTGTCGTTGTAACAACACTCACAATGTACAGCAGTGACAAAGTGTACAAAATATACAGCGGCTGATGTACACTCCCCTCCATAAGTTTGGCAACCTTTTTTCCCCATTGAACTACGTGTTAAAGCCTCCTTACCTTTGAATTTTTATTTACTTAACCGGCGATGAAATAACTTATAATATTGATGGAAACGTAACTTGACCTTATTTCCAATACCTCCAAATTTTCTCAATTTTTTTCCTCAATTACAATAGGTCAAAAATTGATGATAAATTTGATGAACTTTTGAAAATCGTCATTCCCATGTAATCCAATGGGAAATGGAGGGTTCGGGGAAAATCAGAAATCAGGAAATCTTTTCAGTAAAATATTCAGCAAAAAATATTTTTATATAGAAAATTGAATTGTCTAACTTTTTAAAACACTAAGTGTTTAGTTTATTTGATGAATATAAAAGTTACAGCGCTTCAAAGTCATTTTTGAAAATAATTTTTCGCCCTCTGTGTTATTTCAATGTGAGAGTTTTTTTGAAAAACAACTTTGACTTTAAAGCCCTATAACTTTGTTGAACCTGAAGAAACATATCAATCTTTTGTTAAATAAAGTTAGCAAATTCAATTGCCTGCCTAACTCGTATTTTTTGCAAGGACTCGGATGGATGGATATTCTGTCACATGACTTGTGGCAAACCTACCATTTCCCATTGGTTAACATGGGAATGTCGATTTTCAAAAATTCATCAAATTCATCATCAATTCTCGACCTATTGTAATTGAGGAAAAAAATTGAGAAAATTTGGAGGTATTGGAATTAAAGTCAAATTACGTTTCCATCAATAGTATAAGTATTTTCATCGCAGGTTAAGTAAATAAAAATGCAAAGGTAAAGAGGCTTTAACACGTAGTTCAATGAGGAAAAAAGGTTGCCAAACTTATGGAGGGGAGTGTACATTAGTCGTCATAGTAACAATAGTCAAGATGTACAGCAGAAGCCATGATAACAACTGGCAAGATGTAGAGCATTAAACATTTACAATAGACATAATGTACATCAGTTGTCATGGCAACAACAGGCACGGTACATAGATGTAGTCATGGTAACAACACTAGTGGTCATAACAGTCACAATACAAAAAGTAGTCATGGTAACATTTTAATAAATTTATATAATGCATATTTTACATTCTGATTTATCAGAATCTATCTTTATCTAAAGCTTATGAATCTCTATCTAAAAATAAAAAAAGAATCTCTATTCAAATGGATAGTAGGGACTTTGGATCCAACATTGCATATTTTAGTAATTGCATTATCAAAAATCCACCTAAAAATAAAAACGACTCCTGGTATCAAATCCAAAAGATCATTTTTTCCAAATCACTCGTAATTCGTAGAATTCATAGAAACAAGGCATTGACATACAAAACGTCACAACCTGTCATTTGTTACAAACGCCAACCAACGAACACCGAACACCAACCGCCGAACACCGTCTACAAAAGGGAGACCATACAACAATATGTCAACACTTGTGGTGGGCATTAATTATATCTTGGCAAAATCTTTACTCATGACATCACACGAAAAATTCGTTCTCGAGTAGAGTTCCTGTATGGACGGACGGAATGACGGCTTCTCATATGCCTAAGGTACGAACTTCGTACAAGTTGGGGATTATGGGGATATGCAAATGAACTAATCTACATAATCATTGACCAATAACTATCTTTGTTCCAGTAGCGGTCATTAAGTGTCGACTTATATCATCAACATCTGATAAAAATTATATCGATTGCCATGGAAACGGACGTCCTTCATTTCTGCTTAAATAATCCATAATTTAAATGTAAAACATTGCTCGATATTCGCAGGAAGAGATTAAAGTATCGCTGATAATTTCACTCCTCACCGACAAGTACTGCTCCAGATTTCCATCTAATGTGTGCGTTTTCTTTTATGTTTAGTCTTTTAGAATACCGAAATTGATGTCTCAACTAAAAGCAAGCAGGCAAGTATCATATGGAGTTAGGCATTTATTTATTTATTCCAGCGGGTTGATTTCGATTGATCCTAATATCCAAAAATATAATTCCATAGGTTTTCCTTAGGTTCTTCCCGAACAATTCCAAAGATGTACCCATAGTACAATATTTTCACCATTTTGCATCATGGGATATCTCCATTTCTTCCCTTAACCTCACTGACCTGATAATACAGATCCCATTATTAAAGATGCTTACAACACTAATAACTTGGACACTGTCACATGTAAGTCTACCATACAACCTGTATAATCATGAGATGGTCCCTGATTGATGAGAACGCTGACCCGCAAGTGACGAAGATCATTGTTCCAAGGGGCATCCAGAAAATGCATACAGTAGCGTAGTACATGATCACATAGTTGTCAGTGGCCATTTGTCGCACAATTCGTGTATAGCAATAGCGTGTACTGATATATACAGGGTGAACCAGAAGTAACGTCAAAGTTGCTGCAATTGCAATACAACTGTACCAATTTTCAAAAGGATTAGTCCGGTAGTAATGAAATGGAAACAACTAAAACGTTACTTCTGGATCGCCCTGTATACGTGAATGAATACACCACTGTTCAAAATTATGGAAATTAACAATATCGCAACGTAAAGGTAGACAGTTATAGCACAACTATTGTGATATTTCAATTTTGACGATCAGCTTCAGAAAAACATTGTTATTTAAAAAAAAAATTCTTGGATCCAAAGCATGAAGGAGGGTAAATGTGTAAATTGAAAGAACCAACAAAATATAACAAGTCATTAACATGCAAATTGTCACCACCTGCCTTTTGTTACAGACGCCGGTCGCTAAATGCAAACCACCGACACTGTCCACGAAAAATACCATTTTGGCGGTGACATAGAAAGCATAATAGGGAGGTTAAGAACTTAAGATACACGTTTTTAAGTGAACGTACTATATTATGACCCCGGGGAGTACTCTCTAACACTCGATATAATCTTTTCAGGGACCTATTACAACTTTTTTCTTCATACCTCTATACTAAATCGGGCAAATAAATACTACAAAAGGGAGAATTGATTCCTAGAAGACTATAATTCTACACGTTCACGTACAAGTTAAACGTAAAACGTGTTTATCTTAACCTCCCTAATGTAGCAAATTAGGACAAAACATATTACTGTGGCAAAATTTTATCTTATCATACTTGTATAACAATAAACACATGTGTTTAACATTTCCATGACTTGACGTGGGACAGATGAAGCACCATCCACTGTTCGCTAGCCTTCGAGGTTGCACACCGCTTGTTGTACGTCAAAAAAGCTCAGCAGTATCATGTTAAATTCTGTCCAACAGTCTTGGCATATAATCAACTGAAAAAGAATGACATATAATCAAATGAAAGACAGTCACTTGAGCTCAACTGAAAGACAGTGTGGCATACAATCAGCATCCTCCGATCGCAGGGCTTCAAAATCCAGAATATATTCTTTCTTTTTACCCCCTGCGATAAGCAGTTAGCCTTTCCCCGATTAAGAGTTCACAATCTGATTGGCTGTCGCAACACTGCGACAGAAATCATGTCATTGCGCATAATAACATCACGTGGTTCAGTTTAATCGGGCGCTTCCAAATTGGTTATAGCAGGGGGAAGAAGGGGGTACGGATTCTGGATACCTGCTTAGGAGGATGTATAATCAGCTGAGCTCAACTGAGACAATATTTAAACAGGTCGGAGCAGACATATTTGGAAAGTGTACCATTGTTCTATGATCCAAGTTATCTTTGCGCATGCGCTACTAATAGAAAGAATCAGAGGTCTAAAATATAACTGTATCCACAGACCTCGAATCAGATCCAGTCCCCATTGGTAGTAGGCTCAATGAAATAATGAGTAAATCTATTGAGCCTAGAGACCAAAGGAGGAATCTGGCAGAAGTCCTTGATTGCATCCAAAGGATTTATGCTTTCTTGACCTTGGACGTGCAGAAAGCAAATTCTTCGTAATTATGAATGCAGTCATGTCCATTTTCTTAATAGATGAATCAAGACACCATATTATATTCAAATCTCAGTATTTCCAATTTCCATATTATAATAGATTTTGAATTTTCTTAAAAACAGATATGATTTTCCCAGGCCTCTGATTCTACATTTTGGGAGAAGGGGGTGAAACGTTTATACTTACATTATTAATACATCCTTTAAAGTTGGTTCCAGGAATATCGTTGAAACTACCCAGTGTAAGTGGACACCCTGTACTTTTGATGCGGCCTAGAAAATTATTCAATAAAATGAGTTCTACACTGTACGTTGCGTTATGTTACGCTACGTTGCGTTACGTTACGCTACATTCTTATTTGGAACAATAGAGACAAAAATATTAGTGGAATGTATCAAAAGAGGAATACCCCCTGGACTTGTATCCACCATTGCATATGTTATTTCCGGTTCTGTGAAGAAAAAAATATTCGACGTTTCACTTTAACATTTAAAAGGACGATTCTCGGTTTGGAGAACGAAGTTCTTCAATCTAAATGAGCATTATCCCTGCTTCGGACAAATTTGATTTTTTTTTACATAATATAGATTTGAATGTCTTCTTTTGAATAGTCATAATTTAATTTGGGTAATATTTCTAGATTTTTCGCAAAAAAATATTAGCGCAGTACACTGATGAACTTCTTTCCCCAAATCAAGACTTGTATTTTATTGAATCGGTCAAATTGAGCGTTATCCCTGCTTCAGACCAATTTGTTATTTTTACATCTTGTATATTTAAATGTCCTCTTTTGAATATTCATAGTTTAATTTGGGTAATATTTCTATATTTTTCATGAAAAAATTATTAGCCCAGGAGACTGTTCTCCAAACCGAGAATCGTCCTTTGCAACTATGAATGATTTTTACATTACAGGCCGTGTTGCCAAAGCCGCAAATGTCAGATTGCATGACATAGATGGATATATGTTCTGACCAAATGTAGCTAACTTTTTCAAAAAAAAAAGAAAAAAGAAACAAAGAAAACAAATTCATAACAATAACTGGACATTTGCATTCGTTGGATCAAGCAGTATGACGATGGCATAGATTATAGCATAAATTAACATCTGAACAAAAATGTAGCTTTTTTAGTTTTACTCAAAATTCTCAAAGGTGAAGGGTAGCTGCTGTCTTCACAATTTTGCCACCACTAACAAATTGATTTTTTGTACAAGTATCTTAATTCAAACATGATGCAAGTACAATGAATAATAAAAATAGGTCATCTATTTTTTCACACCACCTCCATTCATCCATTTGCAGCAGTCATTCAGCTCAGGTGCAAATAAAACGTACATTTTTTCAAATCGACTCTCATCTAATCTAGGGTTGTTATAGTTTTGTTATCAATTGCGTATAGAGGTTTGAGAACTGATTTAGTTTGGAGTTTGGGGATTGAGAATCTATACACAATTGCAACAAGAGATTGACATTTTTGTATGTTGCATCTTAAAACGATTCACCCTGACCAGAGCCCATCGGATAGGATTGTTTGATTGACTTTGGGGTCAAAATCAAAATTTAAATCTAAAATAAAATAAGATTTGTGTCAACATGAAAGGGATTAATTCGTTTATGAATCTACAATGTGGAAATGGTGTATCTTATTAAAATCAATATTTTATGATGAAGGGTATTTTTAAAATTCAAATCTCAAATAATTATAAGATGACCCAAAATAACTTAATAATGTAATACCTCCAAGAACACGTGGATTGCCCGTTTCTTTGAGGATACCATTGAAGACAAGATTCAGGCGACCAGCACAATAGCTGATAGAGATGTCCATAATTTGGCCTGCTACCAACGACTCCACCTTTAAACAAAATATTGAGAGAGTAGTGCTTTTCAATATTCCTGTGAGAAAGAGCATGTCAGACTTGCTCCAAGTTTCAATGGCTTATTCTAAATCATCGATTTATCGGCCTTGCTTTAATATATAAATTATAATACTAGAATGGTATAGTAATAATCAGGAAAAGGTGTATCAAGTAAAACTGAAATCAAATCATATTTACAAAAATAGTATAAACAAGGGGTGATCGATCAATGGACACTTTTTACACAGTGAACTATAAAAACAGTCCACTACTTTTTGATGCCCCTCGTAGTCGTACGTACGATAGCAATATATTCCTACCTCAATATCAAATGCGTATTCAAGTAAGGCCTCTTTCTCTGTGATAATATTAAGGAATCCTTGGGAACCTTCTATATACATTTCAAACGTCCCGGACTTGTTACAACATCCATTGGTTAGTAGACCCATTTTAGGTGCATCCACGAAGCCAGTGTCTGGATTTTCGAACTCATCGGGGATTTGGAACAAGAAATGCACGGAAAATGTGTCGAGGTAATTATAATTCTCGAAACGTGGAATTTTCATCACGGCATCTTCCCCATCGAAACAGAAAAAATTAGCACTGGCACTTTGAAGCGCATCCGGGCTATCAGTGATCCTTCTGAAAACCACCCAAAAATTTACATGATACATTAACTAATAGAAATCGCGTGTATTACATCAGAAACTAGAAAAAGAGCAACTCCCCGGAATACCACTTGAAGAGAACTCTCTTGTCTGTTTAGGTATCAGCATATTAGATTTGAACCAAATCCGTGCTCTCGTGGTATTTGAGTTTATCAAAGCTTATATTTTTTCTAATTTGGCTGCCATTTTGGAAATCTGCTGCCATCTTGAAAATTTCTTCTTGAGCAGAGCTCCAGAGGCATCAGTAAATAAAATTTGAATCAAATCCGTCAACTGGTATTTAAGTTATCAAAAATTACATTTTTAACGACAAATGGCAGCCATTTCGATAAATAGCAGCCAACTTGAAAATTTCGTCTTGAAGAGGGCTTCTTTATCTCAAGGTATTACTATATAAAGTTTGAACCAAATCCGTGCACTGGTATTTGAGTTACCAAAGATTAGGATTTTACGAAAATGGCGGGCATTTTTAAATTCTGTGGCCATCCTGAAAATGTCTTCTTAAGCAGGGTTCCTTTGTCTCTAAGTAACAGCGTATACAATTTGGACCAAATACGTCAACTAGAATTTGAGTTATCAAAGGAAAATGGCGGCCATTTTCAAGTGAGCAGCCATATTGAAAATTCCTTCTAGAGCAGAGGTCCTACACCCATAAGGCATACAGTAAGCCTACACAATTTGAATCAAATCCTTCAACCAGTATTTGTCGCCCTGACACACGGACGGACGAACGGATGGCTTCTCTATATCCCAATTCGTTCGGTTGGATATAATGATTGAAAAATTATTACGAGGCGAATCAAAATGCATGTGGTCTTTTTGATTAAAACAGAAATATTTAAATGAATCAGAATAAAAAAGTTGTTACCTCGTTGTAACTCCGGTGGTGTTAATATATACACCTCTATATTCTCTTACCAAATCGCCCGCTATTCCCCATGAATAAATAAGACAATCGCACTTCAAGGGAGCTATAAAAAGAGACATTTAATGTTAGACGACTGGTCTGAGTTGAGTATATACAACGATCGACCCCATCGGTATATGCGATACACCAATGTCAGGCCCGTACACATGCGGAAGCTGGGGGAGCAGCAGAAGCTAAGAAATTCTTTCAAAATCATGCAGTTTTTCACCATTCTGAGCACTTTTTCCCCCGGGCCTTTCGTATGATTATTTAGCCTTAACTGTCAAAAATCGCCACCCCCTTGGCAAATGCTGCTCCCCCTTCGTAAAAGCTGGCTACGGCCAAGAATGTAATATGATATGAATTAGCACGAACATACTTGGTTCATTTTCCCATTCACAACAACAGTCCGACACGTTGAATATTTGCCCTTCAAGACAGCACACTTGGGTGTCTTCTCTCCTATCTAGGAAGAAACACTCGGGTTGAAAATCATTCACTGTATAGTAGTGGCCATCGAAGAAGCACTGGGCTGAAACATATAGAAAGTTTTGGTAATCATTCAAAAAGAAGGAAACAGTAAGAATTGATCTTCTGTGGACGTTTTTATTTAAAATCTGATTTTACATCTGAAAGGTATACAGTTAACTTTAGAAGTCGCTTGAATTTGGGGAAAGTCGAAATAATCTGTCCGATTTATTAAATTAAGATTAATTAAACAAATATCAAAGTAAAAACCTACATGGTGTCCCAAAAGTTTTGCATGTATATATTAACACCAACCTTACCTGATTCATTGAAAATCAAAAATGGTGTCGATGCATTGATTGGAAGTTGAGTCACATCATCTGAAAATCGAAAGCATAGTTAGAGTCTAAAACTTTTTCGTGGTCATAGGGGTAAGTTGAACTCATTTTTGAAGGTGTGCAAATCACGATGTGACAATTTATAATACTAATCACCGAGAATGTTCCATTTCACATGACAAAATGGCATCACCTTGAAGGTCATTGGAAGTTGTAAAATGTGGTAAAGACGCCGAGCACCGAACACCGTCCACAAAAAAAGTTGGAGATTATAACAATATGCCACATTTCGTCTAGTGTTGACATAAAACCTTTGAAACAGAAGTCGAAATGAGTCATAAATTGCACAGAGAATGCGTTGTGACAATGTATATCACCAAGGAACGTGGTCTGACCAATTCCAGACGGTCAAGAATACAACCTACCATGACAGGCTGGGTTACATTCCGGCACTCTGTAGGGGAAATCACAGGAAGACGTCTCTGTGTTCCATACTAGCGGAACGGAACACCGCATGGCATTAGACACAACACGACCTGCAAAACACCGCATCACCGAGTTGCTAATGTAACTCGTACACTTCCCTCCATAAATTTGGAAAGCGAAAGTTTTCATTGGAAAGCATTTAAAAATCTTAATTTTGTTTATTTAATACACTAGGCCTACACTGTAGTTCGGAAATGTATGGCATGCTATATGACAAATTTGACGATTTTTTAATAGCACCAAAATGGGTCTTTTCGGTTATTACACTTAAGGAGGGGAGTGTAAACTCAGTAATGTGTCAGTTTCTGTTTAGAAAATCATTCATTTTAAGTAAGAACAAAATAAGAATGTCGCGAAAATAACAAACCATCGATAATGGAAAAATATAAAAGATCAGTATCATTGAAAAAAACATTTTTTGGACAAATATATATAAACACTCGCTTTGACATAGATGAAAAAAAATGACAAAAAAAAGATCTACGGATATAAGTATCTCACCTTTTCCCGGACCTTTAGAGCTTGGCAGTCTGTTGCAGACTACGAATGAACAACAGTCCCCTGGGTATGGATAGTAACCCCCGTTCTCTTCAACACACTTCTCCTCACATAACTCTGGAACATCATTAACATTATTTCACCTAAACATTCACTTTATCGCACAGATGTGGCCAGGTCGTTTTGTAGTAGGATCTCATAGGCTCAACGAATAATTGGTGTCTCATTTGGAGGAATATTTATTGAGCTACTGATCCTTCTACAAAATAATCTGGCCTGGATCTATGACTTATCGTACTAACTTTTACATTTTATTTTAAAGGAAATCGCCTATAGTATTCAGTGAGACATATACAATAATATTACCCTATTAGGAGTCTTCGATGATTTACCCCTCAGTCACACCAAATTAGTTATCTCAACGCCAAATCCCCCAGTCACACCAAAGTTCTTTCAACGCCAAATCCCCAAACCACACCAAATTACTTATCTCAACCGGCCAACAAATCACTCAGCCATACCAAATTAGTTTTGTTAAAACATAAAAATCCCCCAGTCACACCAAATTAGTTCTCTAGACGCCAAATCCCCCAGTCACACCAAAGTTCTTTCAACGGCCAAATCCCCAAACCACACCAAATTACTTATCTCAATCGGCCAAATAACTCAGCCATACCAAATTAGTTTTGTTAAAACGTCAAATCCCCCAGCCACACCAAATTAGTTCTCTAGACGCCAAATCCCACAATCACACTAAATTAGTTATCTCAACGCCAAATACCCCAGTCTCTGGTTTAAACTGATTAAGGACGTATTAAGACTGCTTATGAACGAGTTAGCAAAAATAGCTGTCACGCCAATTTTGTTGTCATTGCGGTCTTCAAAACGTTGCCGAACTAGTTCTAAACTGTGTGTAAACGGAATGAGCTGTAACCTTCTAAGATCTATTTACGAATTTCATGGATGTGCTCGTACAGGCATCTTCGTTCACTCGGCTCCCGTCGGTCGATGAACGCAGTGAAGACCGAGCGTGCGAAGATGTCGAACAGGAGGGTGTTAATTGTTTTCACTATTTCAAAATTCGATGGCGACCATCCTGTTCTATAATTAGATCATGTGACAACGTTCTTCAAACGACGTTGTGCAATCGTATATTATTAATTGCAGTACATGTGCACATCAACATGGTGCGACTTGAACGAACTGCGAATGAGATGTACGTATTGAAGATTGTTTATGAACGAAATAGCTTCAATTAATTATTTTAGACATGTTTCCCGACCACAGCCAGATTTAGTTCGTTTTACGACATTTTTGTTGACTGGAAAGAACGGTTGAGAACTAGTTTGGTGTGATGGGGGGGGGGGTTAGAACCGTTTGGGGTCATTTACAAACTCCACGACGTACTCGAACGGAAAGAACTTAGAGCATGCTCAAAAATTTCTGAACGAGCTGGAGGCAATACGAACAGAACTGTCGTACTTCAATCCTAATAGGGACGTCCTTAGAACGAGATGAATTGTCCGAGGACGTAATGAGAATTTAACGAGGTAGAACTAATTGCAAATTGGTTTGAACTGATTAAATACGTATTAAAACCTGCTTATGAATGAGTTAGCAAAAAATATAGCGACCTGAATGAACTGCCGAATGAGATGGACGTATTGAAGACTGTTTATTATGAACGAAGTAGCTAAGACATATTCCCCGACCAGAGCTAAATTTAGCCCGTTTTATGACTTTTTGGATGACTGGAAAGAACGGTTGAGAACTAGTTTGTTGTGATAGGGGGGTTATACCTTCTGGTTCGTTGGTGTAGTCCATCTCGTTTTGTAACTCGGTTTAATTGCACTACGTCCAATAAGTTCAAACACGTTCGCACATTTTAAGTCAGTTTGGCAAACTTTTCAAGAACGTAAGTGAGAACTGGTTTGGTGTGACTGGTGGTAACTATTCTCATTATTCCCTTGGTTTATAAACCAGTGATGAGTAGACAAAGCCGAATGATCATGAGAACAAAACATAACATAAATATACATTATAATTATGCCCACCTTGGATGTCGAAATCAGGATCTGAAATCGATTAAAATCAATCAATCAATAATAGTTATACATGCGTATCAATCAACGCAAACGAGTAACACAATCAATCAATCTAAACATGCAACATCATATTACAATTATGATATAAAATCTAATAAAACAATAAATTGAACATCACAATTCTAAATATGCACAGTTAACAAAACTGTAAGCCAACAACAATGTCATACATATGAGCAACATGCAAACCAATAATTACATAAAACGACAAAATAATCATAATTTTAGCGTAAAATAGAATAAAATAGTAAAACAAAGTCCTGTTGTAATCGGGTCACTTCCTGTTCGCCATACTAGTGCGTCATCGATTTGAGGGATCGTCTCAAAAATTCAATCAAGGCATTACTATAAAACGTTCCAATCGTCTGCAGCGTGCCACTGAAGTTGATGCTTTAATCAAGAACACCTGCTTCTCGACATTGAGCTTATTATGTCGCTTTTTTTTAATTGTTTTAAACTTTTGGCTGATATGATTGCAGTTTGACGAATGACAATGCAAGCGACTTTTCAACGTCAACAATTCTGGGATAACATAGCGACTCTCTCATTGTCGAGTGATTTTGGCCATGTCATTCCTTCCTACAACCCTGTCTAAAACCTCAAACTTAATGTCATATTTACAGATTGCAGAAAGAATATTTCAAAAATAGAAAAGTAAAAATGTAATATGTGGTAATAGATCGCAGAGACAAGCTGAATCTCTATTTTTAATTGTTGTTTTTATGCTTTAATCTAGAATGTCAGTTATAATTGGCTTGGGTGCCAGGCTATTATCTTAATTAAACCCCAAACTATTTATCCAGTCACAGCATATGATAACACAATATTATAAAGGGGTAGAGGGGGGGGGTAATTTACAGGGAAGGGCATTTGTGACGATTGTACATATACATGTGGTAAAGGTGAATGTCTCGAGGGTAGAGAAAACAAGAGATCGTGACCGGAGATCAAAGAACATATATAAATATCAACTATGTAAAACGACACTCATTTCCTTTTGTAGGTTTTTGAAATGTGATTTCCGTTTATATTATTATTATTATTCCAAATTATATTTTCTAAATGATGGGGAGGGGATGGACACTGTTTCTTTGTTCTTCTTTTTATCATATTTTGGAATGTTAAAGTATTGCTGGTTCGCCGGTTGTGTTTTTATCTAAGTATTTTCCCCTTAGTGATGAGATAGTACCAATCTTTGTTCGTTACGCTAGTGTTATCTAGGAATGGTAAAGGACACATTGATTTGAATTTTATCATCGCCTGTTTAAGCTAAAAATGACTGAATTTCACAAACAAGACAAAATAGCATTGTCTGATTGTTATTATATACAGGTATACCACCTTTTGTGTGTAATTATGTTTTAAAATGAAACCCAATCACATTGAATTGAAAACATTTTTCGTTTCATCAATCACAAATAGATGGTTCTCGATTCATTGACTATTTTATCCAATCACATTGGTTCACCTTGCCATGTAATGCACAAGTTGCGGCTTGCGTAGCCTGAACAAAGAGAGCTTGAATACTGTCTGAGGAGTCTAGCCTACGTTCCATCGACAATGCTTCTTAGCTTGCAATTTGTGCAATGACAAACTCTAGGGTCAAGGCCACACTCTCAATAGGTTTCTAAAAACAGACAAAATTTCTTTTGGAAATGATCTCGTTGATTTCGCATTATATCTAAAATCTCAAGGCTTAGGTTAGGGTGATATATTGATAAAAAATAGAAAAAAGTTCATAGAAATAGAAAGAATATTCATTACCCTTTGCATTACCCTTTGCATTCGTTTGACTTCACTTCTTAAAAGAGAGCTTCGTCTTCGTCTTGTAGTTTAACTAGACTCTGCACGCAGGGTAAATATTCATAAAAAGACATTTGATTTTGTATATTTTTAATTTTTCTAAGATCTATGCGATTAAATGACTTGATGGTTTTTTGCATTCTATTCCATGCAATTTAAATTTAAAAAATTATAATTCGTTGGCTTGGTTTTGATACCCCGTGTGCAGAGGCAGATCATAGTTTTCTGTTTCTTGACGCCAATCATAATGGAAATTAAATTTAAAACACTGAAACATCAGAAGATATAAAGGCCTAGGCAAAACACTTTGAATTACAAAGCTAAAAATACAAATATTCCATGATATTTAAATTTAAAAAATCCTAATTGTGCTGCTGAACTTTGATACCCTGTCGTGAGTGTGCAGAGGCAAATCATATGGTTTTCTGTTTAACGCCAAACATAATTGGAAATTAAATGTAAAACATCAGAAGATCTATAGACCTAGGTTTTTCACCATTGCCATTACACAAAACACTGTTAATTACATTTAGCTAAATACCAGAAATCATTAGGCTTGCAAAATGAATGGGAGGCGGCTGGTCCATACGAGATCTAGGTGACCGTCCGTCCCTGGCTGTTTTGGGATTAGTGTACCTTTTCCATTAGTTCGACTTCGCTTCTTAAAAGAAAGGTTCGTCATTCTGATTTATCAGAGTCTCTCTTTATCTCAAGCTTGTTCCAAAGGATGGTTGTGGACCGTCGACTTACTTTTATATAACCTCTACGCTCGGAATACTAGGGTGAATGGATTGGGAGGGTTGTAGAACTACACCTTACAAATAATGAGCACTACAATAGATATTAGTGAATACAAAGAAAAATGTATTAAATATTCACCCCTATGTATTTAATATTTAGTCCTGTCGAAAAAATGCATTTTTTAAAAAAATACCTTTTGAGCTACCTATTTTTAGGGGGTCGCTATATGTATTGAGGCCATAAACAAAACAAAAATGCGGTGGGTATCGTTGTACGGTCAAGCCAAGTAACTTAGTCAACATTCGATAATCGTATGTTCATCAGTATTTACTAAGAATGGTGCCACAATTGAAGTAAACCTCTGGTTAATTATTTTCAATAAACCTATTAGCAAACGTGTAAATGATAATTGTGATGTTCTGTTACATATTGGTGAAGCAATCTTTGGGATATGACCTAAATTTCTGATTTTCCACTGTGTCCCTGTATACCCCTACTTCAAAAGATGTATGTTATTTGTCATTTTTCATTATGAACCAACCATAAATGTATTTTTTTCTTGTTTACATACAGAATGAACTTTCAATTTTTAAATATTGCAAGATGGTACTGCATTTATTTGTTCTTGATAAGGAGCAAACAAATGCGTGTCAATTTACACTGTAATATCCTACATATTTATATTTCAATGGTAGTATTGAAGAATAATCAAGAAAATCCATGTTTTCAAATGGATTCATCCTTGTCAAAGAAGGTAAATGAGGATATGCGGTTTGAAAAACTAACAGCATGTTTCAAGTTCCTACAATTCTTGGTTAAAACAAATAATTTGAAAGTTGTGATTTCGAATGTAATATCCTACTCAATGAAATTTGTTGATATTTGTGAATTTTTTCTTTCGGAATGCATATTGCTGGATAACAGAACCTTGCCTTGTTCGAGATGCACGAAAAGTGTATTGTTAATACTTGACGTCGTTCGGATATCTGGATGTGATTGACGTTTTCGTTAATCTCCTACCACTGTAACTTCCAACTTAATTTTTGGAAGCCAAATGTGATAGTCACAAATCGATATTTTAGTCACCTGTTTATGCATACATCATGTATGTACATTAACTGTCGAATACATGCCGACTTACATTTTTTATAAATATCCACAGTTAACTCAAATCATCAATTTTCGAAACGGCTTATCATATAACCCGGTGAGTTTAATGTTTCATTTTAATTTATAAAATATGGTATCAGATTTGAGTATGACATAAGTCGAGGGTTAAACGAAGCAATAAAATTACGTGAAACCTTTTGCGAAAATTCGAACGATTTTTCAAGAATCCTCTTTCAAAGTGTTACCAAAGTGCTCCCCGGGAGTGGAAATTTCGTCTTGTGTAATCAAAATTAGTAGCGGGTGGTTTGAATTTTTGTTTGAGTTTATTGCTTACATCCATACATTTAAAACCATATCGCCTAATTAAGAGCTACATGCAGATTTTGGCGATCTATCATTATAAAAGGCTAAATATTGTGCAAAAACAGGAGTTGACACGCTTTCATTTGGAAATGAAATTTCCTACATAATCGTCGGCTCATGTTTAAAAGTCATGAAAACAAGGTTGAACACAAAGCATTGACCCAATTACTGTCTATTTAGCATGGGATCACTAAGGGAAATATTATTAATGACTTAAATCGTTTACAATTAAGTTGTATTCCAAGACACTTATCAATTTAGAAATGCAAAATGTTCAATTTTGTTTTTCAATTATAAAAAATGGCACCTGTAGAAAACAGCGTTTTCAAAATTATTTAAAACAGATATATTTACTTATGTAACATTCATTGGCATGTGTCAGGGAGTAAATAAGAAGAATGTGCATTTGATTCTATATCTTGTTCCCAAAAGAGTTTGTTAAGGAGCGGTATATCTTAACGTACTTTTATAATCCCGAACTCAAACATTTCGAAGACTTATTTCGAGAACGCTTTGTCGAGAATGGATTCGAGATGTACTCAAAATTAATACGTTAAAATGTGTATTACCATCTTAATAACCACCTCACAAATTATTTTGGAAATCAAAGATGTACGATTTTTGAGATTTTTATTTTCGAATGTTGACTTACTTACTTGACCTGACTGTGTAGCGGGCATCTCGGCTAATGGTGGAACTCATCAGAACCAACTTGATTTTATTCATCCTAGCAGAGATATATTATGTCTCTGTTCCATATGCATGGGCGTAGCCAGGGGGCAGATAGGTGCACCCCCCCCGGGGTGTACCCCCGACACATAACCAATAGAAATAGAACCATTCGATAGAAAAAAGGAGCTTTAAAATGCTTTTTATTTAAAGCTTCTAGCTCAATTTTGAAGGAAGTAACATCATTTTATGTAAAAATACAAAACAAATCTTAAAATTGGTCTTAGCTCGCGTATACCACGATCACATCCCCCCCGAATGAAAACCAAAATCTTTTGGGCGATCGTACTCTCTGATTGAAAGTTGGCTACGCCCATGCTATGTCTCTTATCATAGAAAGGATGGACCAGAAGGAAAAGAACATAGCATACAAGCTTACTCCTACGCCATCATATGTAACTATATCCGATTTCGAATGTCCATTTAAATACTTTTATATATAAATGATATGATAAAAACAATTTGAATTTCCAAAAAACTAGGCACACATTTTTTAAAAAGGGCCTATCATTTTCATAATATTTTGCCCCTCTTTACAATTTCCATGTCCACTCCTGATTAAAGCGACGGATAGCAATTAGTTGACCGGTGTTTTTACCTTTTTAATTAAAATTTTAATCCGGTAGCCGACGCAATCGCAAAAAGTAACAAAACAAACACTAAATATTTTAATTGGATGCGATCAGTCGTCTCGTATTTGCCACTGCTATCATATCATTATGCTAATTACCATTTTGATAGGACGGTAACAGCTTGATCAGATAGACCGATAACTTGAATATTAGCAAAATAAAGAAATACGCATGCGTACACTAAAGCAGACGACATTGAAAGCGAGGCTAAAAAAGTTGGAGGTTCACATGTAGATGCTCAGATGACGGGGTTCAGTAAGGCAGGCAAGCCACCACAAGGGAGCAACAAGAACACAACAATGGCTCCACCATATCTTATAGTACTTAACGTAACAACAGCAGGAAAAGGAGGCGATGAACTCGGGACAGATGAGCATCAACTAGTTCAGTTTACATATCTTCTCTATGATGTTTCAAATAACAAGGTAGGGCCAGGCTCGTCTTTACTTTAACTAGCACGCATTTGAAATAACTCAAGTAGAACTTCATATTAATAAGTGGTTTATACATGGGAATATTGCTCAGATAGCTCATATATGTGAATGTTGAATTGATATCTGTTGAACTTTGTTTGCTTACAAGTGGTTTGTGTCTTCATTTTATTTATATGTGACCAATATGGAATTGTACCCTAAGACACCTGTTGATCGCCAAACATTCCCTATGCCAGCGCATAAGAACTCATCATATCTTTATCTACAACTTGTATTTCAACTTCAAACATAACATCATAAAGGATCGTAAGATTTTGATTCAACAAGTGAAAAGTGTGCGTAAAATAATAGGGAAACCATTGGTAAACAATAATTGAATTATTGAGGAACTATGTCATGAAAAGTTAATATACTCCCTTATAAATGTTCAAAGATGCTTTTGGGAAATCCTCAAATAACAAAATTGCAATTCTAGATAAATTTTGTGGTATGAAACTGGCACTTCTCAGGTCAACTAACATTAAATATGTGAAGCAACTTCAGAACTTGGTGCGTTTACGTGTTATTTCATTATAATTCGTCAGAAAACATTGCATTATGTACTTTTCTAAAAGTGTAATCAGCGTTAAAGGCCTCTGTTAACGCACCTTGTATGATCAGCATGTTGATATTTAGGATAGAGTACCCCTGAACAAACTACTTATAACATGTGTACATAACATACTTTGGACTTAGAAGCTGATACGGGTAATTTTCTGCACATCTAAATTTGTCAAGGGGTTTGGTAGTTAATGTCCGATTAACACATTTGATTATCTACGTTTGTCCCGATTGCATTTAAAAAAAATTATTTGGACAGTCCAGTGTTTTAATATTTTACTTATGTTTTTAAAATTGTGTCAGTTAAGTGTGGTTTATGGCACCTTATCATGTTTAAGTGCAAATAAACAATCAGTCAGTCATATAAACTTCAATGTCACGAAAGGGTTCCTCACAATATTACACTATAATATAGAGCAACAATATTAAAATATGTACCCCTTTAACTTGTGTCAAAACCAAACCACACGAGCAAGGTACTTTAACCTTACAGCATATGAAAAAGGGCGAACTTTTTTTCTGTGTCACAAAGTTTAAAATGGGTAAATTCGAATCAAGTATAGTCGTTTAAAAATATAAGGACTCATTCATTTTTATCCAACTTTGATATTTAAATCAAAATAATAATATGAATACTTCAGTGAACACAACATTGGAAAGGTTTCCTTGTAATATTCAGTTCACATTGATATGATACCTTGTTTAAATGTCAACTTTAGAAAAGTTAGTTTTTCTCGAGGCAAAACTAGTTCATAACAGTCCATCTTGCTAGTTTATGTATATGCTCTAGGCTCGGGTATCTATCTCTCTTCATATCTGATGTGCTCGCATAATTGTAACCTCTCAATCTTACTGACACAATCATTGCATACATTAGACGTTTCAAATGATACCGAGTGACCATGATTCGTTTGTGTGTATAACCTAGGGTAATACAAAAGGGCACATTTCCAAATATGGACGGATGGGAATCCTCATCAAAAAACAAGTTTTGACAATCCCCAAAAAATGGTTTTGGCATTTTCACAACTGAGTTGTCACTAATCTGCGTTTAACGCGCTGGGAAAAGCCACATCAGATAAGTCCAATTGACGATTATATAAGACATGCAGCGATCATTATTTTCCACTGTGATCACAAAAATAGATATTTTTTGGAAACATTACTTTATGGCTTCTTAACCATGAACTGAAACCATGCATTTTGGTTCATCAAATCATTAAAGCTCTCCATTTTTTAATCTCTCCCACCCCAGTGCGCACCTTCACCAATGCGATATATGGAAACATATAAATACCTAAACACCGAAGATGTGAAACACCGAAAATGACTTGATACCTATGTTTAACAAATGTTGTGAAAATAAAAATATGATTGTTAATAAATATGTTATTTCATTTCAGACGGTAGCTGTGCAGCAGCACCATGTGCGTCCCATATTTGATGACATCACAGAACCAGTGCTCTCAGATGAGTGCAAGTCTGAGACGTGTATTGATGAGGAACGCGTTAAAAATGCACTTCCATTGGAGACAGTCCTTGATGAGGTAAATAACAATAGATAAATACGATTTTAATTTAAGTTGAAGTTGTGGACATTTTCATTTTGAACACAATTACACGTCTTTTGGATGGCTATACGTAGTAGAAGTGTATGTATAATTTCCACTAATAGATCTATTTGCATTCCACATGGGTAGAAGTTTGACCTCTATAGTTAATTAATACATAATTGTATGTGTTTTTATAGCAGAGATAATTGCTCTAACTTTCATTTCATCCTGTGTCAAGCCCCATGTCATATACAAATAATTAGTCACCTATTACAGTGTGGGGTTTGACTAATTACCAACTTTCATCAATATATACTGACCTAGGGGAGTAAATAAGTAAAGTTAAAATTGAATGTTTGACACACTTTAACAGAAATCAATTCGCACAGAAAAGTAGGGTCATTACACCCCCCCCCTCTAAAAAGTGTTTGTCCCTGCATATTACCAATACACACACACTTGTTGAACTCTGAAGATAGATGCTTCAGTAGCTCTCACTTATGAATATTACCATTACCATAAACAATAATTGTTCATCCTGGAGTTACTTGGACTACGAATATATTATGGACATAATTTTCTTACTCATGTTTTACTATAGATCATTTAATAAAACATGAGATGGTAGAAAGCAATGTTAAATGCAATGGAAAAGTTACAGCAGGCCTAGTACACACGGAAAATCTATACACTTGTTGAATGACAGAAAATCAGCCGCGATTATTGCGATTATTGATAAACCTATTCATGTATTATAGACCTCGCACTCCAAGCCACTTTTACATTTCATGAGCACTTTTTTTATAGAAAAACTGAGAAAACTTCACATTGTGTTATTTTATTTATGTAGATCCTTCCTCATCATCATGTGTCTAATATTTTCCCCAATGACAATTTCTGAAGATGTGATGATACGCTATAGTTGTTTTCGAAAGGTTATAAAGGACTATAAGATAATGCCCAGATTACTCCAATTAGCGAGAATACTTCTGAACAATGACAGCCACTTATTGGTATTGAGTGTATGGGAACAGCCAGCCTCTATTTGTCAAGTGAAACCTCCATATGGACTAACTATGACCCAAGATAGCAACAAAACATACGGTCAAATTTACTTCATATCAAACCATGGTTACTCCAATTTTGTCACCTTTTCAAATAACTTATCAAAATCCCATTCAACATGTGTTAGTTTTAAACATACATTATTTTTCACCTTAGAATCGATAACAAAGATAATACTGAAAGAAAATATTGTACTTGGAGAATCAATAAATGTGCAATTTGAATACATTTATGGAACACTTTAAGGATCATCTATTGATCTTATGCACATCCTCTCATCCAATTAAGGGTTCCTCATGCATTTAATCACTTTATCAATTTCCACTGTTTAATTAATTGTTCCATAGTTTTTATTAGTCATGACGTCTTCTTTGTTGTCAGTGGGCATCAATTGCTCAATCCTTGGGAATCTTTTTCCGGCTGTTTTTTACTCAAATTAAACAAATGCAGATATTTTGAGATAACACAAATGTCTTTTGCATAGATATAATTTGCTAAAAAGATTTACATATCGAATATGAGCGTGGACATTTAGTATCATAAAACAAGGAAAGGAATAAAATTATACAGAAACTTAAATGATAATTTTAATATGGGATGCTCGCTATATTACCTGATTATTCAGTATGTAACTGTGGTATAAAAGATACAAGTGATCATTAGCATATTATAACATTAAAGCATAACATCCACTTGATGCAATATCAGAATTATTAACACATAGATTATGAGTTGAAGATGTCTAATAATGCATTGTTCCATAAATCACCTTTCATCATCCGAAGCATGTTTTTTATATTCAATTCAGTCTAAGATCAATAGTTGAGCTAATTGTCTAGCTACAAGCCTCTGTGACCCCCTCTACTTGACACTTGTTGTAGTGGCTGGGGGGGTCACAGGGGCTTGTAGCTAACTACAAGGCTCTGTGACCCCCCCCCCTTTACTTATACACTTGTTGTAGTGGGTGGGGGGTCACAAGGGCCTATAGCTAGACTATTGAGGTAGAAGTAACACATACATAATGCCTGGATCACATTTGCTCCAATCCATTGGCCGGCGCCCGGCCGATTGAGTGTTTTGTTCAATATTGTATTCAATTTTGAACAAGATACTCAATCGGCCGGGTGCCATAGTAAAAATCGGAGCAAATGTGACCAAGGCATAACTGTTAGGCCATATCTGGACCAATATTGTAAAACTTTGCATGATATCAAATTGAAGTGAATTATCACAGTGAATTCAAGTGGAGAAATTATTTTAAACATTGAATAAGCAAACACACAAAAATGACACACCCTATTTTAGTAAAGGTTAAAGTAACTGACACTTTTAAATGGTACAGCACACAGTATATAATACATCGGACACATATTTCATGTAGAAAAATTGCTTTTGATTATATACAAACAATTTTGACATTCATGTTGCATAAAAAAAGATTGAAGTTCAATATTACACCCATTTGTGAGTTTTTAGCAACCTTTACTGTCATGTACAACCTCCCAATAATGAATAAAATTGTGTTATTCAGGTAAAAATGAATTTCACTAAAATATATGCGTAGGTGTAAAAAACAACATATAAACAACATGTTATTTTTTTTATTCATACAACATTTTTCTAAAAAAACTAAAGGATACAAATCATTCTTGTCCATACTATATCTTGGAGATTTTTCGTCAATGTCTCTGTTTATGTTTTCATATTCACACATCTATTTTCTGTTTCCAGTTTGATCGATTCATCAGCTCCAAAGAAGTTCACCCAGACCATGGTGGTCGTCCATTCATATTCTGCACAGACGGCCAGCTCCCTATTCGGCTGTGTCTACACCCAGAGGCCTGCAACAAATCCATACAATTGCCACAATATTTCTACAAATTTTATGACCTAAGGAAACAGTTTAAGAAATTTTACAAACCTGAAAATATTAATTCCATCAAAGATATGCTAGACTGTATCCTTTTTAAAAGAAAAAATGGTTCAAACCATACATAATCTAATAATGGCAAACCTGGTATATAAAATGAAGCCAGTGTAAAAATCCCAGAAGGGACACCCATAATGAAACGGCCCATAATATAGGGAAAGTGTTAATAATTTAATCGAGACATATGAAAGTTTTGTTCAACCAAATATCCAAGTAAGGTAAGGAAGTTTGACTTTCGGTGGTGGTAAATAGGCTAACATAAAATGGTAGATTTTTTTTATCCAATCTACAATTTGTTTGACCCATTCTATCAAGAAGCATCTGACCCTAACAAGTGAAATATGGTGGAGGTTGAAATGAACCAATCAATAGAGAATAAACCAGACAACCGACAGGAAACAATATGCACAGTTAAGATATATCAGTTCAACCATCTTTTTTATTATGAAATTCGCATCAATTTATTCTGCAATATGCAAGATAGCTTTATTATATTCAATAGACAGTTGTTCAGGATGAGGCATGTGATATGCATGGTTACCCTTCATATATTGCCCTATTCACAGTTCATTTATACAGCTCATGATCATTTATACATAAAATTAGTTATTGTTCATGGTTTTTAGGAGTTCCTTCAATTTTTGCTTTTTGGTCAAGATCATTTACAAATGGAGTTGCTGTTAATGTTCTAATGGACATACTCGTTTACCAGTTTGATTTTCAATCACACTTTGAAAACTTCATACCTTGGTTGTCCAATATGCTATTGGAGCCATTCATTGAAGGGGGTTGGGGGAGGGGTTAAATATGTTGACTCAAAGTGTAACTCATAATAATTTTGAAGGTAGCATAAACTTAATGATACTTTCAAGTGTTTTCATTATGCCATTTATAATGTCATGCATTTTAAACATACAATGTAAACTATTGGTCTAGTACTAGTGTTAAAAGTTACAGCAATAATACAGCAGATGATATTTAGTTAGATAGGGGTTGTAATATTTCAGATATATTAACATCCTAATTTATATCATAAATGCAGCTGGCAACTAGACTAGTTGATAATTTTCTACCAGTATTTCACAAAATTCTCACCATCCTTTACTAAGATAAAATTACCAAAGTTTCCATAAAGCCCCCAATTTAAAGAGAAAACTATTAGCCGAAAACTATTTATTCAATCAATTTCACAATGTAGAATAGGGGCCACTTGTCTGAATGATTGCATTTAATGTTGATTACATCTATGCACATCTTATTAATAGATCTATAATGGTATTTTTTTGATTTATGCTTTTTACACATATTCTTCAAGTGTAATATTTTACAAGATCCTACATTGATAAATTCAAACCTAGTTCTCGCGATTAGAGACAACTGATTATTAAAAAGATTAAAAAACTCAGGAATACCAAGGCAAGAGTTAACATCGAGAGAGTGCACAGTGTTTAACATAATGTACAGTGAAAGCTGTTCATACATTCCAAAAAGGCACGTTGATGCTGATCGTAATCAACATATATTAATATTCAGCCATTCAATTTCGACGGATGTTTAATTACATTTGATTAATCCTGTGACTGCATCAGAGAGGTCTGTGTTTTATGTCAATCGGTTCATTTCATCTTGAATTCAAAATGGATGACCATTCGATTGTTTTTTACTCATTCCTATTCACCTGATGAATGGAAAGTGGAAAGGGTCACACACTCTGTGGCATGTTCCACTTTTTCTTTTATTCAACAGTTTGTCATGATTTGTTTTGTTTGCAGAGACAAACCATGGCTACTGTGCCAATTCATCAATAACTAGACACAATTCTATCAGAGTAGGGTGGAAATGGGGGCTGTATTTAATTTCAATCAATTAGCCATCATTTTCTAAAGACATAAAAAATTATAACTGGAATTGGGAATCACTCTTGAATTATATTTCACAACCATTGATTCAGCATTTGAAGTTGACCCATTTTGGCTTTGAGGTTATGACCATATCTGTACTTTTTGTGTTTCGATACATTTAACCATTATACTGTATATCTATACCTATAATATAGACTCACCTGTTCTCTGCATCATGACCAGACCCACAGTCACATTTCCTAAAAACAAACAAAAATATTATTATTTTATTGATATGTGCATTCAGTCTAAGGCCACACATTGTTTTTAAGAGTAATCTTTTAGGAGCAAATTCCAAGGTGTTTAAACAAACCCTTTCAAAAAATACTCACAAAAAGAGATACCTGTATTGGTTAACATTGGGATTCCATTTCTGATACTTGTAGCTTTTTTTAGAACATTTGCGCAATTTTATGATAATGCCTTCCTCTGTTTTTAGTTTGATTTTTTCTACCAATATGTGTTTAAAAAGAAAAATATCTGTCTGAGAATTTCATTATGACTGAAGTATATTAACAATGCAAGGAGGCTCAGGTCAAGACTTTTAACTTTTACATGAATGTATTCAAACATCTATTGTTCAGTATTTATATAGCTGTATCATGGAGTATTGGTTCAACAGTAATGTTACACTTGTCCCTCCTTTCAGCCACAAAAAAATCTATTATTGCGCAAAATTAATTGTTACAGTCAATATTGCACGGTCCTTTCAGATTATGTCATACTGCGAATTCTGTATGTTTTAATACAAGTGTTACTTTGGGGTTATTTGGTTAGTATTAAAAAATCCACAATTGTTAAAAATGTAATTGGTAAAGTCAATATTTAAGGATCCTGTTTATACTAGATTATCAGTTACATCATTTTGTAGGACTTTCTGAATATCTACGTTTGTTTGGGTACATTGTATTTCTTCGTGTCATTTGAATTCTTAAAGTAAACATGGTCAAACAAGAAATATCCTGAGGTCCCGAGGGTAGTAGACCTAGTATATTAAGTTCTCTTTTAAAGAGGGGAATTCAAACTATTAAAAAAAGATTCAAAGGGTGGACTATGGTATATACCAAATCTCTAACTGACCCTCTCATAATCACCACAAACTTGGGTTACCAATTTACTAGTACTTTTATTGAAAAGAAATGTACACGACTGAGAATTGAAAATGTAAAATTCATTGAATGTTCACTGAAAAAACAAACTGTATTCAATATTGTTGAAATTTTGAACATTGAACTTAATAAGCACGTCTAGATATATATACAGTACATGTAGTTTAAGTTTGCTGATAAATCATGTTCATATAAGAGTCATCATATTTGCTATAGCATTAGCTATGTTAGCATGAAGCTGTATCAACCCACTCCTAAAACAAAACCCTACTTGTTATGAGTGCCCCCTCTCTCAACTAACTGCCATCAGAGCTTTTCAATGAGGTAGCCATGAACAGGATAAAAAAGGAAAGCCAATAATCCCCATAAACAAATAAACATATTTAGCTACATAGCTCCATTAATATGTTAAAGTATCATCTTGATAAGGCTCAATTAATAAGCGTAAAATTAATTAATGGTATATCAGTTGAAATTGTTAACACAAGACAAGAGCATGAAGAGCATGTTCATTCATTCTTTTCAATTTTCAGTTTTGGAGAGTTGAACTTTTTCAAAGTTCTCACATGGAACGTGCCTTGAATTATAATGTTGTCAAAGAAGATACTAGGTCCCTATCTCTGTACACATATGGAATCCTCCTTCAATCTTTTACTCATGTAGCTTTCTAGTTAACCACCCAAACTGCTAGAAGTATTTAAGCCTTTATTTGTTCAGGATTATACTTTATTTAATCATTTATTATGAAAATGAGAATATCAACCATCAAAGCAAAGACTAGACCAATTAATTTATGTACGTGTGTGTATACATTCTGACATTAACAATATGTCAAATACTATTGAGATGGGAAGTAAAAGTCAAATGTTTCTAATGGTAAGCTCGTGACATTTTTTTCATTTAATGTTGTACATGTGTTTTCATAATTTTTGTTGCCTTTATGTTTGGACATGTTTAAAATGTCCCTGCTAGTTAACATCAAAATAGGATTAAACCCTCTTTCTACTTGGTATACAGAGGCTATGCCTATAGCCAGGGGATGTGGGGTTGGGCCAAAAAAATCATGCATTGTTTCACCATTCTGAGGCGGCAACTTGAGTCAAGAGTTTAACAGGAAAAGCAACAGGTCAAAGTGGAGACTTAATATTACCACGAGTTAATAATTATCGCAAACATATATTTCACTTTCAGTAATTGAAACCAAAAGGTGTACAAATAAAGTTCATTGGGTTGAATAGGTGTGCTTTATTGTGCATTGGTGTGCATTGGTGTGGTGTGGTGCATTATAATGAATGGCCCTTAATGAGATGAACATTAAACTACAATGACCTGAATATAATAAAGCTTTGACTTCAGCCCATTACACTTCCAAGTAATGAACCTCACTTCAGATCATTCTACTCCTTGAGAGTTCACATTAATAGAAAACCACCAGACTTCATGGGCAAGTGAATTTTGTTCTTAATGTATTTCTTTCAACCATGTGGAATATATTATGTTTTATTAAGGCAGACCATTCATTCCCCATATTCAAGGGAACTGGTCTCGTGTGCATTTGTATATACAGGGGTTTCACAAGAATTTCTCATGTCAGGCCAAATAAATGAAAACAACAAGCAAAATTAATGGAAATCATAAATTTAACATGGAAAAGTTGAAAATTCCCTAAAACAACAGGCGATTTTGTGAAAACAACCAGTGAAAATCGCCTGTTGCCTGCTGCTAATGAAACCCCGGATATAGCACATGATCTCGGGTGAAATTTGGTTGAGGAAGCAATATTGTTTGATACGGTTCAACTGGTATTTATCATTGTTTATATTTTCAAATGTTGCCCCTTTGCTTTTTGCTTTTTGATTAGGACCTGATTTCAGGTGCTAGGCCTAACATTGATTGAGCTTGCGATTCGTTTGAGCTTAGCTAGTATGTTATGTAGGATCTATTTCAGGGTGTTGACTGTTAGCATTAGAGTTTAATTTAAAATTAAAGTTCAATACTAATTTAGGCTATACACATAAACTTTTAACCTTTGCCATTAACCAGTAAGACATCTAAGACATGTCAATGGGTGGGTGGTGGACCTTTGTTTCAATGTAGAGAATAGATTAAAACACTTGATACCTTCATAGAAGAGAAGAAATGGATAGGGGACAACGTATCTATAGCATTGCAATGAGGGCAATTAATATTCTAATATTTGACATTGCCCATGAAATAAACCTTCAATAGTCATGATTACAAATGTAAAATTGAGTGTAAAAGAGTGAAACTGACAAATAATTTATAAAATAGGCATCTAAACAACACTCTAAATTGTATGGAAATTCCCCAAAATTATATATTTTATTCAAATTTTAGAGAGAAATTGGATAAAATATGCATGACCTGTGATAGGTTATGAATGCAGGTGTAAACAATGAAGGGTCGTCTGCTGCCACGGCACTGTCCTTGTTGTCAAACCAGCTGTTGACCAACAGTAAACACATGTTGCACACCCCCTAATCACCTCTAATAGATAAAAGCATCATGTTATTTTAGTATTTTACATGTTTCTTTAATCATTTGATTCAAAAAAAGCTTGACTTCAGTGAGTAATAATCATACATCATATATGAGCTGTTTTACAATTCAAAATTTAAAAGGCACATCATCAGAGATGGTGATTGGGAACCACTGGACATTGATGGGAGGGAGAGGGTGTTTCATTGGAGGTATCTATTCCTAATGACAATGCAAGATTATACCCTCAAAGATAATTACCTTGCATCCTATGTTACTACTAAATTAGCATACACACCATTGACAGTAGCACACATTTGCATATGAAAAAACTGCAATCATAAACCCTGGGGTAGTTAACTGATAAAAGACCTATCTTGGAACTGCTTCAAGATAATAGGGCATAAAGTGGTGTTAGAACTTAAAAACTAATTATCCCATGCAGCCGAAGATGTGGACAATTAATTGTCGAGTTGAGATCAATTAATTGCGGATATTAGAATTTCTGAGATGTGATTGTAATCAAGTAGAGATAAAAATGAATTCTTCATTGCTACAAAAACTTTCTGTTCAAAGCAATCAACTATCCCCCCTCTTACATGCATCAGTATATCTGAATACCCACCCCCCCCTCTTCATGAACTAGAGAGCTTATGCTATTCATTTGAAATTATTGGAAAACAATATTAAAGGTTTTTTGAAAGGTCACTTTATCATTTTAGTTTAAACATAATCTCATGTGCATGGCTTGTAACAATAAGAATGAGGATTTTCAGCTATCAATATATATTCATTAATATTTATTGGGGTTGAGTCTTTATAAAATGTGTCAATCTGAACAAGTTTTCAAAGCTAATATTTGATAAAAATCTCAAGTGGATTTCATAGACACTATGGTACAGTGTATATCAATGTTAATTTTTAATCTATTCAAGAATACTTGTTAAAGTTTAACTTCTATGTGGCAGAAGCTACAAGTACATATCTGATACATGTTAGCAGAAGCTACATGTTAAGCCAATATAAATTTTTATAATTACTGATGACTGATCTGAGTTATCTGTCTTTGTTTAATATTATTAACCACCTATTGTGATGTCACTAAAACTCAGTATTGTATTTAAGATTATATTTCAAAATTAAAATTAGATTTTATCAATGATCCTTAATTGATTCTATCACTACCTATGTATATGGACAGTTGACCAAGAACACAATGGGAACAAAATGGGGCTTAAACTGCTAAATGAATGCTTCTTTCCATATAAGGTTAATTGGTTACAACTGCAAAAGATAAACATAAAAAAGTTTGCATTGCCTTTTGCAGTTTGCACACCACTGTACTTGTAGTTTGCAAGGCTCATTGTAAACTCTCCTTTCACAGATTGCACAAATCTCCATTTTAAGTAAAGAAGGTAACTTTTTCACTCTACCTATCTTAATTCACCCAGACTAACTGGTGAGAAACGAGCTCAACTATAGTTACCACTGAGCAAATCGGTCAAAAAAAATATCTCTGCATGCATAGAGAGAACCCCTCACTTCCCCCAATTTGTACTTCTCTCAGTTAATTGATCATTGACCATTCAGCTCAACCACTGGGAAACCACAAAAACTTTGTTGTTTAAATTGTCTGAATTAAAGTAGCACAGGGTGTTACACTTTGATGGATATCACATAGCCTTCACATAGCCTTTTGTAGCCCTGGATAATTTTTCTTCATGGAATTTTTAACATCTGTATTCTATTTTATTTTCTTACTCAAAGTAATCTGACAATTTTAATGGTTTAACTTTTTTTTCATCTGAGGTTTTGTTCATTTTAAATAAAACTGTGTTGAGTAACTAGCAACAAGATGAAAGGATGAGCTGCCGATTTGCAAGCAAGCGATTTTCCAAATGATTATCATAAAGACTTAAGGATGGGGGATAATTGACCTCAAAATTCAAAAGTCCATATAATCAACATGGGAACTATTGCTTCAGTGAACAAAATACAAGCCCACAAGAATAGTTTCTAAAGCATTTTGTGTTTGAAAGGGATATATACCAGTTCCGCCAAGACCCGGACATGCGCTTTATTTTGATCTTGAAAGGGTTGACTGCACGCCTTAAAGGTCACCCTCTAAAAAATAAACACAAACTTTTTCTTATAAATACAATGTAGATATCTCATACATGAACGTTGGCAAGAATTTTTCGATTGACTGTAAAAATGTCAGTTCTGAATCGATGTTGAATAGTGCCTCATGCAGATACTGGTGTCACATGGGGTCTTTAAGAAATGAGACACTTGCTTTTTATGTTCAAAAGATAATGGGTTCTTTGAGAATCACAACCCCTGTCTTCGATCCAAAGGTCTCATCAATTGAGTCTGTATTAATACGACACACATGCAATTTTTTGTCCCATCAACAAACCAAAACCTTTGATGAATAAACGATTCGTCTTTTCATTTTTTATTTCATGTTCATTTGATAACACTGTGAAAAAGCTAAAACATGGAAATGAGGGTTATATTCAAACTCCGATACAGTGTCTCGGAATAGATTGTAAAACTGACCTCAAACCTCTCCATCCACCTCTTTTCCTTTTGATCCAAACAAAAAGAAAGACAAATACTCGTACATCTCTTAATTTTCATTACTTATTATTGTATAATTTAAGTATTATTCATTAAGCATTAATAAATAAATTCTATATGATTTGTATGCAAATATTTCCTTAACTTTGTGCAGTCTTAGGTATAGAAGAGGCGCTATCTATGGACTGGGGTATGAGGCAATGTCACGAGATGGCAGCCATTATGCACAGACTTATAAATGATGGTAAGTTAGTTAAACTCTTCTTCTTTATACGTTAGTACAGTAAATATATTAAACATTTTTCCTGCAAAAAATGTTCACTGTTGGTAGCTGTTCACTATGGAGAGCGTAATTTAAACAGAAGTCAGTAAAGTATGTGTGGAGGAAGGTAGAGTGTCTACTGAAACAGGTGTTCACTAGAGAGAGGTGTTCACTTAGAAAGGTTTTACTGTACTCAAAGCCTTTCCTTAAGACAGTTCATCATAAAATGCAGAATACGCAGACTTTCTACAATACCTTTAAATATTGAAATGTGTCAATTTTTATATGTGAAAAAGTCTTTAATGCCTAAGGGGATTGACATTATTATATTCTGCTAATATGTACTTATTATTAATTCTGCATAAATATTGGAAAAAATGAAGAGGAAAATACAAATATTCTACTACATTCCTGCATTCCAAGCATCATTTCTTCCACTTGAGTAAAGAGAAACAAATTGCAAAGCAAATGATTTGAACAAATGTGAAATTCCCAATAACTCGGATATTATTATATTTTACACCTGGATGGTTTCAGCGTTGTCATTTACCAATATTCTCCTCCTCCCACAATCATTTTAACCTTTATATTCAAATGTCATAGTCGAACCATATATTACAAGTTGTATTTAAATGTGTAATGAAATTATATGAAATGTCCATCCAGGTAATACTCATTGCATTATCACATTAAATATACTTTCATACTTTTTCATGTTAATTGAACTGTTAGTATGGAGGTTTATATCAACTTCGTTTATTGTTTTCCTACGTTTTCATGTTAATTGAGCTGACAGTATAGAGGTGTAGTGTATATCAACCAATAAACCCCTGCTAGGTAATTAATACCCAATCACAATGTCAAGTACTATTAAAAAACAATTAGTTCTCATGGGAAGAAAAAACAATATGTTAATTACCATATTGTGGAGTGAAATTATAATTACAAATGATAATTTACAATGCTAATATTTTGATGTTGTTTGGTGCAGAGTGTACCTGTTAGTAATATCATGCATGTTAAATTATCATATGGACCTATGACAACCTTTACATTTTTTTCAACTTTTTAAAGTTATTATCTTTTTTCAATCCATGCCTGACCACAAAACAAACAGACAATCATCTTTAAAGGATCTTATTTCGACCACTTAATTCAGGACTACAGTAACCACTTTCAAAGAATATATGTCTGGCCAATTCTCGCTCAAGACTTAAGATGTTCAATGTTAAAAGACAGATTCACTCTAAACATGTAACTGATAAAAATAGTAGAACGACTCATCATGATCGATCTTTATCTTTGTTACAAATAAATTAAAACTCATTTTGTAGCAAATATATAAAAATGCTACAGCGCTGAATTGTATACATAGGGACCTATAAAATATCCCCTACAATACATCATTCCTGTTGGATTTAATCCAAGCATTTACTGAATATGCCTACATTGGATTAATAATGTTTCACATAGATTATCATTATTGGTAATACAGTATTATTCACATCATCTCAAACTGAGCTAAACCTACATTTGTGTACATGGGATAAATATATAAATCCATGGGGATGTGCGCTAGACTGAACAGCAGATGAGCAGTAGTTGATATCGGAAATATAAGAGAAAAATGGTTAACTTAATTGATACAACATTATGTTGATTTGAATTGATAAATAGAGATATCCTTGTGGGCAAGCATTAAATAATAACATGCACGTAATAAAAAACATTCTGAAGCGGATTCTCGGAAAAAGTTCTCAATAAATTTCTTTGCAATCATTTAGAAATATTTATGTCATTATGACATTAGAAATATGAAATTTTAAGAAATGTTCTGAGAAACACTGAAAATTCTGTTTATTATCCCGAGGAAAAAACTTGAAGATACTGGCTTCCACGAAATAAGTGTTGGTCATCATAATTTATCCTTGCTAGGTAAATCAGTTAATCTCAAGTCTAGACTCGTAAGACATTTATTTCAAATCATGTGTATGTAAAATGGATTTATATCGGAATCCAAATTCATCACATTTATCTTCATTGTAAGCATATCAAAAAATTGCAAAATAAAATTAATAGGATTCTTAATTCAACAAAATCTAATAGTTCATGTATGCACATCAAAGTTTCAATAAAGATCAAATAACTAATATCTGGAAATGTTAATAAAGTTTTAAACACAAGTTTTGCATCCTCTGTTTAATATCAGCACAATTCAAATATGTAAGAATTATTAAAATGAATGTGATAAACTTATCATTTCCTCAATCGATGCAGAAACAAAATGCTTAATAATATTTTCTGAAACATGTTTAATCAGAAATACCTCAAAGCCTCTTTTCTGAATGACTTTTTTATTTTATTTTGTATCAATCTTGATTAACATTTGAAAATGGCATTTTTAAATTACACAGCGGTTCAAAGTTTTATCTGCAATACTCAACATTTGTGAATTAAACAAAGACATCATAGAGGCACATGTTACCTTTGTTCAAATGATAGCAAGTAGGGATAAGGTCACAATTATTAATTAATAGTCGGTAACATGCTGTAGTTAAACACGCTCAATACCAGGATACACAACTTAAATGCTATTTAAAGTTTACATTCAGTTATAATTAAGAGCCATAGTTTGAAGCATACATTTGATCACGTTTCGATGAAGTTAAAATAATTCCACATTTTCATATTCATAAATGAATCATTTAATAACTATTTTCAATAAAACACCCTCAAAACATAAGTTGACTCAAAAGCCTTGTAGTTAAACATATCAATGACAAACTAAACCGACTTTTTCACACAGGACTCTGTATAACTCGACTAAACACTCTCTAGTATAAACTTGTCATTCTCTACTCACAATACAAAGCTCTTATTCATGTTTGTCAAGTAAAAAACTAACAAATAAGTGGTACACATTGGCAGATATCAGATGAAGGCCCTTCGTAAGTTGATGGTCCGGGACAAGCATTCATTGATTCAAACACCTTAATGCCCCTCATATCACCCCTTTGGCTTCCTTTTAAGGAAAATGACCCTCATAAAAAATCTTTTAAGGAAAATGACATCTGCACTTGCATCATGTGTGGTTTGAAACAAATACAATGACATCAACATTCATACAATGCTTTTCCCCAGAATATCAAACTTTTGGAATTTAAGACCATTCTTCAGATATGTTGGTAAACATCTAAGGGCACAATATGACCAAGATATTCCCCAGCACTGTAAACACTACAAAGTAACCACCCTGGAATGTTCATTTATATAACACGACTGAGCATAATAAAATGACATGAAAACATTTTCTTAATTCATTACTGTGACTCCTCCTTAATAATATAAAGAAATGTGACATCGTTTTTGTACAAACCAACTAATCAAGGAAAATATTTTACTGAAGTACCAGTGAGCGCCATGTTTACTCTATGCCGCTGTTTTGACAAATTGAAGAGAGGTCAGACACCTTTACCTTAAACCAAATTATAGAATATTTCACAAAATGATTGGGATAGATATAAGCGCCTGATAGCCTGAAGTAGGTTGAATCAACATTGCAAACATTCATATATGGTTGAATAAGATTTGGTTGAATCCACTCACGTAAAAAATGGAATGTTTGTACAGACAAATCTTACATTTAACATGGTTTTGGAACAGAATACTAATTTGTCACTTTCAAAGAATTATTCATCTTCAAAATGGCTTGCACTTTTATACCATTCAAAAGTTTTTTTCACCTTTTTTATTTTCTTTTTTTCATGTACACACATTTCTTTATATTTTTCTGCCATAATGATATACTAAAATACTATATATATTCTGTACTGTTTTTTTATTATCAAATCACATGCAAGGAATAACCAATATACATGTATTACCAATATGGCTCTTATCATCAAACCTCAGAAATATTATAATATTTGCCTCTTCTGTATTTACCTCTTCTATATTTGCCTCTTCTATATTTACCTCTTCTATATTTGCAGGACATGACTTAGGTGAGGCAGAGGTGGTCAAAGATGGCCTGGAGCCAGGAATATGGTGAGTAAAATTGACATCATTTCTCCATATTTTCTTTTTAACAGAACAGCAAGTTCTTTCCATGGTTAATCAAAGCCATAACTGGCAAAGGAAAGTGTCAAATCCAAAAGAATATAATCCGCAGAGTACACAGTGGTACATATATAACACAAATTTAAAAACAGAATTGATAAACCAAAATTAGAAGACTTAAACTACAATCATGATATTTATAAAATCAAAAGTAAATCCAAACTGAACATGTTAATTCAGCCAAGCCACCAAATGCAAAAGGGATGGAAATTTAAACAATTCAAAATTAAATTTGGTGACAAAATCATGAAACTAGGCTCAAGCCTCTCAATAAGGTGATTTGTACACAAATATAGATTTGTGACAAAGCTTAAGTCCCCACACCTTATAACAGCCAGCTGTAGAATCTCCCAGGACATTTTTTCAGCCCAACATTTTTATTTATCACTGCAACATTTTGTTCAATTCACACAAATTAGGTAAAGTACTCATATATTCAGCCCATAATTACAGGATAAGGAGCACTTGGGCCATTCCTTAAAATATCTTTTTTATTTTCCTCAAAAACAGTACAGCATATATTTTTGACATGGCCTTCACATAATGTATGCTGCATTAAAACACAATCATGTTCACCAGTTATAAAAAGCAACTAATATACGTTGGATATCTGGACAGAACTTCTGTCACATGACATCAATGGTCATGTGACACTGACCCTGGCATACAAAGTGACATTCATTTCCAAGCGGCAAACCTTACCCATTCTTTTCTTTAAAATGTTACAGATATTAAACAGACATTATGTTGTCCAATGTATTTGTCAATTTAACAAGAGATAAGTCCATGTACATAATCCAGCTCAGTAGAAAAGCAAATAAACATCGAGATTTGGATGTAACTAAATTGTACATAAACAGAAGTCACCAGACCCAGTATACATACTATCAAATACTTTGAACTCTGAACTGAGCACTTGTTAATCATAATGGATATCTACTCAATCTACCCCCCCCCTCCCCCCATTGAAGGTCTGAACTCTGACATGATACATTGCACCAGCATATAAGTTCATAGATCAGATGCATGAGCAATAATACTATTCATTGACAATGAGAAGTTTAATCAGATAATACGGTGAATCCTTCAAATGAATGAACACATTAAGACCTACAGAAAATCATTCACTGTTGATAGGTGTTCACTATCAATAGGTGTTCACTGTTATCAGGTGTTCACTGTTTCCTGTTAACATGTGACCTTGTAATTGCATTGTCAGTCATAACAAACAGAAACATTTAAAAACTTACAAACAAAAAACTTCAAAAGCAAACAAATGGCCAGTTTATCAATTAGATACACTAATTGATTATCATTGTTAAACTCAAGGTGTGATAATTGCAGTGTATTTGTCATGAAGGAGCTGTTGTCTTTCAATTTAGGTTGAGGAAGGTGTATGATGGGAACTGTTGCATATGTTTGTGGCAGTCTACATCACGTGTTGTCTTATCAGGTCTCTTGATATACTTTATCTAGACTAGCCCCTTTGTTCATAGTTGTCCAGCATTTGTGTGTCAACTTCTTTACCCATTTTGAAACCAAATGTATGAAAATTCCTGTGTTGTGTGAGCTAATTATTTGGTTTTAGACAAAACCTGGAATTAACATATTAGTGTATTCCAATATATAGTTTATTCATCCTGGAAAAACAAACTGTCTATATATAACTCAAACTGTTCATAAGGAGCAATAGAAAAGAGAGGCTTCTCCTTCAGGAGACAATGGGAGATATAAAACAATAAAAATATCAGGAAATATGACATCACAATTGGCCTCAACAGACAATACAAACTCAGAAATGCACATGATGCTATATTCCCATCATATTGCAATTACTCCTTGAATGAGGTCAATGGTATAATTGCAGTTACTGTTTGAGTGGAATTTCTGAACGACTACAGAACAGGATAACCTTGCATCCATCACACATATACAAGTATACATCAATGATATCACAGTATCTCTTATTTTGATTTTTTATACACAGAATATAAGGGCAATTTGTAAGCTGATATCATAAAAGTACCATATAAGTAACTGATGTTGCTGTTTAATTTTGCCCTCTTGAACAAAACCAAAATATTCATCAATTTGGCCCCTCCTATGTCTAAAATGCTGCCAACATATTAAATGATTATTTTATGTGGCATATATATCACATCTCATCATAACTAACTAGTGGGCTTGATATATATACATGTTTATCAACATCTTTAGCATATTTTTCTGCAGGTGATACGAGAAAATATGTTTATCACATACTGGTACCAGGTTGATATAGGCCCATTCAAGTGACAAATATATCATTATATACAACTAACATATCAGAATCATTCTCTCCTTCCCATAGTTCCACTCTTACTATTCTCTCTCCAGAGCAAAGTTGATGAGTTTTTGCTATTTCTGTTGATGAGATTTTAGCTATTTCTGTTGATGAGTTTTTAGCTATTTCTATTGATGAGTTTTTAGCTATTTCTATTGATGAGTTTTTAGCTATTTCTGTTGATGAGTTTTTAGCTATTTCTGTTGATGAGTTTTTAGCTATTTCTGTTGATGAGGTTTTAGCTATTTCTATTGATGAGTTTTTAGCTATTTCTGTTGATGAGTTTTTAGCTATTTCTGTCGATGAGTTTTTAGCTATTTCTCTTGATAAGAGGTTGCAAACTGATTGAGACCCTCCCCCTTTTAACAGTCAAATATATACAGTTTGTATACTGTATATGTGATATATGTGATCATAAATTAAAAATACTGATAATAAATAAACAAATAAAAGCAAACAAATGTTGATACGCATCATCAACAAATATCATTTCTCAAAACAAAACATTCAATTATTTGTTTTTCACATTTGATCTTTTCAAATGATATATATTTTATGGCTTTGGTAATGTCACTGACTATTTACAATGATAAAGCCTGTCAAGTTGAAAGCATGTTTAACTTTTTCTAATGGTGGTTTGTTTGCTTGCGATGAATCTGATATGATATGTCATATCATGTAAATGGTTTGAAACCTTTACTATCCATGTTTTACATTATGGCTTATTAAATAAGTGAACTTAAATCTACCGAGTCATTTATGAGCAGTGACCTATGACGTTATGAAACAATAAAAATACTTAATATGGTATTTATGTATGGTTTTATGAACATGTCTTGTAAATATATTTCAGGCTAATTAATAGAATGGTGAATCCAGGATGTTTTGATATACATAAGGGCATGGGATCATATGCAGAATGTAAATTCTAATATATCTACTAAGGTTTCAATAGTTAATGATGTGGCAAACATTTCATGTTATTTAATGCATATATTTTATATCATTTTATATAAAAATGCATATATTACATGAATAGTATCATATTGGTCTTCCAAGCATGCATTTTTATTTCTATTGGAAAAACTATTATTATAATATTACTGTTTAACATCACAATATGAGAGACTTAACACCCCCTCATTCCAACTCATCTCCATGGTTAATGCCTTATATGGACATGATGACATTGTTATACAAAGGGTCACTATATGTAGTAAAACCTGTGTATATTGAACATTTTCTGCTAAAAACAACATTTAGTGTTGGTAGGTGTTCACTACAGAGAGGGTAATTTATACAGAAGTCAATAGAGTATGATCAGAGGAAGGGTGTCCACTACGGTGTTCACGAGGGAGAAGTGTTCACTAAGAAAAGTTTTACTGTAGTATCTCAATAAACAGCAGTAAACTACATGGTGAAAGATGAACGCATGGTATCAAGAAAAAAGTCGCTGAACAATTCAAATTCCATATAATTTCTCTTTCGATTTCTGAACAAACTGCATCACAATCTGGTATTTCCAAGCAACTTGGAAAGTGAACTTTGTATCTGTTTGTTTCATTCATTGCTACTCCTATAGTGTCTAACACTACTGTAGATTTCATATGTCCACCTTATTATTTTATTGGTAGGAATATTCATGCACACATTGTGTACTGACAATAAAGGACTGAAGCAACAGGCTGTATCCCATAAGTTATCTTTACGATTCTCCAGCAAGAAATTTCAAAGTTTGTGAACTCATTCTCAAAGCATTAGTTAAAGGGCTAAATGAGAATTAGGAATTCATGAAAGAAAAGTATAAAATTATATATTAAGAGAAAATCATTCAACGTGTAGATTTATTAAATATCAAATTGAATTTTATACAGAAAACCACGGGTTTAAATGAGTGCTATAAATTGTTTGCCAGGGAATTGATCGCTTTTCCAATAGTCTGTTCAGAGAAATTTGAATAAAAAATTCAATAACGTTTACAGCAAGCTTTGCAATGCAAATAGATTCTTTCAAAAAGTTTTTCTCATTCCTAGCCCTAGCCTATATCCATAGTTGTTTAGCATGCAATATACACTGTGTCATCTCCCAGAACCCGACCTAAGATGACACCAAAAGTTCTTAAGATCTAAGATATATTAGGCAAATAATTATGGAAAATCTTTGAAGCTATTGTACACAGTATATATAAGGGCCAACAGGTTAAAAACTATGTGCATTTATATATTATACTGGATGATGGTATGCTGACCAAGACAAAAGTACCCGGTAAATATGAGTTACTTTGCATGTAATGGAAGATTCTTGTAATTCGTAATGGATGTCATTTTTGAAATCATTATCATAATGGAATTTTATTTTTTATCCATATTTTTCTGGTTTAATGTAATTTTGCTATGTTTATACATAATTTCTATAAATGGAGCGCAGGTGGAAAACTTATCTTTTTGAGTTTCATCATAGTTTAAAAAAGTATCTATAGCAGGTAGCAGAATTGCCTAATTATGAATAATTTGGTAATTATGAATATGGTCTAATTATAACTGCACATGGGAAACAAAGGCTACTTGGGAAGTGAGTTATGACATTCATCATTGATGATAATCAAACAATTGAGCCTAGGGTACGAACATCCATGATACTTTTATTAAAATTATTAATTGATCTATTTGCCTATTACGGATATTCTAATTTTATAATTTATTGCAATACTGTGTGAAGGCAACGTAGGCTGAGCAAACACTACGATGAATTCAATGAAACAGCATCCATTGTTTGAGTAAAATTGCCTACTGAAGTAAATCAACAATCCAATGATGAATCAAAACATAAAATGTGGTTTTATTAGTTTTTGAGTTCAAAGTCAAAATATATATGAAGACTGTTGAAATTATTTTTCCTTAAAAGTAATGCACAACAATGAGTGAGCTGTAATTGAAAATCAAAAGGGTTCTACTCCTCATTGCTATTGTGTTTGAAGTACCCTTGTATTGATGTAGCAAATATAACCTTTCAAATAATAAAATAAAAAATATAACTTTCAAATAATAAAGCTATGATTTCTATAATATGTTGACTTATGAACATCTGGGAAACCATATGGTTAACAGGGCACAAAAGGTAACATTTCTTACAGCTTCGATGCAGAAACCAATCCTATACCACATTGCCCCAGAACATTTTGGTTACCTTTAAAACCTTTTTTGTTGTTGTTTCCTTACACATGTATATCTGCATTTAATGCAGCACTGGTTACTCCCAATCAAAATAAGTTAATCATGTAAGTCAATTTGAAATTTTCAAAGTTGAATTTTCCTGGAATGCATCTATTGAACTCTATATAAAATCAGACATAGTATGTTGGACATTTAATTCAAAGCTGCAACATTTTATTGTTACACTATTGATTGGTAATCAATCAAACACAAGTGTCTTGGTTAATGGAGTAATTATACATTGAAAAATGAGTTTGAAAATGCCATACCATTTCCCCTGGAGTAATATTTAAACAAATACCCAGGATAGATTTTTGTTTAAAGATGATTAGGTCTCTACTTTGCGTGGAAAAATCAGGAGATACTTCAGATGTTTCAACAATTAACCACACAGTGTTAGCCACACCCTAGCATACCTTTAAAGTAACCCATAACAGCGATAATTTGCCAGTTATTTTGATGACAATTATTTATAACAATCACCTGATGCAACAAATGCAGAAGTTAAGTGCAGCATAATTCAATGGTGCCTTGAACAATGCTCGATCCTTTCAACATTTACGTGGCAACAAGTGCCTACCAAGAATATGCAATAATCTTACCAACTTCACCATTCTCTACTTCCTTCAACCCCAACTGTTTTTTACATAAAAACTGTTTATTTCATGATATACGTAACAAAGATAAAGCTCAACAAAGTAACTAGGATTTATTCCATAGTTAGCATGATATACATAGGATAACATGTGGAAATAAAAACGGTATTTTTGTAATCAGTGGTAAAATATGATATTTTTGACAAATTTTCACTTAACCATAGCATACGGTTTTTTAGCCATGACATACGACGTCGTATGCTATGGTTTATGGATTTTTGCTACTTCAGACTCAAAACGAGGCTTAGTGTAAACATCGCCGGATCGTTTGGAAAATTCGAAATAAATCACTTAATTTCCGACGATTCTGATGATGACTTTAACTATGGAATAAAAAGAACATCCTATGATTTACTCGTGATATGATTTTAATCCACTCATGGATATTGATATCTGCACTCTCTCGCTACGCTCGCTCGTGCAGATATCATATCCATTCGTGGATAAAAATCATATCACTCATAAATCAAAGGATATCCTCTATATACACAATACTGGTGTAAAAATTGAATCCACACAGATATACACTACAATATTTAGAACTTTCTTGATTTTCATAATACATGATTTGTTTGTATGTATTTCCAGCACAAAGGCAGACTATGTTGATGATGAGACAGTTATACGCGCCAGAGGGTTACCATGGCAATCATCTGATCAAGATATAGCACGATTCTTCAGGGGACTAAATGTAAACAGGTAAAGAAACAATCTTGCACATACAACAGTAAATAAACATGTATGTGGGATGACTATTTATGGTAGAAAAGTACATATGATTCATTCGCATACTGCAGAACTAACGGTGATCCAAACACAGGTTTCTGAATGAAGAGTTGTAATATCAAAATAATGCTAAATGAAGCTAGCATACGCTGATTTTAACTTTAAATTTCATACCATCTTTTCTTCAATTGTACATTCCATAATAATCTTAAAATTTAATTGCCAATACAATATTTAAACAAAAATTTATTGCTTTGCCTAAATTCACAAACATTCAAATCATCTGCTGATGAAGAATTAGCAAAGACAATAGCAAAGGAGAAACAATGCAAACAATGACGAAGACAAAGTTGAAGAAATGAACTGAAATTAACAAATGTAGAAATGACACCCAGGTGTGACTTAATGGGCAATTCCCAATAAGTTCAGCTTATATTTCAAATGTAAAATCAGCTTCAAACTCAATCATTATTTATTCAATCTGACAGTTGAGACATTTGCTATTGTTTGGATTTGCAACAGTTGGCAAAGTTATTGATTTTAAATTGAGCAGATCATCAGTGATATTGATCCACGTATTAACACTTGGTTCATTTTACTTTTCAATTGTGTAGGTGTTGTCTCAAATTTAAATTCATGCATATCCTACAGAAACTGTAAAGTTTATATCAAATTTCCTTTTTTTTAACCAAAACATAATCTTATTTACATACACCTATATATATTTAACAGATTCAGCTTAATGGGCATGGTATAATATTCAAAATGGCGTGAATGTAATGCAACATTAATTCAATCATTGATAAATGTCTGCATTGTTTGGTCAAACAGGATTATCATGTGACATGATAATTGTGTCATATTCCAGCACATTATGAACTGAACCTTAACTGTCTATGCCACGTGTAAAAACAATATTCGTTGTGACTGCATGTAACATCAGATATGAAACTGATTCATTTTTATTAATTTTACGAGGCAGCCATTTTGAAAATATTGTAATCCTTCAAGCGCTAAACTAAAACTGTTATTATTATTCTCATAAAACAACATGTAGAGTTTATACAATTATTAATGTTTCTAAAATCAATCCCACCAATGTGTTACTATGTAAATATATTTATTTTCAACTCCATGTCTATTTACTTTCCACATCATGCATGGTAAATCATCAACTAGGCACAACATATCTCAATATTAAACACGTGGAACAATGGTGAACATATTTCTATGTAAGACATAATATATGACGAAAATGCCATATTATAAAACTCAATATAGGAATGGTGTACGTATGCCACTAAGGTAGGTTTATCACAAAATGGTATTTGGAAAATGAGAATGAGATAACTTGCATCATCAATATCAACAATGATAAAGTCTGGGAGAGGTGTCACAATAAAACATAAAATGAATGAAATGGTATGGCATACCCCTGTGCTCATAAATGGAATAGACATTGAATGAATTCATAACATACAGATTGCATGTTATTTTAGGGGAGGAGTAGCACTGTGCCTGAGCCAACAAGGCAGAAGGAATGGAGAAGCTCTGATCAGGTTTGAGAGTAAAGAACACAGAGACTTAGCACTGAAGAAACATAAGCATCATCTAGGCCAGAGATATATTGAGGTCTACAAGGCAACTGGCAAAGACTTTGTAAATGTGGCAGGAGGTAAGAGATTGCTCTTTCGTCTACCTTTACTATGAAATTTTGTTCTCTTTTGGTTGATTGTAGTTCTATAGTCTTATGAAGTCTAATTACTGAATAAAACTTGAAGCAGGGAATAATTTGGCACTTGTACTTGTACATGATATACAAAATATCTCAATGGTTATTCTAAACAAATCAGTTACTGATTTCAAAAACAGACCTGTTCACTTTAATTCAACTAAATCAAATTTAAGTACTCAGACTGAGGCTTTAATATGCTTACCTTCTATCGCAGGCAACAATGTTGAGGCACAAGTGTTCCTGTCACGACACAGTAATGGCGTTGGTCAGGTGATCATCAGGATGAGAGGCCTACCATACTCTGCAACACAGGAACAAGTGGTAAGAGTGTACCTAAAATATGAATAAATATTTTATCATCAAAACATGTGACAACCGCCAATTAGGTACAGATGAATATTAAACAGTTTCTCATAATCCAATTGTTAAGGAACATACAGTAAAGCAACAATTACAAGTTACAAATGTGAAAGTAAATGCATCAAGAATACAATCAATGTTTGGAATAATTCATTGTTTCTGCGGGTTAAGTTTGATGGTATGTGTTATTTTTGATCTAAGTAATTTTTCCATATTTTCTTTACTATTGAATGTAGGGTATGGAAAATTTTATATTTAGATATGGGTTGTTTTGAACGACATTATTCCTATAATTGATTACATAGGGTGTTTTGGACCTTATGCGGCATGGTACTCAACAATGGTGGTATTTTGAAATTATGTGAATGAGATATATTTTATATTGTACAGATCAGGTGATTTATTTTACACATAGAATGGTTCATTCCATTTTGGAAAGGTTTTAATTAAGTACATAGACTTCGGATTTGATATGAGGAAATTGAGGTAAAGGATTTTTATTATGCAAGACTTAGTCTATTTCCTTGGCCCCAGGACTCTAGTGTTGGTAAAGGAAAACACAATCTGTGCAGCAGACTAAATGTTGGATTGGGTTAAGGTGAAGGTCATATTCCCCATAAACAATTGGTTACGAGACTAAGATGTTTAATGTATTTACAGCCAATCCAGTACTGAGTTAAATCACAACGGTAAGTTCGAGTATTGTAAGAGGTCCGGTGCTTTTTATTAAACAGTTTGGGCTTTTTATGTGTACACATGTTTAATACAGGTGGCCCTCACTAGGTGGCTCCATAGGTTCAAGGTCGAGGTGCCCCAAGGTCAAGGTCACACCCTGTGATGATAGCTCACTGGTATAACGGATCAAGAACCCCATGGGTATATGGCTAAACAAGGGGATAGTAGCTGTTTTTGGTGTACTAATAATATTGGCACTCGTATGGTTTCTAGTTGCACATGCTAACACCTTGTACTTCATCCCGTGGCTAGATTTTAGAGGTCAAGGTCATCAAGCTTTGGGCCTAGTTCCCAGAGACACTGACAGGTTACTAATGATATATGTGATTCTGTGCATGTCAGCTACATGTACATAGATCTTATGCTGGTACATTACCATGGCAACTAAGACCATCTTCATCATGAAACAACAAACATTCTGGTTGCTATAGAAACAACACCATGATTGCTATTGAGGGTAGATCCCGGTGAAGGTGACCTTTAACCCCTATCTATCTCCTACAACTTTCTCTTTTTCCTCCACTCTAGCTTGAATTTTTCCGAAGTGGTGACAACCCAGTGGAAGTTCTCGATGGAGAAGACGGCATACTATTTGTGCACCAAGCTGACGGCAGAGCAACAGGAGATGCATTTGTCCTCTTTACCTCTGATGAAGATGCGGCAAGAGCTCTGACCAAACACAGAGAATGCATTGGATCCCGCTATATTGAACTGTTCAAGAGCACCACTGCAGAGGTCCAACAGGTAGGCAGCAGCTCTAGCAACAACATTCAGGGAAATATTTCATGATTTTCAAATACAAAAACATTGTCTCAGTTTCCATTGAGGTGATGTTTTCACCTCAATAGTTAGTGGTCATTTCAGAAACCAAATCATTTTCACATCACCATCAAATAAATCAAGGATGAAAATGAAAATCATGAATTATTTTCCCAGATGTGTGGCTTCTACTAAGCTTTCACAGCATGGCTTCTAATTTCACTTCAATATGGCATGACTATTTATGTATAAGGGTAATATACCAACGATGGGTGCTAGATAATTTATGCTTTATTGCACAAGCTTTATGGTATTTTATACATCAGATAATTCCAATCAATAGAATAATAATGTGTTTAATGCTGCAAATGTTTATGTTAAATAGATCAATGTAGAGTATGATTGTATAATCAAAGTATTATTGTTCGAAGTATCAATCTCAAAAAACATCGAAAACAAGATTATTGCAGGAAATAAGCCCAAAAAGGGACAACCCTATAAACCACAGCTCTTAACACATATAGAAGGCATGGCAGTAACACAATCAGATTATATTTTAACTTTGCTAGGGTATGATGTATATACCCTAGCTAAGAGTGGCCTATGTGAAACCCTACATATAAATGTACCATGGTATAAATTGAAAAAGAATAAAAATGCAAAGCGAAGAACAACTCTGATGTGATTGTGAATTTGTTAGTTTGAATTGAACCCTGTATTTTGCCTGTGTTTAGTATGTTTACATGTACTTGTACACATTTTCCAGGTATTGAACCGTAGTATGGACCCCAGAAACCCTGCTGAGCCTGAGCCCCAACTCCCTCCACTGATACAACACCTCCCTCCATCTGCCATACCTGGAGGTATCCCATCAGGGTTCCTGCCTCAACAGGTAAATATGCTGCCATGTAATACAATACGTTACACAAACACAAAGATGGTCAGAAAAGCAAAATGAAAAAATTACAAAGAGCAACATGTAAAGAAACCCATTACAAACCACTCAAAATCATTAAGAATACGCCATACCAATGTTACACCTCATCTACGTCTCATGGAAACCATATGAATCATATCAATATAGAACAAAAAACATATATGTTTCAATCATCAGACTGAATACTTGCATGACCATCTATCATCCAATCTCAAATGAATACTAGTATTTGTTGAAATAATGTGTATGTTTTCTGTGTCTGTTCTAGGTGATCACAACAGGTGTTCAGAAGGACTGTATCAGACTTAGAGGGCTTCCATTTGAGGCAACTGTAACTGATATATTAACATATCTAGGAGAACACTCCCGCAATATAGTCTTCCAGGGTGTTCACATGGTCTATAATGCACAGGTAACTATCCGTTTCAATATGTTGGGCAGTGTATAAGATTAATGAAGAATAGATTGGTGATCTATTTTCCCTGGAAGTAATACACAACTTAAACTTTGAAGGTACCACCTCATATCAGAATTGACAGAAAATATGATCGTCTTCATGAATGTCCATGTAGGGCTATAGGCAATGGATTGCATAAAAACATGACATCAGGCCATCATGGGCAACCAACTGCTCATAAGGTCATGTCATATTGTTATTCATCATATGCACATATTCTGTACATACACAAATGTTTTAGACATCATATATACCTGATGCATAACATTCAGCCCAAATATAGTCAATCACACAATCATAAATAAGCACAGCTGATGTATTAATTAGACACAGCTGGGTTTTATTATATTTAACCATACACATTTAGTTATTCAATATTTTCAGAACACTTCATTTCCATATTGTAATTTTCATACCTCAAATGTTTGCTTATGTTTAGCTGCTGATTATATTTGTTCAGTAATGTATTTTATGCTCCCACAGTCAATGTATATGGAACATAAAATCCAATATGACAATGGCATGCCTCGTTCAAATTAGTTCATTGTTTTGTTGTGTTCATTTTAATGAGCTGTCAATAAATCTCCATGTGTTCTCAAAATCAATAATGGGATGTTTGTTTTAAAAATACACAGGAATCAATGAGCTGTTCAAATACATTGAATAAAACCATAATGTCTGGAGAACTTCGATTTGACAATTTGTTAAATTCATCGAATCAATAAACAGGCATTAATTCATTAGATATGCTTTTTAACCTTTAACTAATTGTCAATATGAAAAATGCCATCTATGCCAAGAATGTTTTATGATCACAATAACAAGTAATATGGTGCAAACTCAATACATGAAGATAATCATCATTGAATCTGGTGATTCATTAAATTTAAACAATTCCCAAATGACTTTTCACATTTGAAAAAGAACAGCAATCATAATTAATCACATATACATTATGTAGTACACAAATATAGGGGTAATTTAAGTAAAATTTTGATTGATTTACCTTTCATCATTAAGTGCAATGACTATTACAATGTACCCAGCCCATTGCCAGGTATGGTCAGTATATACTGACAGGTATACTTTCAGTCTATACTGACAGGTCAACTTTTAGTCTAATTTCAGTATACTTTCAGTATATGTCCCATGTTATGATTCCATTGACAGGTATGTTTCAATTATGGTAATTAGACCTACCAGTATGGTTTCAGTATACTTTCACTATAAACCAATGGGTATACATTAAGTATACTTTCAGTATATACATACCAATATTGTTTCAGTATAATTTCAGTATATACCAATGGGTATACATTCAGTATATATGTATAGGTATACTTTCAGTATGGTATCAGTATATACCTATAGGTCAACATTTAGTCTATACTGACAGTCTCAATATGTCAGTCTGTAGACTGATATGGATGAATATGACTCTACAAATGAGATACCTTAAATTTTAAATCATTCTGCAGATGAGAAAAATTAGTACATGTAATTTGGATAGCAGTCTTATTTTCTAGCATTACATTATCTAATTAATTAGATGCAGGATTATGAAGACTTCTAAAAGACATACCACAAATAAATTAATATTCTTATATTAACTATATTCAAGTTTTATTCATGATGTATTTTAAATGCAAAGTTTTAATTTTCAAATTTTAACTGTATTTCTTTTTTAAATTTTACTATGACTGTATCTTTCATATCTTTCTCTCGTTTTTTGTGTTTTCAATGTATAAAACATTCAATGTAATTATGAGCAGGAATGCTCCCCTGCCACCTAGTCTGGTAGGACAGGTTGTGGAAACAAATGGTCATAAAATAGAACTTACATATGAATAATTGTTGACTTATAGTTTTATCATGAATTTTGCATTTGCCGTTTATATTATAAAATGATAAAGAAAAACTGGTATACGTTCAGTCTAATCATTATTTATCAGAGTTTATTTGGTATGCTTTCAGTATACTATTGAAAATCATAAGTAAAACTGGTATGCTTTCAGTATATTCAGTATTTATCAGAGTTTGTTTGGTATGCTTTCAGTATACTATTGAAAATCATAAGTAAAACAGGTATACTTTCAGTATATTCATACCTATTTACAGATCTATATTCAGTATATATACCTATTAATTGGTATGGTATCAGTCTGGTATCAGTATAGACCTATCAACAAGGTATACTTTTAGTATACTTTTGGTATAGACTGACTATACCTGACAATAGGCTGGGTAACAACCCATCAGTCACTCCAATATGTTTCCAACTACATGGTAACCCAAAAGACAACAGAATATGTTTCTAACTACAGGGTAACCCATCAGGGGAAGCATTCATACAGATGGACTCCGACCAGTCAGCAGAGCTAGCAGCTCTAAACAGGCACAAGAAATACATGGTTATGGGCAACAAGAAGCGTTACATAGAGGTGCTACAATGCAGTGGAGAAGATATGAATCTCGTGTTAACCAATGGTCTTCCACCTGCCACACAGGCCATTTCTCCAATCAGTCCCGCCATCTTAAGCCCCCCACAACAACCAACTCTAGTTCCCCGGCCAGTCATATCTCCAGGTAGCACAACAGCGTCAGTGTCAGGTGATGGTCTTGCATTGTAGTTACTCATTGAAATCTCTGCTTGGAGAAATTCATTTTAATTTCATCATGATATCTATTGAGTATTCTCTGAGCAGAGGGTAATGAAGTTAAAACCCTAGGCTTGGTTGTATGGAGTATTGTTGTCAGGGTGTTATAATGGTATTATGTAACATAGCATAACTTCAGGCAATACAAAGGTTTAACAGCATGGTACTAATAGTTGCAGATATGTAGGGCGGTAGAAGAGACTTGATCAGAAAAACTTTGTTTGATGATCTAAAATAAGTCATAATATGATTTCTTTGCTAAGTTTCGGATTAACTGTGATATACAATTTGTTAGTTATATTCTCATTCTCCTGAATGATCTTTTCTTGTTATGTTTGTTGGATGTGTGAACATAATTTTGGATATGATTGTTGTAATATACATGTTTTTACTGTTGGTTTTTTTGCCATTGATATATGTTGAGATTACTGGTTTCAGAGTACATTCATTGCTGTTCTTCAATTATTGTCCCTAATAATTTCTGACAAAATTGATGAATAGTTATGACCTATGCCATATATTATCTTACTGGGCAAACTGGTTGTAGAAAGTGGCTGCAGAAAGTGCCCAAGGGTTGAAGCATAAATGTCAGGATGAAATGTTGCAGTAGCATCAACAGCTTAATGTCTCTTAACATGTCTCCTTAAACTGCCATGTCAGAGTTGATTGTCAATACAGTAACACTATCCTATAAGACAAACTATCTGATAAGTACAGTCATTAATGCCCATTTAAACTGGCCAATCGAAAGCATTGAACAACATTTTAAATCATGTAATTCGCTAACTGAGAATTGTCAGTATTTTTATCTGTGTCAGCCATTCAAGGACATTGATGGTATATCTTTTGGTAGTATTTGTTTGTTAAGTTACGTAATGTGTATTTCCCTCGATTTTGTCATGTCCTTCATTAGGTTGGTATTTTGGGATGTTTTTGTGACTATATTATATACAAGTACATGTATATTAAATCTGGGCCATATGCTTTGAGGATACAGTAACATTTATGGTATGGTTGTTGGTGGTAGATAGTGGTGTACAATAAAATTGCATGAAGTTGATGTACATGTTGCTTGCATGTCATTTTTCACTATTGTACACTGTATTATATACTTTATGTACATGTCAATTAAACAAATAATTTAAAAACATAAATCAAGCCAGAAGTCAATATATTTATTGTTTGAATTCACAATGTATATTTACAAACATGCATTATGCATTTTAATTAAACAAAAATATTTTATTGCTTGTTTTCAGCCGGGACAATGTTACCGCCACATATCTCAATGCAGGCAATGACTGGCATGACTGCTGCTGGCATGTACCCATACACTGCTGCAGCAGGGCAGGTCACCCCTCAGAGTCCAATGATCATCCCCACAGCTGCTGCATTCCCTGGTGCTCTACCAGGGGGGCTTCCAGGTGGACTCCCAGGTGGGCTACCAGGGGGGTTACCTCATAGTGCCGCTCTGACAGCAGCCATGATCCCTAGACCTCAATACTACCCACAGCAACCTCCTATACATCCTGTCTACTGGTATCCCAGCCCGCCAGTGTCTCCCCAGAGTTCGGCATACTACATACAGTCTCCAACACATCATATGCCAACAGCTGTCATGTTGAAGGGGTTACCATTCAATGTGGGAGCCCAGGAGGTTCTTGACTTCCTCGCAGGGGTATATGAGGTAGGCATGTTTTTTAATTCCATGTCACATTTTACGCCATCTAATAATAATATATTGGCACTCCTATTGAACTTATTCACCAAATCATCCCTTCCTATTTCAAAATAGTAAAGGGGATTCCTGGACTGTGGCTCTTACGTGTTCTGAATGCACTCCTTTTAGATTTATGTCTAATGTTGTATGACATTCCTGAATTGTGGCTTCATGTTGTGGATGTACTCCCTTTATATATGTATAATTAATTATATAGAATGATTGTATGTATCTTCATAAATTTGTATGTTAAATGTGTTACAGCCTGCAGTGCAGCCAGACATTCGTATCCAACATGGTGCAGATGGCCGATCAACGGGAGAAGCAGTCGTTACTTTCGGTTCCCGCATAGAGGCAGAAAGATGTGTCACTGAGCGCAACAGAAAAATCATCGGAAACCGCTACATTGAAATACATATGGCATAATATATTGCAATATGGATGATAGATCTAATATAATTTATGAGTACATTTAAATGTGTTTACCTTCAAGGTTTATATATCAAGAAATTATTTATATGGGACTCTAAGAATGCATTTTTTTAATTCAAAACCCTAAAGCATGCATTCAATGCAATCTTGTGAATAGTTTTATAGGGTGAAACATTATAGCTTGACAGATGAGTAACATCTGTCAATGAGGCTTCACAATGTGCCTTACATTACAATGGTCATTTATATTAGACCAATAATTGTACATAGTTTATGCTTATTTTTAAGTCTTTCTGAGCATATTATTCATTCCAATGTAACCTCATTTGATATATTGCAATATAATATATATTGCAATATGGGTTATAAAAGAGCGGCCCACAAGTGTCTTCCCATTTTGTATATAGATATATTATTACTATAGTTACAGTAATGTTATTGTTACTATAGAAACGTGTAACCTAGCAATAATGCAACAACAAATCAAGTGTCTTCCATTGATACACAAGCATGTAGTTAGATATTTTTAGAATCTATGTTAACCAATTTAGCCAATATTTATAGCAATATTAATGTAACATTTCAAGAACTTTTAAATATATTTTATATATAGCTATGTGCACTCACTACGCAAGTATCGCGATCTTCCATGAAATCTGTCTGTGCCTTAAGGCTGTCGAAGCTTGCGTCTTCCTGAAAAAACAAACATTCAAATTACTACGCTCAATTTCAAACAAAATATATTTTTAACATTTAAAGAAACAACTAGAACTGTTTTTTCACACACTGAACACAGTGCCTCGCTTATTTTCAAAACTTCTAGTTCACATTCCACAAGTTCATTCCAAGTGTGCTCACATACCAATATTGCCTTTTACTTTTATAGCAATTCGACTGTGAATTGTTATAGAGCTGTTACTGATGTAAATATTATTAACATATACACTGATATAACCATATATAATTGTTATATTGTTGCAATTTAGCCCAGAGTCTTATATATGTATATATTAGCAATATATAATATTTTAGATTATACTGTAGATAAATAGATAATATACTGTTCAAACAGATGTACTAGATAGAACCTATACTTAGTATATGTCTAGGTATTTAGTGTTTAATGTACTTCTATCTAGAAAGATGTATTTAGTTACTTGTATTTAGTGTACAATGTACTTGTATTTAATGTACATGTGCAATGTACTTGTATAACTTGTTAAAATCGAAAGTCATTGGACTTTTTAGTGCAACAAAAATATGTGCAAATATTACATGTGTTCCTGGTAATTAAAATATCATTAAAACGTCATTTAATATCAATTACACTGAGACAATGATCTCAAATCTATGGATAGTAGCTCATATAAAAATATCATAATTTTGAATTTGGTGCTCTATAGCTTAGGTGATTTGTATCATAGATAGCATTAATCAACCATAGATTAATAAGGGTACAATATAAATTATAAAATATTCCTGAATTATGTGAAATTTTGCTCTAGTCTTGAGTCATATACATAATGGTATATAACATTGTAAAGCTGGTAGTAGAAAATTTTAAATCTATTGTACAAGAATTTTTAATCGTGACATTTTTAATGACTTTATTTTTAATTGTACATGACATTTTATGATGAAGCAACTTGCCAATTTTGTGAAACCAGGTCTAGGTTTTAACCCTTCATCTACCTGTCATAAGGCTTGGGGATATAAGGGTTAAACCGGCAACATGTTTAACATAAGCTACAGTAGGAAATGTGCAATATCACAACTTTTCTCACTTATACTGAATTAATGATTAAATGTAACAAGTGATTTGAATTTAAAATGAAAAACTGTGTGATTAATTGATTAACAGTAACAATTATAACAATTGAGATGAATTTCTCAGTTAAACATAAAAATGAAATATTGTATTTTTGCGTGATAGCATAATTCAGTAGTAGTTAGTTATTTAGTAATGTGAAATATCTGCAGGGTGAGTAAAGGCATGACTATGACTAATAAGGACATTAAAATCGTATATAAAATATGGATGATGTATGAATATGGCATGCCTCACCGAGTCTAGTTTATAATGTATGTAAATAGCGCAAGTTATTATATTTTTTTCAATGTACAATTAGAACATTATAGGCCCCTCAAAAGGATCAACCTTAATGGAAAATTAGGACTTACATGGTGTAAGACACTTTCTAAACTTCATCCAGACACCCATTCCTTAGATACATGTAGCTCTGCATTCATTCTTTGAATACATATAGCCCTGGGTTTATTCCTTGGATTCCAAAAGACCTGTGTTTATTCCTTTGATACATATAGCCCTGTGTTCATTCCTTTGATATTAGCCCTGTCTTTCATTCCTTTGATCCATATAGGCATGTGTTCATTCATTTAATTCATATAGCCCTGTGTTCATTCCTTTGATACCAGCCCTGTTTTTATTCCTTAGATTCATATAGCCCCGTGTTTATTCCTTTAATTCATATAGCTCTGTGTTTATTCCTTTGATAAATACAGCCCTGTGTTCATTCCTTTAATAGCCCTGTGTTTATGATTTGAACTCCTATAGCCCTTTGTTTATTCTCTGGATTCATATAGCCCTGTGTTTTAGAAATAGGAGACTGGACTGAAGAAAACACTTTTTGAGGGGATCTATAAATCACTAACCTCTAACAAAATCTTACATAAATTGTAAATGAACAGAAATGTTTCATAGCATCACTTGGAATATTTCACATTAGAAACAGGTTAATCTAAATGCAATTGAAGATGAATGTATCAGGTTGCTCTAAGCATTTCAGAGTGTGATATATTGCATAATCATGACATTATGTCGCTGTTTAAGACAGGACAATATGAGTATAGTTCTAATCACTTATTATATATATTTGGGTATACTACTCGTATATTAGCATAAATGGCTGTAAATAGAACACTGGTTTATATATCACTGTAGTCGACATGTATATAGATCTTATAAACACTAGTAATCATCAATGTAGTAGCATATAATGGGGGTAAATATTAATGAATTTAAAAACTGAAAAGAGGGTTTTGATTTTAGGCATTATAAACCAGTGTATCTGCATTACATGGTGCTAGGACAGACTAGGTGTGACGGGACTACTAAAGAGTAACAAACACATAATAACTACTTTAAAGATCAACAGACCCACTGAAAATCATACAGTTGTAAGGTTATCGAAAGTTGGTGCCAAACATCTGACCATTGGTTGGTCAAATTAGAGGAGGAGGAATAGACACCTCCGTTGATATGATGTGGGTGTTATGTGTTTGTTAGTTCTTGCAATATGGTATTCTGGGGCTATGATTCTACATGATCCATACATTGATTGTAATAAATGCAATAAATACACATATACATAGAAAACGGTGGTGGTTTGGCTTGATGGTATAAGGGATAAAACAGGCTTTCTTATTGCTACTAAATGATATTGTCTCTTTAATACTTGCTGTACTGGTTATCCAAGGATATCCAGGCATCCATAGTCATTTTAAATATCCAGAGATTTATCTTATAAGCAATCATATCCATGGATTGCCCAACTATCAATGGATATTTTTGTAGACATGGATATTCAGTGTATTGATATAATACAGCAGGTTTAAAAGGACACAGCATTGTTTATGAGCAATGGAAGGCCCTATAAAGGTGGTGGTTATTATACACTTACTTTCCTCGGTGCACATATAGCTCTGGGTCAAAGGTCACAACCTCTCTTAGACCGTGACCTTGACCACTACTCCATAGATAGATCTGACCTATATTCAACTTTTAGATCTCTATATATCCATTAATCCTCTATACTGATATCCCCTATGTTATAGAGGTGAAATGAAAAGAACTGACTTTGTGACTGCAGTTTTTTATTTTATGGATTTATATTCAGAGCTTTGCTCAAAATCCAGAACTGAATCATGATCCATGCATGCTAGACAACAATGCTTGGTTCAACCTTATAGACCATATTCATTGATTTATTCTACATATCCACGGATACACCTCTAGACAGGGATTCACTGGGGTGGGTTTGAGAAATTAAACTAAATAAATTGAACATTTATATATATATTATATACATATGCCAGTACCTGAAGTCAAAACAACTGGTGCTTTTGTTTTCTTGCAACCATTTTCATGTTTACCATACATATAACATGAGTTTTGTGCTGAGAATGTCATTTTGGTTTTGACACTATAAAAGATATGGAAACATACGATGGTGCAATGTGCAAGGATTTTAACTTAATTGCTGATATTTATGAAAAAGAATAAATTGTTATTTATTTCTATTTATTAAACTATTTATTTTGGTCTGTTGGCTATATGTGCACACCCAAGGGGCCTTGAAATGATGGTGTTTAGAAGGGACCTTGAAATGATGGTACGGAACGAATGTTATGCGGTGGCCAGGTAGAAGGGATAACACTACTGGTCATTATGATTTGAGGTGATTTGGTAACAGTCTGTTAGGTATTTCTGGTTACAGGGTTACTATGGAAACCAGGGGTTACTATGGTAATAGGCTACTGCTCAGATTTATTTTGCGTTATTTTCTAATAATAATATGGTGGTGTCTTTACAACTTCATTACAGCGGGAAAATAATATGTTAATGAAAACTAGTGAATCTCTAAAGGAGATGGTTGGCTCTGTTAGTGTAAAAAATTATACTAACAAAAAAAGTTGCCATGATATTTTTTATTATTGATTAATTGTGTGATGTCATTGCCATTAATCAGATTTAGCCATCACACTGGCTGTTATTTCATTTGAACATACTCCCACAGCTGAGATATAAATGGCAATCACTTAATTTATACACAACGAATGCTGAATTTAATTTATGCAATTAAATGCCATATCTGTTACCTGAAAATAAGCTCAAAAAAGGAACTTTCAGTTATTTATTTCATAAAATTATTTATTTTAATATATTAAAAAAGTAGAGTGGTTGTCTTGCCAACAGATTGCAGTATGCTACATTAGTATTGATAATTGAATATATGCATAATGGACACTTATGAGAGAAAATGCTTTACTTCAAACCAAAGTCTTTCATTGCAGTTTTTGCCACAAATTCATGAAATATTTCAACCAGATCTATGTCTGCATTAGTTCAATCTTTTTCTGCCCAAAATAACTTCAAATTACTCCCCTGTGCCAGAAATTTTGGGATACAGTTATAGACTTCATTTTAACAGAAAATATGTTAAAAATATCAAAATCAATATAGAATGTTAACAATAATTGATTCTCAAAATTGAAAATAAGTCAGTGATTTCAAAAACACCTCATCAGTTATCTACGTCTGAGTAAAGCGAACAATCTTACAGTGAAATAAACGACGAGGCAACAGAAGCTACAAAAGTTGAAAACCTGTAAGAAAATGAACATGCAGTACATTTTCCATTGGATTAAAATAAAAAGAATAACATTTTATGAATTTGTAGCAAAAGCTAACACCAAGGTCAAGGTCAAATCATTAGAGTGAGAATCTTCCCATTAAAAGACCTTTGCAGACGAAAAATGCATTTCTTGTTACAAAATGAAATGTAAGATACAGAAAAACTGTCTCAAGAATGATAAATCTCATGTATATATTATTTACATTAATATTGTACTATACATAAAGAGAATAAATATTATTTAAGACAGAGGTCTATAAAATCAGAGCATCTCAAGTTCTGGTAATATCTAACAGACTGGTACAATCACCACATATTATATACAAATGTTATGCATATCATACATGTGTGTCCCCATGTCCCCAAAATATTCCCTATAACAAGAAAACAGCAACTTTGCAGTGTAGCAAATCCCACCACACAAAACATAATTTATTTAATCCCTAGTCATTTTGGACATTACATGAGGAATAATCAGGAAAAGGTAGAGTTGCATTGTCCCCTTTTGGGAGAATCAACAATGTGAAGTGATGACTATTATATCACTTTTGAAATGAATGGCTATATTGAAAATGCCTCCTTGAACAGAGGTACTTTGCCCATAAGACATTATAAAATATAAAATTGATTAAATTCCAATCAAAAATTACAATTTTTATGAATATGGCCGCCATTTTGAAATTCAGCGGCCAGTGGGATATAATTTGAACCAAATCCCTCTCAACCGGTATTTGAATTATCAAAGACTATATTTTTTATGAAAAATGGCAGCCATGTTGAATTGAGCAGCATAATGAAAATTGTTTAAAGCAAAGGTCCTATGCCCATAAGGCATAAGCATTTAGTACATGAGAAACCAAATCCATCATCCCGTATTTGAGTTATGGCCAAGACACATGAACGAATGGACAGATGAATGGCTTCACACTACATGTATATCCCTACTGGACTTTTGGTGGGATATTGAGATGAAAGATGTAAAAATTAAAGTTGGTGTTTTAGAGGAGCCTGTTTGCCTCCAAAGGAGTTTTAAAATCAATTTATGACCAGTTGTAATGTTTTTCTTTCTAAAACACATGTACACTGAAAAACTTAACTTGTAAATTACATTGTAAATACAAATGTGTTCCCCAACATGTCCAACACGAATGAGATTTGGTACTAACCCTAACATTATTGAAATCAAATAAGTAGTTCTCAATGACCAGAGGGGTCCAAATGATTCCCCCTTGTGACTTACAAAAAAGGTTGGATGCGTGATTAAGGTAAAACGAATCCCACATGAATGTAATTTTATGTTTCACAAATCCCACAGGAAAGGAATTTTGTATTTCACAAACCTGAATGGAATTTGATGTTTCACAAACCGAAATCCCATTTGAATGATGAATACATTTCAGGGTTTCACAAATCCTACACAAGGTATTTACATGCAAAATGTCACCACCTGTACTTGTAATTTGTTACAGGCGCCAAACACTGAATGCCAATCCTCAACCACCCACCACCAAACACCATCCACAAAAAAGTTGGAGAGTATTGCAATATGTCACCATTTGTGTTGATGACATAATAAATGTAGTTCTGTGCTACACAAAATCCCCCAAAATACAATTCAGTGTTGGATAAACGAAAAATGTACTTCCAAGTTAGGATAATACTTAAACATCACTTTATCAAGACAGGTGATTTCACTAAAACCTCACTCAACACACACTCAGGCCCGTAGCCAGGGGGGGTTCGCAGGGTTCGGGTGAACCCCCCCCCCCTGGCAAAAAATTTAAAAATCATGCAGTTTTGCACCATTTTGAGCTCTTTTCAAGTGATTTTAGCAACATTTGGGCCAAAATTGTCAAATGTAAACCCCCCCTGGAAATTTTTGAAAAATGACCCCCCCCCCCCCCTTGGCAAATCCTGGCTACGTGCCTGCACACTGCATAAAGATTAGCTTCGAAGTCTCTTCAATGTGTTCAAAACAAGTATTTGTGTTGCCAGGATGAAATCTTCTATTCATTAGTAAATTAATTAAAAAAATTTGTGATTTAATATTGATCCTTTAACAGCTTCTTTAACAGCTTTAACTAATCATACTTTTCATGAAAAGAAAAAGAAAATAAATTTAGCAGTACCTTCTTCAATAAATCAGTTCTGAAGATAATCATTCCTGTGATGTTGAGATCTAAATTCTTCCAGAATGATCACAGCTTGGCCAACAAGATCTCCTTGGTCTGAAATACAAAAAAATGATAAGAGGCATATTATATGAAGTGGTCATCCAATATAAAATTAGTAAAACAACCAAATTGTGATATCAACTTCAATCATGAAAATTAATTCAAATAGTTGACTAGAAGCTAAGTTACATGTATGCCCCACAAAAAAATGAATGAACTGTTGAATGGATTCCTATCGCTTCACACCAAAGTAGGCAGCAAGATAAAAGAAAATAGATTGTCCAAATCATCAAAGACAGAAGACGATGGCCCCCGGAGCAAACAAATAAATATACTCCTCGAAAAAAGTTAAGGACCACTTTTTTATTTTCACATAACTTTTTTCAATGTAGATAATGAGGTGCTATTCTTGCACATTTTATTTGTCTAGATTGTGTTGTTATTGTAAAACAGAAATGAAACATTTTTCACTTCATTTGATGCCATTTTTTGGTGAGCACTTGGACAGATCTCAAAATGGACATACAGGATCAAAAGTCAAAACACATTTTTTCAAGATTTTGGTTTGAATGTCTTTAAATCAGTCTCAATATCGAGTGTGGCCACCTCTAGCTGCAATAACAGATTCACATCGCCGTCTCATCGAGTTTATGAGGTCATTGACATCTCTTACGTCCATAGCGTCCCATGCAGCCTCTAGAGCCATTGCCAGTTGCTGTATCCCACCTGGTTGAACTTCAAGCTCTTCAATACTCCTCCCCAACATGTCCCAGGCATGCTCATTCGGATTTAAGTCTGGAGATCTTGCAGGCCAGTCTATGTGGTCTATCCCATGGTCCTCTAGGTACTCGGTCACCACCCTAGCTCGGTGGGGGTGGCATTGTCATCCATAAAAACAAAGTTTTCCCCAGCATTTTCTGCAAAGGGTAACACAATGGGATCAATGACCTCATCCCTGTATCGTACGCCTGTCATTGATCCCCCGGGAACCACTTACAGCCGAGTACGGTTATCATAGGAAATGCCTCCCCACACCATGATGCTGCCTCCCCCATAGCGGTCATGTTCTGTGACACAAGCATCAGTATATCGCTCTGACTCCAGTAGCATCAGCAAAGGCATTATTGAGTCGACGGGCACTACTAAAGCGGTTGCGGAGGCTGAGATTCATCAAATAGTGGTCATCTCTGGGGGTTGTTGCAGATGGTTGGCCACTGCGGGGCCTCTCTGTGTATTGCCCTGTCTCCCAGTGCCGTTGGTTTGCTCGACTTATGACACTATAGGATACACCCATCACTTCAGCTACCCTTCGCCAGCTTCCAGCATCCCTAGTGCTCTAGCAACCTCAGTTGCATTCAAGCGACATCTTGGCATTGTCAAAATGTTGTCTGATTGTAAGTAATGTAAGCAGTAGTGTAAGTTATGCAAGAAAATGCATTTGACCCACCTTTTGTAACACTCCATGAGGTCAGCTCATGCCCCTAAAAACCAACAATTCAGGATGGCAGTCATAGTGTACTAACAGGACTAAATTTAGCTCCAGTATTTATTTGAATTTTCATCAACAATAAGAAACAATAGCACCTGTAACTTTCTCTGACTCTACATGAATATACCAGGAATGTGTGGAAGTAATTATACACTATCATAGTGTTAATATAACGTGATACGAGAAGTGTGCCATTTATGAAAATAATTTGGATATTTGTATCAGTCATCTTAGCATTAGAGGGAAGTACCATTGACACTATGCCTAGAGGTAAAAGCCAATCTGCTGATTCAAGCTCAGTACCTGAGGTAACTTTAGATACAGTTTATGCAGCCATTCAAAGTCTTACAGAGTCACAAAGTCTTACAGATTCAAAGTCTTACAGTTAAAGTCATGAATGAAAAATTTGAGCTACTGTCAAAATCAGTGTCTTCACTCCAAGCTGGTCAAATAGAAATAAGTAATAAAGCCAGTAACAATTCTACTGCCATAAGTGCATTGCAGCGTGATCTGGAGTCCACAAAGGAGGAACTTTTAAGAATGAAAACACGATCTATGAGGGACAATCTTGTGTTCTACCAAATAAAGGAGGATATGGATGAATCGGTTCCTGGCGAATGAAATCCCCAGAAACTGAAACTAAAACTTGATAATTTCATTAAGGAGAATCTTAAGGTGGAAGGTGATGATCTTGGAACTGCCTGCAAAGGATATGATAGATTTCATCGACTGGGAGCTTTAAAAGCAGGAAATACTCGGCCAGTAGTAGCTCACTTCTCGAATCCTTTTGTCAAGGACATGCTTCTACAGAATGCCAAGAATCTAAAAGGTACCAATTTCTCTATTTCTCAACAATAACCAGATGAGATACGAGCATGTCGAAAGCAGCTTATCCCTACAATGATAGAATTCAGAAAAAAGGGAGACAGAGCCTCTCTTAAAGTGGACAAACTGTTTGTCAATAACAGGCTATATACTGGGCCTCTTCTAGAAGCGAAACCAGGTGATCATTTGGTACAGCCCCAGGACTAGGTCTTTACATGGCCAATACCTCAAACATGAGGTGATAAACCAGGACCCTCTCTATAATAAAGATAGAGTGATTGCATTAATTTTATTGGTTAATATTATTGAGTTGCTTATATTTTCAATGGTTTTTGTTACATTTAAATATTACAGGTATTTTAAAGAGGTGTGCCACAATCAATATGTATATTGGTATATACAAGTATTGTACATAGAGTTACATATGTGCCTAGTCTGAGTCTAAGGATGAACTTCTTAACCCTCTTCTTTTTATTTATAACATGTCTTTTCAACAGGGATGCTTTCCTGATCTTCTTAAAATGGCTAAAGTCATACCCATATTTAAATCTAATATCGATTTTGTCTGTATTTTCTAAGCTCATTGAGAAACTTGTCCATAAGCGATTATACACTTTTTTTGAAGAATCAAAATTACTTTACTTACACCAATTTGGATTTCAAAAAAATTTCTCCACATATATGGCAATTCTGACCTTTGTCGAAAATATAAGATCAGCTCTTGAAAATGATAAATACTCCATTGGAATCTTCCTTGATCTGTCAAAAGCGTTTGACACTATCAACCACAATATTCTCATAAAAAAACTTGACTTCTATGGTGTCGGACAAGTTGAACAAAACTTTTTTAAAAGCTATCTTCAAAATCGTAAACAAATTGTTTCTTATGATGGTGCCCTGTCTGACACCCAAACTGTTTCCCAGGGAGTCCCTCAGGGATCCGTTTTGGGACCACTTTTATTTATAATTTATGTTAGTGACCTGTTCACGGCGTCAAAAAGTCTTAAATCTGTTTTATTTGCAGATGACACTAATCTTCTAGCTTCTGACCATAATTTAACTAGACTTGTAAATACTGTCAATCAGGAACTCATTACTCTTGATGACTGGTTTAAAGCAAACCTTCCTTCTTTAAACTATTCAAAAACAAAATTCATCGTCTTCTCCAAAAAATGAAAAAAAGTTTGTCAACAAATTGAAATATTCATAAATGGAAAACAAATTGATAGGGTTCATGAAATAAATTTTTTGGGGGTAACAATTGATGAATTCCTTGACTGGAAAAGTCACATAAAAAATGTAGAAAGAAAAATATCTAGAACCATTTGAATCTCATTCAAATGCAGATACTAATGCTAAACATAAAAAGTATGTTAGCAATTTATAATTCTTTAATATACTCCTACTTGAATTATTGCACAATCATTTGGGCCGGAGCATATTCAGCTTTGGATAAACTGCTCAAATTACAAAAATCATACCTTCGTCTCATGGCAGGAAAAGACAGGTTTGAGCACTCAGCTCCACTATTCAAACAATTTAGAATACTACCAATGCATGATATCTATCAATTAAATGTTGGAATTTTTGTTTATTGCTGGTATAACAATATATCAGTCCACCGCAAGATTTTTGAAAACTATTTTACGTTAAATTTTGACATTCATCGATATGAAACTAGGCATTCACATGATATCCATGCCTTCAAGTTCAAAACAAATATTGGCCTTTATTCACTGAAAGTTCAAGGTTAGCAAATCTGTAATTCTATATCTCATCATATTCGACAAGCAGCCTCACTCTCAATTTTCAAGTCTCTGTTCAAACAAAATAAAATAGATGACATACCTTTATAATTTTAAAGATTTGAAAATGTCTTTACCAATTGAAAATCTGTACTCTGCCACATTTTGTCTTATCAACTTATACATATAAATATTATAAACTTAGCAGCAATTACCTGTTCCCATGTCCTGTGTCTCTGTCCCCGAGTGTTAATATTTTTACATTTTTGAAATGATTTCCAACAGACTTGGGCCAGTGTCATTCTCAGGTATTTCTCCACTCTATTTTTATTTGTCTTACCTGTTGGTGTCACTGACCCATTTCTGTTCAGTTATAACCAACATATATGCTCTTGAGAGCTTCATCTTGTATTGAATGTCATGTATGTTTTTCAAAATAGTAATAAATATCTGAATCTGAATGTGTAATGAACCAGAACACATTATGCAATAACTGAAACTGATCATGTGTGCAGTTGATTTGAGTGTGATTGAGGGCACTCAGTACATTATATAATAGCACTTTTAGCTGTAAACAATGTCATTTGAAAAAGTTATACAAAAAGTAAAAGGTGGTCCTTAACTTTTTTTGAGGAGTATATGTAGAAAATATACCATTATGGACAAACCTACATGTACATATTTGGGTATATGTACATACATATGTACATGTATATGATTTGGGTAAAATCTGAAGAAATGCCAGAAACTTTTATATACCTTATTCATTGATCACCCTCAGCCTGTAGACTTAGGCACAGGCATTCTCTATACAAGCATGTCTGTTTAATTTGTTTATCTGGGTAAAAGCTGAAATACATTTGGCCTATTATTGTTTATATTTCATATACATATGAAGGGAGTACAAATTCTCGCAATTTTGAAAAGTAAACCACTGAATATTCTACATTCTATATATACTTATCAACCCTCAATTAATTAATTTATCTAGGTACACTGCACATTTTGTGCAAAGATGAAAGATGTAGACCAAAAAATAGCACATGGTCATTACCTAAAGCAGAGTTGTACATTTTTGACAATGTACCTAGTTTTTCAGGACCACTAGAATCAACAATCACCAGATGGACTCAGCTCCAAAGGACAGTACCTACAAAAGTAAGATGTCAATTACAAATCTTGACTCCATATGTGTTACATATTACCAGACAGGGGAGATGATGAGTGAGAAAAATAAGTGCCATATTTTCATATGAGATCTGGGTCATCTGTGGTCAACCCTCCAAAATATTTCAAAATGGCCTTCTGAGGCAATTCTGAAAGCATGAAATTCTGAACCATCAATCATTTCCATTAATAGTCTGTTGATTGGATATGTTCATATCACTACTGCACTATGGAACACAAGAATATTCAAGGGATATTTATATAAATACACTGTACAAATTTATTCAACATATATCATCATGCATGAAATTAAACCAGTGGTTTTAAGCTGATATAAAGATGGCAGTACAATGGTTTGTCTATTTTTTATCCTCTCTTTTTGGAGAGACAAACCACTACTGCCATCTTTATTCACCCATATAACTTACGGTTTAATAAAACTTGTTCAAGAACATGAGCTGATATATTATTTCTATAATGAAACTTCAAATTATTTTATTCACTTTGATAACAGCAATGCCAAAGTGTAGCAAATCCCATTGAAAAGCCATGGCCACCATTGTTACAAAATTCTTCTACTTTTTCAGTTGTGCAAAAATCCTAAAATAACATGCATATTGCATTCCTTCTTGCGCATATGTGTACAAAATATGAACAAAATCAAGCCAATGGTATTTGAGTTATCGCACGGACGGACAGAGGGGGTTAAATGGGTTCGGGCAACCCCCCCCCCCCCCCCGGCCAAAAAAATCTTTCAAAATCATGCAGTTTTCACCATTCTGAGCACTTTTTAAGTGATTTGGGCCATTTTTGGAAAACATTTTTAACATATTCCTGGGCCTCAGCTCATACATTATAGAATAGTGAGGCCCAGGATAAGATACAACTTCCCGTGGCTAGGACGGACGGAGCGATCCCGAATCCTGATCCCCGGCACCCCAAACTTTGTTCGATGCGGGGTTCCATGGAATAATAATTTACAAGTCTGGTTCAACTACCTGTAGACTAGGCCTAGAGCAAACTGTCTGAGTTGAGACCAAATTGATTTCTATTTTACCCACAGGGGCTTGTCTCGAGGCGTCGGGCAAGCCCTCCGATGAGTCTACTGCTTATTAATAGTAAAAAGGGTGGTTGGTTTTGATGCTACCTGAAATTTGTAGAAAATTTTTACTATTAATTAGCAGTAGACTCATCGGAGGGCTTGCCCGACGCCTCGAGACAAGCCCCTGTGATTTTACCTCCCATGGCATCAGGCATTTCAGCCACAGTCTTGAGAATTTCATTTCTTAACTATGTTAAATCTAAGAAAAAAATTTCAATCAATAGGACGGAACAATACTGAATAGTATCCGCGTCAACACGCGTATATTTACCAAATTATGATGCAAAATGTCCAGCCAAATCTAAGCTAACGTGAATTGATGTGAAAATAAATCATTTGAAATTCCCACATTTTGCACTGCTAGCTTTCCACACACTGGCCTCTTCGTACTATCCTTTCTGAAGAATTTTCGATTGATACTACTCATAAATTCATCAAATATGTATGTAACTATTCGTTTAAACGTTTTGATTTTTTCAGTGTCGAGAAATGTTGCAATTTAGGTAGTATCGTCCATGAAATTGAAAAAATAAAAAGATTCGAAAAAATCACAAGAATTAAGCAGTTAGCTTTGGACGAAAAAAAAATTCTGAAGTTTCCACATGTTTTTAATTTTTCATACATTTTCTTTAATATCTCCAGTTATCGTTAGACCAATCGATTAATACTTTCAGTATGGGTAAATCTAAAGTCAAGAAACGCCAGAAGAACAGAGATCGTCCAACTGGCCTCGAGAGTGTCAACGAATTGGAGGCTGAAGAAAGTGAAATCGGTGAAGCCGAGTCAGCGTGTGGTGGAGGTGCAATTGCCGGGTTTATAGAAAAGGTTTGGACTTATTAAATTTATTTCAGGTTGAGTGCACTAATAGTCTTCCATTAAATTCCATTTCTAGAGCCAAGCTGTATGTGGACCAATATCGTCAACCTTCAAATCGATATCCAATCGAGAGGAATTATTCATGAAAGCTCCGCAAGCTTACGTGTCCATAGTGTATTTGCGGACACATTACGTGTCTGCATTGTATTACGTTGTGTGGTATTCACTAAGATATCCACAAATCTGTCAAGTTGCCGCATGTTATCTCAGTGTCCGCAATCCGTGTCCTTGGCGACTGTGTCACCAATTAGGCCCGGGGGTTCACTATATATAAACCTTGACGGGGATCCTCGGCGCATGTGGGGTACCTTTTTCAACGTTTGGTATGAATGGACCCATATTTTAGGATTTGGTATGGGAATGCCCGGAAATTTCTGACTTTCTGAGGAATGGCTATGGTCGGACTTTTGCTCTTCTGGTATGAGAATGGTCGTTGTAGATACGTTACCTAACATTCGTGGTATGGCATTGGTCCAGTAGTTGCAAATTTGTATGACATTGATCCTATATTTCATTTACTTTGAATTAAGGTATGGCATTGGACCCATATATGAACATTTGGTATGGTATTGGTCCTACATTTTGACATTTGGTATGGCATTTTGGTCCCATTATTGGGCATTTGGTATGGCATTGGTCCTATATTTGGACATTTGGTATGGCATTGGTCCCATATTTTTGGACATTTGGTATGGCCTTTGGGCGTTATTTTGGTTGGTATGGGAACATATTGAAATTTGACAGATTGGTATGGGAACATATTGATATTTGAGGCTTCAGCCCAGGACCCCCGTCGAGTTTTATATACAGTGAACCCCCCGGGCAATTAGGACACCAGTCACAAATGTCAGTTTGCCTTTTAGTGTCCCTCATAAACCAAAACCTCGGGTTGACATTTTTTATCCAACAATGCCATTTTACAATAATTATTACATCTAAATTATGGTTTTACATCAAAATACTGTTAGCGCTTTGCATTAGTATAACCAAGCTGGCAAGATGCACTTGAATGGTGTTTGGATTATGTTAAGGCTTACCCTCTCGGAAAGTGAGACATATTTGGAAGTCTATTTCACATTACAATTTTTCTTTTTTCATTGGGAAACTTAGATTAATGAAAGGACGATACAAGAAATACACTCATACATACTTTCTATTGCTGAAATGTAATGTAAAATGGGTTCTCAAGACGATTTATTACTCTGAATTTTCAGCGAGTAATTTGCGGGAAGTATAGAGGTATCGCACGATATTGGCGTAATTCTCGCGGTACCGCAAGATGTCTGTGGTGATGCTAGCTTTGCGGCCCTTTTGTGAATTGGAAATAGTGGTACCGCATTGAGTTGCGGAATTGCGCAGGCTTGCAGAGCTTTCATGAATCGGGCCTCAGGCCCATAGCCAGGGCCAGCAAGGGGGTACAGAGAACTATTTACAGATAGTTTGTATCATTTTAGTAGAAAAATATACACTGAAATATACATAAACATACGTAAATAGTTCTCTGTGAAAGGGGATAGGGGTTGCTTTCACACAATTTGTTATTGTGGTAAAATCGCCAGAAATGATCATTGCAATTGCCAATTAGATTAAATTCATAATTATCCTGGACTCTGGTGCGTTTCATTTTGTGTAAAATGTGTCTAGTATTATTGGGCTATATTGGATACTAGTCTATATCCATTTGACTTAATATCTTGAGAATACAGTTTTTTTGAAAATTTAACATGGCTGAAAGACCTCAAATTATAAGAGGGCACAGGCTTACTGCACTAAAAACCGAATAATCTTTAGACGTTAGAGTAGCAACAATATCTATTTTACACCGGCTTATTAGATCATTAGTTTACAAGGGTAAAGGTCAGAGATTAATGAAATCAAAGAATTCAATCTGGTACTAAGGGCTGATGTGAAAAAGTCAGACTACCCTAGTTATCTTGTTTATTCTGACATATTTTTTAAGTGTGGAATTCCATATGTTTATGCATTTATTAACTTGTATTTAGTTACAAAGTGCCAGTGTAGAAGAACGAGAATGCGGATGTGCCACAATAGCCAACCTAGTATGTCAAAAGGGGGCAGCAGGCAAGCTCATGAAACAGAACATTGTGAAGATTTTAGGGCCTTTGATGATTGATGAAAACTTGGGAGTAAGACAGGGGGCAGTGGGAACACTAAGGTAGGTAGTGCAAGTTACTGTATAAGTGGTATTTAATCCGAGTGGTTAATTTTCCGAATGGTCAAATTTCATCATTATCCTAATTTTAATTTTCCTAATAACAAGAAACCTCCCATTGGATAAGATTATAAAGACAATATTTCCGACATTTAATTTTCCGAACCTGGCAATAATTAGGAAATAGGAAAATTAAATGATTAGGCAAAATTACCACTTATACAGTATTGTGCACCATTGTGAAATCCTGTATTTTGATTGGTTATAGATTGACCAATCCAAAATATGTACTGAACCTTCCTATGTACAAAACAATCCAGAAAATATAAATGTTGCAAAGATGTGTATATTAATCAGTACTCATCTTAAATATTTCCAGCAATTATCAAATTAATCAATCTGAAATTTTGATAAGCATTCAATTATTCAGTGCATTCACCTATATATCAAACACATCTGACTTACCCAAATATTTCTATGTGACTGTATTTCAAAAATGTATTTATTTTTCAGAAATCTGAGTACAATGGAAGCAGAAGATGTTTGTCCTAAGATGGTTGCTGATGATGTTATGACTCCTTTGATTACATTATTTAAACAGGTAGGCAGAATGAGTTTAAATAAGAAAGACCATGTTCATGTTTATAATATGAACTCAAAATTTGGTATGTGACGACTCATCGCTGTTTTGTAGGAATTTAGCAACTTAAGTCTTCCTCTCTTTATTTGAATCTGATATACAGTATTATTATGTCAACCCCACAAGTGGCAACATATTCTTAGGGTCCAACTTTTTTGTGGACAATGTCCTACGTTTGGTGTTCGGCATTCAGCATCCAGCCTGTTCAGCATCTGTAACAAATGGTAGGTTGTGACATTTGGCATGTTAAAGCCTTGTTCCTATGTGCAACTGTATATTTCAGTATGAGGCTAACTGGAGCCCAGGCAAGACCAGTGACAAAAAGGTTGATGTAAGAACAGATATATTCCACCAGGCGATGCATCTTCTATGGAATATTTGGTAAGATATCAAATAAGTATATTTTCTCAAACATTAAGTTTTGTTCCACATATTCTCTTTTTGTAATTGAGAGCCTATTTCTGACCCAAAAGGGTAACGCTATTTTTATAACATAATTGGTTAAAGGTTAATATCATGACTTGTATTGTAGATAAATAAAACCATGTAATACTAGCCCTATTTACACTACACGCGGCATTTCAAGACGTCTTAGCTAAAACGTTTTAGTAAAATCATGTTGAGTTTACACCAAGACGTCTTACGAAATATGATTGAGTTCTTGAATTAATACAGAATGGGTCAGAAATTGTGTGCCTTTGATTCCCCCCAACATGTTTTAGTAGAAAATAGGAGGTGAAAAGTCCCTGAATGTCTTGTACTTTCAGTGTGTCATTGTTCTTCCAAATATAAATCTATTTGGGATTGAAGAAGCCGATTAGAACACATTGACTTGTAAAAGTAAAAGCTAAGAGTGGTTGTTTTGAACATTATATATAATTGTGAAAGATTTATGATCTTACATCGTTATTTATATTTTAGTGAAAATAGTGAAATTGCAGTAAACATTTTGAACCAGTCTGACCTCATAGAAACATTAGTTCCTTGTCTACAAAGTTCTGTGTATGGCCTTCCCCTAGCTGTCACAACAGGTGTGTAGCCTCTGATGTTTTACTGTAGCAATATTTATAACTTTGCTGTAATTTATGTGGCAATCTAAAAACTTTGATTTACTCTGTGTTGTTGATTTGCTAGGAAATTAACACATTTACATTTGTGTAAGGAATTCATTATATGACATTTGAATATATGCATATGAAATGGCCATGTTTCTATTTTGCAGCTCAATGTCTGCACACGATCTCAGAGAACAACACACATGCTGTACAGCAAATGTTGAAGCTCAAAGCAGATGACACTTTGCAAAGCATTATGGGAAGCCCTCATGAAGATGGCGAACAACTGCTGCTTAGAACATTATCTGCAGGTAAGTGCATTTGTTAAAGCCCTTTATAGAACATGTCCACAAGTTAGTACATTTGGTATATCCATCCATTGAATATATCCACAGCCCAGTGCATTTGTCGAACCCCTACATCGAACATGTCCACTGGTCAGTACATTTGTTAAATCCATCCATTGAATATATCCACGAGTCAGTGCATTTGTTAAACCCCTCCACAGAAAGTGTCCACTGGAAGGTTAATTTGTTAACATGAATGTAGCCAGGGCAGGTTCGTTGGGCTTGTGCACCCCCCCCCCCTTCCCTTTCGCCTCAAATCCCTTATCATTATAAAATGAACCTCCCGCTAGGAACATTTTCTGAAAGATCAGCAAACTTGGTAAATCCTGGTTATGCCCCTGGTTAATCCCCTCCATAGAACATATTTTTATGTCAGTGCATTTGTTAAACCCTGCCAAAGAACATGTCTGCAGGTCAGTACATTTGTTAAATCTCTCCATTGAACATGTCACCAGGTCAGCACATTTGTTAAATCTCCATATTTTTAGACATTGCCAATAATGCATTGTACTATGTTGGAATTATAGGAACATTATATAATATGCGGTGTGTGGAAAAGTCAACAAATATCTCTAGTGTGGAGGAAATCATGGGTGTTGTTAGTGAGGTTCTCACGCAAGATGTCGTCTCCCAGATAGTGGCTGCAGTTCAACTTACACCTGATACTCAGGTCAGAACTTGTTTTACAAGTATTTTGAAGTTTATTTAGAATATCTTGTTTAAATTATCATTTAATAGTGTTAAAAACAAACTTTAGTATGGATAAGGAGAGAAGTACTGTGGGAGGGTACAAGTTACCGAAAATACCCAAATTTTGTGAATGAAACAGTATACACTTGTTGACCTCTCCAATCGGTCAACCGGCAATATTGTATACCGAGACTGTAAACCGAGAAACTATTGTGACAGAGACTGAAGGTCGAGGTCAACAGTAGTTTCAAGGTTTACAGTTGAGGTATGTGATTTTGACGGTTGACCGAATGGAGAGGTCTACAATTTTTTTGTTAGTCCGAAGAAACTAATAATACACATATAGACGACAATCATCAATCGGCATGGCTTCATTTCACAATCTTTTCTCCGAACCATGCCAGCAATGCATACTCATTAGTAAACTAATGCTAATTTTACGTTTCTATTTGCATTTTAGCTATACTTGTCGTACATTAAAGTCAAAATATCACTTTCATCAACGTTTACAAAATGTCCGTCTACTATTTTTTTCTGTAAACATTATGACGTCATGAAACTTATTTTTCAAAAGTAGCGGTCAACAGTATTGAGCAGCGGTCAACAGTTGTTGTTGACCGCTTATCGACCAATCAGAATCCAGTATTTCAGTTGAGTTATTAACAATGTTAATTGCTCTCTCACAAAAAGTAAAGGCATCAATACTGTATCTTGCATAATGAACATTATACCATGCTGCATCTATACTTCATTTTTACTGTGGAATATATTGAATCGGGTTGGATATTTTATAAAGACAACTTATAACTTTTCATATTACCATACTCCAGCTATGACAACTTTGTAAGTAACCATGGTAATATTATGTTGCAGAAAGAGGAAGTTTCAAGGTCACCAGACAGTGGGATCAGCTCTCCGGAAGAAAACCAGGTATGAGGCGTAGAAGTCATTTCAACACGTTTTATTTTTGAAATTTGGTAATTGATTAACATTTTTACAATATTAGTTTGGGCACTTATAGACATTTTTACAATATTAGTTTGGACACTCATAGACATTTTTACAATATTAGTTTGGACACTTTTAGACATTTTTACAATATTAGTTTGGACACATATAGACATTTTTACGATATTAGTTTGGACACTTATAGACATTTTTACAGTATTATTTTGGCCCATTATAGACATTTTTACAATATTAGTTTGGACACTTATAAACATTTTTACAATATAGTTTGGACACATATTGACATTTTTACAAAATTAGTTTGGACACTTAAAGACGGAAAACTTATTCAAAGCAGTTCTACTGACATACAACTTTGAACTACATGCACTACTTTTATTTCTTTCTACAGTATGTAAAATACGAGAACATGGTCCAAGATGTCGAGCACAGCATCCTTGCACAGCAGCTAGCACTTGAGATAGCTGCCAACCTGTGCTGTAGTGAAGGTATATTGAACTTCATAACTCGGGCCATTTGAAACAACTGATTATTGATATATGTACATGTATGAACTATATATGTATGTACAGTATAAGTATAAATTTATCTACATGACTTGGAGTATATCTACATGTGCTATATTTACAGGTACGCAAACATGAACATGTATAAATGTACCTACATGTGCTATATGTACATGTATGAATGTGTTTAAGTGCTACTTTTTACATATTAGATGAGGAGGAAGCATGGGAAGATCTCGACTCTAGTGACGCAAGTAGTGAGGAACTCTTCAATGAGGAGGTAGAGGACATGGACCAGGCTGATATTGTGGTAAGACCTAAACACACTCTTAGTAAATGAGGTTATTATATTGCTATATTATCTTCTTGATTTGTCCTAATGGAATATGACTACTATTCCCTGATATTTAAGAAACATTGTCACAGAAATCTAGATGCTGGATTCCTTTCACATTAATGTTGACAGTTTGATGACATCTGACCGGTGATAAGTTTTACATCTACCCAATAATAGAGCAGATTTTACAAATAAGGCAGATAAGGCAAATGAGGCATTCATAACAGCAACATTTTTGATCATCATCTGCATCACGTGTTTTTCCTGAAAATGTTGAAAAATGTCATTTTTACGAATTTACAGTACCTGTACATGAATTTAACAATTTGGGGGATATCTGTCTAGTACACACACTGGTTATTTACAAGTACACCATTAGTGCCAGCTCCTACTTTTGCTGAGATATTGGAAGATATCAATTTTTTGGTTGTCTAAATATCACATTTTCACATTTAATAGAAATGTTTGCAGAAAATTGTCCTTGGATGAACTAATGTGTAAAGTTTTGATGAATAACATCATGTTTCATTTTTAGTAATCAATTTGGTGAGGCATACCACTTTTTGAGAACATTGAGTAAGACACCAAAGTGGTTTAAACTTTATAATGGGGCCTTTAATAATTTCATTGCAGTTATATTGTATTTATGCAACTCATCATACTTACGTTTTGTATTCACGGCTGTATCATTTGTCTGTTGTGACGCAGGAATGAGCCAATGAATGGGGAATCCCTCACAAGCTTCTCGAAAATACTGGCTCAGAAATCTGCGATCACTGATTGATTCTTTAGCTGGCATGTATTCTGGAAGATCTCTGTCTTTTGACATTAAATCCTCTCCATCCTGAATAGAAACACATAACATATAGTGCATGAATGAGGAGTTAGCATATAGAGAAGGCCTTCATTCGTCCATACCTATATCTATACCATAGCTCTGAATTCTTAATTTATTTCATGAATAAAACAGCCCAAGACTTACTTTTAATGGTTTCATTAATTTAATGAACAGAATAACCCAGATGCGAGTAGAAATAATCTTGATTTACGTCATTAAAAATTCAAAATTCAGTCAAAGTAATATTATATTTGAAATCTACATGTAAAATTACATCTAGAAATGTGGTTTTAAAAAGTGTTTATCAACTTTGAAAAATTACTTTTCTTCGAATATGTGACTTCTAGCTCGGGGAGGTTCCCCATAGACCCCATGCTATAAAATCACAAAAAATGAAATATCTTTTCTTTTAGTGGACAGATAATATTTTGCTTTACTGGACATATTTTCATTAGTATAAGTATTAGACACATAAGGGTTATATGAACATTGAGCCACTTAAATTGATAATATTCAAGTTTAAGGGAACTTTCTTATATACCTGCCATGTTAATTGACCCGAATCAGCCACCTGGTGGTGAAACTGGTAACTACCTACTCGCATTTGGGTAATTAGCATACATATGACAGGCTGAATTCAGCATTATTGACACTGTTAATAGTAATACAAAGTATGTAACAAAACAACAAAAATGGCTACCAACATGTATGGCAGAAATGTGTAATTATAGACTGAGACTCATTCAATGTGGTCAAATACACATTATTGTACAGTAATACAGCTGAAGTAGGAGGCAGAACTTACAGGATGGTGTTCCATATAACTCTCCATTGCCTTAGGTGTTAGGGCATTTCTGTTGAGTGGGTTAAGGTAGCACACGTAGCTGTCAGCATCAACAACTTTTACCATTGTCAGACCCTAAAATTAAACTTGAACTAAAAATTTGCACAATTTGGCCGCATGGGACCCAAAATTGATGCCCATAATTATCCCATCGAACGAAGTTCGGAGGGATATAGGGAACTCCTCCGTCCGTCCGTCCGTCCGGGCAATAACTCAAATACCGTTGGCCCGATTTTGTTCATATTTTGTACACATATACCCTATGGGGGTAGAAGTTCTGCTCGAGGCGGCCATTTTAGTGCCGAATTTACAGTAATTTAGGTGCAATATGTTAAACTGTAATAGCAATATGTTTTAGATGTAATAAAATTATATAGGACATTAATAAAGCTAGAAATGTAGATATTAAAGAAGCACATGGCAGCCATCTTGAAAAATGGTGGTCTTTACTCATTATTTTACGATTTTTGCTGTAACTCGAAAAGTAGTGGAGCGATTTTGTTCATATTTGGTATGTGAATACTATAAACATTGCACACTGTCTAAAGACACTTTAAGTAGATGGCTGCCATTTTGAAAAATGGCCGCCATTTTAACGTATTTTACTATAACTCGAAAAGTAGTGGAGCAATTTTGTTCATATTTGGTATGTGAATACTATAAGCATGACACACTGTCCTATGACACTTTTGGTAGAAGGCGGCCATTTTTTATGTCCCCACCACATAGTGTGGGCCCACCACATAGTGTGGGGCCATATTGTCGGCCTAGGCGCGTCCGTCCGTCTGTCTGTCCGTCTGTCTGTCCGTCCGTACGTCCGGCAGTTTTCTCCAAAACCGCTACAGATATCACCTTCAAATTTTCAGGGATAACTTATCAGTGCATACAGATGTGGATGAAAAAAAATTAACTCGATACCTACTTCCTGTCGGCCATTTTGAAGTCAAATGCTAAAATCCTTGTCTGCAAACTTTAAGAAAAACGGCTTCACAGTTGCTTTTAAAACTTTAACATCTTGTTCAGCTCACTTCATTCTAGATCTGATTAGGTTTTGGACCTGTTAGCTCAGTCATGTCAGCCATTTTGAATGTTTTAAGAAAAGTTAGCGCACGATAATACTTTGTATCATATTGAATGGTGTTTTTCAGTTTTCATACTTAAACTATTTCGTAGCTTTATAAATAATTTCAGGTGTACTTTGTTGTAAAAGCCTATGTTATTGTTAACAGTAGTTATATGTGATAATTTTGTAAAAAGAAATCAGCAAAAACTCATAATCACTTTTTTATTGTCGGCCATTTTGGATTTTTCCATCCTAAAATCTTGTCTGTAAAGTCTTGTCTACGCGTTTTCAGGTCAACCGTTTGGTAGATCAATTTCAAATTTTCAGGGATGATTTTTAGTATGAAAATCTAGATCTGATTAGTTTTTGGGCATTCTGGGTAAATGTCAAGGCAGCCATTTTGGATTTTCCGTCCTCAAATTGTGTCGGTAAAGTCTTGTCTACTCATTTTTAGGATAACCATTTGACGGGATCACCCATAGGTGGGGACATTTTGTACACATTTGTGTTCTTGTTCAAAATGGCCGCCATTTTAACGTATTTTACTATAACTTGAAAAGTAGTGGAGCGATTTTGTTCATATTTGGTAGGTGAATACTGTAAGCACGGCACACTTTCTAATGACACTTTTGGTAGAAGGCAGTCATTTTTCAAAATGGCCTCCATTTTAACGTATTTTACTATAACTCGAAAAGTAGTGGAGCGATTTTGTTTATATTTGGTATGTGAATACTATAAGCACGGCACACTGTCTAATGGCACTTTTGGTAGAAGGTGGCCATTTTGAAAAATGGCCGCCATTTTAACGTATTTTACTATAACTTGAAAAGTTGTGGAGCGATTTTGTTCATATTTGGTATGTGAATACTATAAGCATGGCACATGGTCTAATGACACTTTTGGTAGAAGGTAGCCATTTTGAAAAATGGCTGGCATTTTTGCTATATCCTTTGTTTGTAAAATGCCATCCATGGCTGTTCGATGGGATTCGCTACACTTTGGCGTTGCCGTTGTTCTGGTTGTTTTTTAGAAAAAATAAAAATATAAAACCTAATAGATGTGTTGAAGCTGTTTACCTTTGTGAAATCATTGTATGCATAGTATCCCTCCTCTGGGTCTTCCATTTCTGTCATGTCATTATCTTTGTCCACTTTAACAATAGCATTTGATGCCAGTCTGTACTCCTAATGATTATATTAAAAAAAAAAACTTCATGATTTAGTAACTTTTAAGTGTATTTAAAGTTACTTGGTTTTACCTATAACTGTTTAACTTCCAAACACCATTTTCCTCTATATTGCATCTTTAGCATCTTCATAAAGACAAACAAATCAAAATGTGATAGATTGCTTTTCATAATGCATATGTCTATTGTCTAATATTGGCTTTACCTAAACACATTGACTAGGCCTAAGTATGAACAACTTTTAAAGTGAACATGTTTTATTGTTCTTTTACTACTCACTTGAAATAGGTTATATTGTAACATGACAATTAAAGGGACAAAGTGCGTAAATGAAGTCTCACTTTTGATCTTCATAATATTTCCAATGGATTAATAAGTACCTGATTTTTCATTTGGAAAAAAATAAGTGCATTGCCTGTTTAATGTGTACAGTTTATGTACCTTTATAGTATCTCTGGCAAATTTATTGCTGAGTTTCAATGCCCCTAGAACTGCTCCTACAGTAATGAGTAGAATTAGCACAGCTGCAACTGCACCTATTATGTACTTCTTGTTGGAATATGCAGCAGGCTTTTGAGATTCCTAAATTATAAAATCAATATTGCATGCAGTTAAGAAATCCACCATCAAAAGTATTATTTTATAAGGGATGATGTCCAGTTGTGGTCAACAGTTGTTGGAAATTAACGATTTGAAAATGCTATTGGCTTTCATTTGAATTTTCTTCTTTTATGAAATTATCAATTTTAGACCTCCTCTCCCTCTTACCAACTTTCTTTTTTCTTCCACAACTGAGACAAAAAATTATTAATGTTCAATAAATTTGTTCAAAGTTTTCTTCTAATAGGTAAACAGTATATTTGAGATATAGAATGAAACTGTCGTTGAGTCAACAGTATAGTTAATTGAGAAACAACTCCAAAAATGTCAAGTCAGTCCATCAAGCTGGCCCACTATCCAAGTTGACAGCAATATTGAACCCTAACCTTTGTTATTTATGATAAAAACCTACAAGTACCTGAATCACAATTGGTTCTGGGTAGCTGTTGTAACTGTTTGGCATTGCCTTCTTCTCAGAATCCATCTTGATGGTGAATATCTGTTAAATTCTTGTGAGGTTTTCCAGTGTTCTGTTTAGTGTAGAAAAATTGATCTGAAAACTGCAACTGAATTCTGGCTTATATAGGATGGCTGAAGGTTATTGTTGTTGTTTTTTTGTTGTTTTTGTAGAAGTTGGTCAAGAACTACATTTTTTTCATTCTTCTTGAATATTGTTTTTCCATTTTTAAAGGTAATAAAATTTATACAATACTGACAGCTTTCACTCATAAATAAGCCAGATCCTCATATTTATTTACGAACAAGCACTTTTTTTAGAAATAAGTGTCCTTCAAACTTTTTAGAAGTCAGTGTTTTTGTGAACAAATACATGTATATCCAATAAATATTGTTTGAAATAAGGAACATGTCTTGGTAGGTCTTCTATCTTTTAGAATATGACATGCATGCAACTTGGTACTTAAGTATTGTTATGTCTCTGATTCAACAGTAATAAGTAATCTTTTGTTTTGGTTAGATGCATTGGCAAATTTCATAGTTATCTTTAAATGGTAGACTACATATCTCCAGTTTTAAAACCGACATACTGTATGAACTTTTGAACAAGATTCTTTTCATGGTTGAAATATACAATACAAAGTAACTAACTTTATGTCAATAAACCTTAAACTTGAAAAGGATACTACATGACTGCATAATAAAACTTGAGGGTTTCTTTAAAACAATAATATTTGTTTTATTTTATTTGTTGTCAACATCTAATGCAGACAAATAAATCTCTGAAATAACTGTAACTTAGCTTTTTCGAATATAAATGTCCTATCTTCCACCAAAATGATTTCCTTTTGGAGGGATAAATATTTTCCAAAGGCTAAACAATTGGTTTAGGTTCATACTTTTGACACTTACCTGTCCACAAGTTACATTGACAGGGGGATCTAATCGTTTACTAATTGCTTTCATGAAAAATGGAATTTCTGACATTGCCCTTTAGATGATGCTTGACTTACTTTTTGATTTCAAAACAATGGAGGTGGTTCATCTAGACTAAGCTTATAAATCCGGTGAACAAAAATTCTATGTAGGGTCACCCATTGGTGGGACCATGTTGTACACATTTGTGTCCTTGTGGTAAAAATGTTCAATTGATTAATAAACGTTATTTTCCCTTTTACACCACAGTTTTTTCATCATAGCAACAAGGCAGAAAACTCTGATGTCAAATTTTTTCGTTTTTGTTTACATATCATGAAAACAGTAATAATTACTCCAGGGCAGAGTTCTCCTGGTGACACTATTTGTATGATATAAGCAAATATGCAAGAGTGAGCGATTTCAAAACACAAGTATATAATTTTAAGATTACAGATATAGGCCCCGTTATTTTCTCCATACATAGTCCCCCACTACAGCTCATATTTCTCCATTTCAGTCTCCCCTATCTGTACCCTCTGAAATTCACTCTGCTATTCTCTCCCATCGATTAATTGACGTTGTCATGGAGAAGACAGCCATGTTGGAACCTGATATCCATGAGCACCTCACAAAAACAGACTCTGGTCAAAATGTACTGAAAAAGTAAGTCATTCGAGAATTAAAGTTGGCATAATGACAAATAAATATCCAATCTAAACTACAGAAACACATTTTCAAAGTAAAAAGGAACCTAAAACTAGACTTTTTGCAATGCAATGCAAGACTTTATGCAGGCATAAAATCGTGTGATTATTTAGAGTGGGAATGGGCCCTAGTACTTTGTGTTTTCCGTTGATCATCTACTTTGTGTTTTCCATTGTATACACACAGGGCTCTCGCCAGGCTTTTAGACTGTGGCGCAGCACCACACTCTATTAAGCTCCCTCCACACCCTATTGGCAAATCATGACTGTTTCCACAGTCTAAACTTGACTGAATATACAATAATAGCATGTAAAAAGAATAAAACATAACGTAAATATGATTTATCACGATTGAACGGTTATTCTGAAGATGTTAGCACCACACCCGAAATATTTCCTGGTGAGAGCCCTGACACATGTACTTTACATTGTACAGTGTACATGTAAATATATAATTTGTGTATACACATACATATGTATTTTGTGTTTTCCATTGTATTTTGTGTTTTCCATTGAACATGTACTCTGTGTTGTTGGCATTGTTCTCTGTGTTTTAGATTTGCAGACTCCCAGAGTAAAGCATTACTGTGTATCAACAACCTAGTGACAGGGGTAGACCTCACTGGCTTAGGGGGGCTAGATAGGTTGGAGTCTATATGGACACATCTCTCTCAGTTAGCCTTAAACAAACATGGTGAGAAGAAGATATTTTGTCAGTTTGTTTTGAACATATTCTTTGGCTGTTGCTCAGTGGAAGAGCCAAGGTTATTGCTTGGCTGGGTATAGGTATAATATTATATATGATTGTATTATCTTCAGAGTTGTTTCAGGAATGCTTGAGGTCCTTCATTGAACCCTACCATTTACTGAATTTTATTTTCTCCAGTCCTGAAGAACCTGGCCCTACTGGAGGCTACTACTAGTGCAATGAGGGCAACTATACAGATATTGGCCAATAATAAATCAAATAAGGTAATATCATCTGTTTTAATTGACTATGAAGTGTTGGTTATCCTAAGTACTCATTAACTCTGTTTAACAGAATGATTGAAGTTAAAGAACTGAAGCTCATTTAACTACGTCATCACCAGAAGTGATGACATATTGTTATAGTCTCCAACCTTTTTGTTTGTTGATATAATGGCAGGTGGTTACATTTTGCATGTTAATGCCTTGTTAGTTTGTTTTTGTTACTCTAAATATCATCATATTTTCAGTTCAATGAGGTGTCTGCCAGTGATTTACAGTTCTTGTTCGACATGGGGCAGCAGTGTAACATGGCAGCTGTCAGGGCTAACGTCATACGCATTATTTCAACTATAGGATGTCTCCTGGTCACCAGGGACCCCTTGTCACCATTACTCAGGGTAAGTAAATTCCCCTAGTATATCCTTTCACTCCATGATATTTAAGTGCTTACATGAGATAATGTTATTGGTGGTGAATGTTTCCTTGCGTCTTGTTTTGAATTCATTATTTTGAGATATGAGGAATCAGTATTGGAATGAATAATATAGAGTCGTCAAGAATTCATGAAAGTGATTCAAGGGTAATGGTTGCTTTTATTTTTCTGTTATTCTATTTCAGAATATTGGTGTTTTTCTAATCGTCACCTCCATGAAGGATGCAGAATTGTGGGTAATTGCAGAATCGCTGGATGCAACGTTTGACGTGTTTGGTGAAGATAACACAAAGTCAATTGAATTGGAAATCTCACTGCTGGAGAAACTTAAGTCACTGGCCCCCATACTGAAAACTAAGGTATTGCCCTGAAAAGAGTCACATTTTTCATCCGAAAGAAATGTATTTATGTTTCCGTAAATGGATGCTTTAATACTAGACCGGGTGCTTTTCTGCAAAAGGTCTCTCTGTAAAATGTGGTAGGCGTTTAGTGTTAAAAGTGTTCTGACAAGTGTTTCTTATGTAACTTTTTATGCTGAATCCAAAAAACCATGTTGGCAAGCTGAAATATGATTATTTAACCCTTAAAATACCATGTTAGTCCCCCTACCCCCAAAATTCCCCCCTATCAGGGGGAAAAAATTCTTCAACCTAAAATAACATTGATTTTATGGTTTTTGTAAGTGAAATACATGGACATTGTATAAAATAAACATTTGAAGTATGAATGATGCGGATTACCCTTAAGAAATTTGAATAAAAGCAAAAAGTATGTACCCCAGGGGGCAAATTTATGACCCATTTTTTACTTTTCGTGTCATAACTTTTTTATTAGACAATGATGGATGCTAAAAAAATCCATGTAAAAGGCATAATACCTGGTCTACTAATCCTGCAAGAACCGAAGTAATTCCTTTGATAATTGCCTTGAAAAAAATTAGTGAATTTAAGAAAAAATGACATTTTAGCTGGGACTGATTTTATGTGTGGCTATAACTGACCCCTATTGCTTTAACATTTATCCCTCTGTGTTCATATATTTAGCATTTTAGAATAAACCTAAAACCAAAACTTATTTTAGCAAAGTTTTAGGAAGATTTAAGCTTTTTATCATGTTCAACTATTCAAAATTCATGAAACATGATGTCTAAAATTGATAAGTTATAGGTATACCCTTGGAAGATCCTTATAATTTCTTATTAATGAACATATTTGTACCAATATTAGTTTTCTAGCTTAGAGAAATGATGTATGATATATCCTGGCTTGGCTTTCTGGTGGTTTGAACAATCTTTTAAGTGTTATCATTGAAAATTCATTCTTAAATCATAGGTCTGCAATCGATTAAATTCATGTATACCATTAGTATCATTCTACTGGTATGAGCATAATTGAACTAGCTATGATTTCATAGATTAGTTGTTTGATGTATGACATATTCAAAGCTGACTTTCTGGTGATTTTAACCATCTAAGAGGCTTAATCATTGAAAACCATTACAAATAAAAGCCTAAACGGACAGTATTAAGGTAGACTATTAGAACACCCTTATTAATTCCAGGCTTAGAGTTTATTGGTACCTACTACTGTCTCATAGCTCGGAGGTTTGATATATGACATATTCTGACTAGTTTTTCTGCAGATTTGAACCAATGACAGGTCTAATCATTGATTATACTTCATATACTAGGTCTAAAATTGAAGTATTCAATAGAACCCTCTATGATAAATTCAAAAAAGATTCAGAATGACATTAACCTCAACACTGGATCTAAATCAGAATTACAATTCTTCATAGAGCTGAACAAGGAAGACAAGGCTAATTTCATTCTAAGCAGCCTGACAATTGCATGACATGAGAGCAAAAGTACCAATGATTCATACAAATCTTCATTTTATGGAGTTTTCTTCCCTTAAAAATGTTTAGTCATATTAAAAAATCCCCCCCCCCCTGTCCCCATTAACCTTTCTGTGTTACTCTTGGAGTTAAGGCAGAAATTCTTGACAAATGGCGTATACTCACTTTGACAACATTTTGAATTAGTGGGATGTTTCAGTTAATGAGAGTTTTTGCAGAGTAGCAATTTTTGAAATTTAAATCCAATAGGACCATATATGGGAAATTCAAAAAAGATTCAGAATGACATTAACCACAACATTGGATCTGGAAATCAAATAAAGCAACTGATTGATGTGATCTCGGATGACTCTTGTAAATCAGAATTACAATCCTTCATAGAGCTGAACAAGGAAGACAAGGATTATTTTCATTCTGGTAGTAATACATGGACATGGTCCAAATCTTGATACGCTTCACCATAGCCCAAAGAAAGGGAAATTGGGAGCTTCATCTCAATGTATTTCAATGCATGATCCCCCTTTTCATGAGATATGACCACCAAAAGTATGCAAGATGGGGCACAGTACACAATCACTGCTGAAGTTTTGCTTCCTTGAAGACTGTAGCCAAATCCTCAGATGTAGATGCAATATACCAATACGCGATAACGTTTAGTTTAGTTCAGTTTCGTTACCTCCCGTTTGAAGAGCTCTCATGTATGGTACAACTTCGTCTACATCCGGGTTCTTTCCCATTGGATTACACATGGGTGCTATTTTCAATGTCGCACTGCGACTCTATTAAATATTTATGTAGAGTTGCATTTGCACAAATGATAGGTATGTATGTAATTAAGATATATAACAAGGCTTTTTGAACTGTAATCCCCAAATTTGAAGAAATGTGTAGTTGAAAATGCCATCTTCCAGTGACGTCACTGATTTCCCAGAAATTGCTCAGACTTTATCGAAGATCGAAAAAATATAAATAATGTTACTTTGAATCTCCGATTATCTTTCTGATTATTCAATAGATTGGATTATATAACTATGCTTGAGGGTTGATGGAAGATCAGAAGCTGAGAAACGTTCAGAGTATTCGACTTGTTCGGCGGGCCAATGAAAATATGTCCCTTCGGAAGCGATGCATCATGGGAGATATTTATGTAAATTACCACCTGAACTCTTATCGCGAATAGGAGTATTGATGCTAATTTGTAAGAAGGATCATATATTGGAAATATTACGGTTGGCATTTCAATACCATTTGTTAAACAGTGAAGGAGTAGAGTACATTTGAGTTCGCTTGAATGTTTCATTCGTCAATGAGGGCTATTGGAAAAGACATCAGCTCATGTTTCATGATTTCATTGATGCCCACAGGTCTGTGGTTAGCTTCATATGCAGTGATAAGATTCTGCAAATCATTCCTGTCTGCCTTTCCAACTTTCTACTCGTTTATATTGGGATTAGGCATATAGTTTAAAAAATGTTGGTGCTTGCTCAGTAGATCAAGAAATGTTGTGTCTTTCATTTGACCCTGTTGGTATCAACCTCTAAGACACAAAGACATCCAGTTGTTGTTGGCCAAACTGTCGAGCCTGTTGATTGTTTCTGTGAGTACATCTTTTGTACATATACTTTGGAGATTAAGTAATGGATCTTCTGAAAACATGCCAAACTTCAGCAGCATGTCACATATTTTATCTTCTTCCATAGATTCTTGTTTTGATTTGCAAATTACCCCCCCCCCCTCTATGGAATCTCAAAACGCAAGTCCAAACATCATTCTTGTTTGGACTCCCCATGTGTGACCTAAGATTATACCCCGGTGCCCATCTGTTCAATGCAGATATTGTCTTTGTGTTATGCCTACAATTCTGCCACCCTTCTAACCAATAGCATACTGGCATAGGGGTCAATCAACTTGGTTGATTGAATTTGTAGAGCCTTTCACCACATAGTCTCAATGCAAGAATCCTGAAATTCATCCTGAAATGCATGAAATAAGGGATCATGCATTGAAATGCATTGAGATGAAGCTCCTAATTTCCCTTTCTTTGGGCTTGGAGGAAGTATAGCAAGATTTGGACCAGGTCAATGTATCAACACCAGAATGAAGTTAGCCTTGTCTTCCCTGTTCAGCTCTATGAAGGATTTCAATCCTTATTCAGATCTAATGTTGAGGTTAATGTCATTTTGAATCTTTTTTTGAATTTTCATAGAGGGTTCTATTGAATACTTCAATTTTAGACCTAGTATATGAAGTATAATCAATGATTAGACCTGTCATTGGTTCAAATCTGCAGAAAAACTAGTCAGAATATGTCATATATCAAACCTCCGAGCTATGAGACAGTAGTAGGTACCAATATACTCTAAGCCTGGAATTAATAAGGGTGTTCTAATAGTCTACCTTAATACTGTCCGTTTAGGCCTTTATTTGTAATGGTTTTCAATGATTAAACCTCTTAGATGGTTAAAATCACCAGAAAGTCAGCTCAGAATATGTCATACATCAAACTGATCTATGAAATGATAGCTTGTTCTAGTTGATTATTTTGGTCAATCTTGCATATTTTGCTTTAATATTTCAGAATTATTTACTTCATTTAATGTGAATTTTGTTGTGAACATTTAATGATAATCTGCTTATAAAGTAAAAAAAACTACAGCATTTTACAACACATGCCCCATGCCATCTGGCCACCACTCCAGCCAACGAAGCTGCTGATGACTCTCCTACACATACCAACATGGATTGCAAAGCTTCTGATGAAGCTATCCACTTAAAATTGAAGAACATCTGAGAATCTGTCTGACACTAGTTTTACTTCTCTAGATAGATTTTAGTCACGCCATGGACAATTGAACAACTTCCTTCGCCAGATTTGATTGTGCACGTAGAGGAGAAGTGGCCACATTGGACATATGTTGTAAAGTGCTGTAGTTTTTGACTCCATAGGCAGATTATCATGAAACTTTCACAACAAAATTCATATTGAATGAACTGAATAATTCTGAAGTTTTGAGGCAGAATATGCAGGATTGACAAAGTTAATTAACTTTTTTTCGGTCCTGTTTTTTGGACACCCTGTACCAGTAGAATGATACTAGGCTAATGGTATACTTGAATTTAATCGATTGCAGACCTATGATTTAAGAATGAATTTTCAATGATAACACCAAAGATTTTTCAAACCACCAGAAAGCCAAGCCAGGATATATCATACATTATTTATCTAAGCTAGAAAACTAATATTGGTACAAATATGTTCATAAATAAGAAATTATAGGGGTCTTCCAAGGGTATACCTATAACTTATCAATTTTAGACATCATATTTCATGAATTTTTAATATTTGAACATGCTAGAAAGCTTAAATCTTCCTAAAACTTAGCTAAAATAAGTTTTATATTTTAGATTTATTCTAAAATGCCAAATATATGAACACAGAGGGATAAATGTTAAAGCAATAGGGGTCAGTTATAGTCACGCATAAAACCAGTCCCAGCTAAAATGTCATTTTTTCTTGAATTCACTAATTTTTTTCAAGGCAATTATCAAAGGAATTACTTTGATTCTTGCAGGATTAGTAGACCAGGTATTAAGCCTTTTACATGGATTTTTTTAGCATCCATCATTGTCTAATAAAAAAGTTATGACACGAAAAGTAAAAAATAGGTCATAAATTTGCCCCCTGGGGTACATACTTTTTGCTTTTATTCAAATTTCTTAAGTGTAATCCGTATCATTCATACTTTAAATGTTTATTTTATACAATGTCCATGTATTTCACTTACAAAAACCATAAAATCAAAGTTATTTTAGGTTGACGAATTTTTTCCCCCTGATAGGGGTGAATTTTGGGGGTAGGGGGACTAACATGGTATTTTAAGGGTTAAATAATCATATCTCAGCTTGCCAACATGGTTTTTTGGATTCAGCATAAAAAGTTACATAAGAAACACTTGTCAGAACACTTTTAACACTAAACGCCTACCACATTTCCTCTAGATGAAAATGCACCTTGTCTATACAGTCAAAAAGTATCATATTCATTAAAGCAACCTGTGTTGAATATTATATTAGATTTCATGCAGATAGGCTAACACATTATGAGGGAAGTGTTTGTGTTGTTATTGGGTCATAGGCCTTTGTCAATTATATTCCCTTAAAACTGATTTGCAATATGTATTATTTGTTATTTACGTACATGTAGTGTTTTTGAATGCATTTTCACTATATAATTCAACTGAGCTGTCATACTCACTTTCACTGCATGCTAAATTTTCAAGGTTCTAGCTGAAGTTTTACTATGAGTTGATCACTTGATGTTTCTTTCAGATAAACCAACAAAAACATAAATTAGGAGAACATTTGCCAATCATACAGACTGCTAGGACGAATCTAATACGCTTCATAAAGTACAAACAAACACACTGAGGCCAGGTCCAAGCATATCATCTGTAATTTAGTAATATAACATTGCCTGATAAATCTGGACTAGAGAATTAAAGCACCATGTGTATTAAATGATGCTGTGTATTGTAATAATATATTTTGATGGGGCTGGACCACAGAATCACAACCTGAATACTCATCAAGACCATTAAAACTGTCATGTGTGTTATTAGTGTATTATGATTTTTGCAATTGTAAAGTTAAGAATGCTGTTGTACCCATTGTGGTAATTTGGGTAAAATATAAGAATGGATATACTGTAAACTTGTGTATGTGAATATCATTAATGAGAACATCTCTCTGATGTGAATACCTCTCCAATGTAAACATCTCATATGAGAATATCTCTCTAATCTGAGCACCTCTTCAATGCGAACTTTTCAAATCTGAAGACCTTTTCAATATAAACATCTCTAATAAGAACATCTCTAGCTCTCTAATGTGAGCACCTATTTAATGTTTAGGTCTTTTCAATATGAACATTTCTAATAAGTACATCTCTCTAATGTGAGCACCTATTTAATGTTTAGGTCTTTTCAATGTGAACATTTCTAATAAGTACATCTCTCTAATGTGAGTACCTATTTAATGTTTAGGTCTTTTCAATATGAACATTTCTAATAAGTACATCTCTCTAATGTGAGCACCTATTTAATGTTTAGGTCTTTTCAATATGAACATTTCTAATAAGTACATCTCTCTAATGTGAGCACCTATTTAATGTTTAGGTCTTTTCAATATGAACATTTCTAATCAGTACATCTCTCTAATGTGAGCACCTATTTAATGTTTAGGTCTTTTCAATATGAACATTTCTAATAAGTACATCTCTCTAATGTGAGCACCTATTTAATGTTAAGGTCTTTTCAATATGAACATTTCTAATAAGTACATCTCTCTAATGTGAGTACCTATTTAATGTTTAGGTCTTTTCAATATGAACATTTCTAATAAGTACATCTCTCTAATGTGAGCACCTATTTAATGTTAAGGTCTTTTCAATATGAACATTTCTAATAAGTACATCTCTCTAATGTGAGCACCTATTTAATGTTAAGGTCTTTTCAATATGAACATTTCTAATAAGTACATCTCTCTAATGTGAGCACCTATTTAATGTTAAGGTCTTTTCAATATGAACATTTCTAATAAGTACATCTCTCTAATGTGAGCACCTATTTAATGTTAAGGTCTTTTCAATATGAACATTTCTAATAAGTACATCTCTCTAATGTGAGCACCTATTTAATGTTAAGGTCTTTTCAATATGAACATTTCTAATAAGTACATCTCTCTAATGTGAGCACCTATTTAATGTTAAGGTCTTTTCAATATGAACATTTCTAATAAGTACATCTCTCTAATGTGAGCACCTATTTAATGTTAAGGTCTTTTCAATATGAACATTTCTAATAAGTACATCTCTCTAATGTGAGCACCTATTTAATGTTAAGGTCTTTTCAATATGAACATTTCTAATAAGTACATCTCTCTAATGTGAGCACCTATTTAATGTTAAGGTCTTTTCAATATGAACATTTCTAATAAGTACATCTCTCTAATGTGAGCACCTATTTAATGTTAAGGTCTTTTCAATATGAACATTTCTAATAAGTACATCTCTCTAATGTGAGCACCTATTTAATGTTAAGGTCTTTTCAATATGAACATTTCTAATAAGTACATCTCTCTAATGTGAGCACCTATTTAATGTTAAGGTCTTTTCAATATGAACATTTCTAATAAGTACATCTCTCTAATGTGAGCACCTATTTAATGTTTAGGTCTTTTCAATATGAACATTTCTAATAAGAACATCTCTCTAATGTGAGCACCTATTTAATGTTAAGGTCTTTTCAATATGAACATTTCTAATAAGAACATCTCTCTAATGTGAGCACCTATTTAATGTTAAGGTCTTTTCAATATGAACATTTCTAATAAGTACATCTCTCTAATGTGAGCACCTATTTAATGTTAAGGTCTTTTCAATATGAACATTTCTAATAAGTACATCTCTCTAATGTGAGCACCTATTTAATGTTTAGGTCTTTTCAATATGAACATTTCTAATAAGTACATCTCTCTAATGTGAGCACCTATTTAATGTTAAGGTCTTTTCAATATGAACATTTCTAATAAGTACATCTCTCTAATGTGAGCACCTATTTAATGTTTATGTCTTTTCAATATGAACATTTCTAATAAGTACATCTCTCTAATGTGAGCACCTATTTAATGTTAAGGTCTTTTCAATATGAACATTTCTAATAAGTACATTCTCTAATGTGAGCACCTATTTAATGTTAAGGTCTTTTCAATATGAACATTTCTAATAAGTACATTCTCTAATGTGAGCACCTATTTAATGTTAAGGTCTTTTCAATATGAACATTTCTAATAAGTACATCTCTCTAATGTGAGCACCTATTTAATGTTTAGGTCTTTTCAATATGAACATTTCTAATAAGTACATCTCTCTAATGTGAGCACCTATTTAATGTTAAGGTCTTTTCAATATGAACATTTCTAATAAGTACATTCTCTAATGTGAGCACCTATTTAATGTTAAGGTCTTTTCAATATGAACATTTCTAATAAGTACATCTCTCTAATGTGAGCACCTATTTAATGTTAAGGTCTTTTCAATATGAACATTTCTAATAAGTACATCTCTCTAATGTGAGCACCTATTTAATGTTAAGGTCTTTTCAATATGAACATTTCTAATAAGTACATCTCTCTAATGTGAGCACCTATTTAATGTTAAGGTCTTTTCAATATGAACATTTCTAATAAGTACATCTCTCTAATGTGAGCACCTATTTAATGTTAAGGTCTTTTCAATATGAACATTTCTAATAAGTACATCTCTCTAATGTGAGCACCTATTTAATGTTAAGGTCTTTTCAATGTGAACATTTCTAATAAGTACATCTCTCTAATGTGAGCACCTATTTAATGTTAAGGTCTTTTCAATATGAACATTTCTAATAAGTACATCTCTCTAATGTGAGCACCTATTTAATGTTTAGGTCTTTTCAATATGAACATTTCTAATAAGTACATCTCTCTAATGTGAGCACCTATTTAATGTTAAGGTCTTTTCAATATGAACATTTCTAATAAGTACATTCTCTAATGTGAGCACCTATTTAATGTTAAGGTCTTTTCAATATGAACATTTCTAATAAGTACATCTCTCTAATGTGAGCACCTATTTAATGTTAAGGTCTTTTCAATATGAACATTTCTAATAAGTACATCTCTCTAATGTGAGCACCTATTTAATGTTAAGGTCTTTTCAATATGAACATTTCTAATAAGTACATCTCTCTAATGTGAGCACCTATTTAATGTTAAGGTCTTTTCAATATGAACATTTCTAATAAGTACATCTCTCTAATGTGAGCACCTATTTAATGTTAAGGTCTTTTCAATATGAACATTTCTAATAAGTACATCTCTCTAATGTGATTTCTAATAAGTACATCTCTCTAATGTGAGCACCTATTTAATGTTAATGTCTTTTCAATATGAACATTTCTAATAAGAACATCTCTCTAATGTGAGCACCTATTTAATGTTAAGGTCTTTTCAATATGAACATTTCTAATAAGTACATCTCTCTAATGTGAGCACCTATTTAATGTTTATGTCTTTTCAATATGAACATTTCTAATAAGTTCATCTCTCTAATGTGAGCACCTATTTAATGTTTAGGTCTTTTCAATATGAACATTTCTAATAAGTACATCTCTTTAATGTGAGCACCTATTTAATGTTAAGGTCTTTTCAATATGAACATTTCTAATAAGTACATCTCTCTAATGTGAGCACCTATTTAATGTTAAGGTCTTTTCAATATGAACATTTCTAATAAGTACATCTCTCTAATGTGAGCACCTATTTAATGTTTAGGTCTTTTCAATATGAACATTTCTAATAAGAACATCTCTCTAATGTGAGCACCTATTTAATGTTAAGGTCTTTTCAATATGAACATTTCTAATAAGTACATCTCTCTAATGTGAGCACCTATTTAATGTTTAGGTCTTTTCAATATGAACATTTCTAATAAGTACATCTCTCTAATGTGAGCACCTATTTAATGTTAAGGTCTTTTCAATATGAACATTTCTAATAAGTACATCTCTCTAATGTGAGCACCTATTTAATGTTAAGGTCTTTTCAATATGAACATTTCTAATAAGTACATCTCTCTAATGTGAGCACCTATTTAATGTTAATGTCTTTTCAATATGAACATTTCTAATAAGTACATCTCTCTAATGTGAGCACCTATTTAATGTTAAGGTCTTTTCAATATGAACATTTCTAATAAGTACATCTCTCTAATGTGAGCACCTATTTAATGTTAAGGTCTTTTCAATATGAACATTTCTAATAAGTACATCTCTCTAATGTGATTTCTAATAAGTACATCTCTCTAATGTGAGCACCTATTTAATGTTAATGTCTTTTCAATATGAACAATACATTTCTAATAAGAACATCTCTCTAATGTGAGCACCTATTTAATGTTAATGTCTTTTCAATATGAACATTTCTAATAAGAACATCCCTCTAATGTGAGCACCTATTTAATGTTAAGGTCTTTTCAATGTGAACACCTCTTAATGAGAATATCTCTCCAATATGAACACCTCTTCAATTAAATTGGCTCTATAATTTGAAGATCTTTCTTTTCTGAACACCCTTCCAATGTGATCTTTTATGTCCTAAAATGTCAGTGTTTTCTGTGCAAGTCATGTTCACATGCAAAAAATAGTATTGAGAATTTAATTCTAAAGATATATATTTTAACGTAACACAACTCATTATCTAGTCCCTTATATCACACAAAAATGCATGAAGTGTCTAATTAAAATTACTCGGGGTGGAAGGTGTGAGAATTGTGCACAAAATGACTTTGTGAGCTGGATGGAGTTTCTCTGTATTTTTCATTCTATTAGGGTTTCCTGCA